AAAAGTTCTGGGCTGGGCAAGGTAGCTCACACCTATAAGCTCGGCACTTTGGGAGGCCGAGGTGGGAGGATCACTTGAAGCCAGGAGTTTGAGACTAGCCTGAGCAAGAGACACACCCCTGTCTCTACAAAAAATAGAAAAATTAGCCGGGCCTAGTGGTGCATGCCTATATTCCCAGCTACTCAGGTGACTGAGACAAGAGGATTGCTTGGGTCCGAGAGTTTGAGATTGCAGTGAGCTATGATCACACCACTGTATTCTAGCCCAGGTGACAGAGCAAGACCCTATCTAAAAAAAAAAAAAAAAAAAGTGTTCTGTCCAGTGACAGTACTGTTGATATGAGTTCAGTGCTCTCAAGGGGACTTCTTCAAATGAGGACAAAAATGATCAATTAGTTGTATAAATATCATCCTCTTTATTAAGAAACAATCTTAATTCATTATACCTATATCTTATGAAATAATTAATATTGCGACTAGATGATAAAGCTCTAGAAATAATGCTTTCTGCAATGATAAGAATGTATATTGCCATTCCAGTTCCTTTAAATATAAATGGCACATGTGGAAACACCACAATAATTTCCTCCTAAAGTTCCATCTAGTTCTAATTTCTAATATAAAATAAGACAAGTACAAATACATCAATTTTTACTCCAAGCTGGACCTCATACTAATCATAACAAAAAGTAAGCAAATGAGAATTTTCATGCTTATTCTGCAAAGGCGGAAGTGAATGGTATTGATTAATTCAGTCTTAATGGCAGAGCAGGAGGCAGCTGCAGTAATAGAGCCGTTTAATAACAGAGAGCTGAAAAGGTCTACAAATGAAAGTAATTGATCAAAATGACAATCTGGCTAAAATAAATTGTTAAGAAAGTAAATACTCCCATTCAATGGTTTTTATATATTAATAACTATATGTTTTTAGGCATTGTGTCTATTATTAAAGACTTTTTCCTGATCTTTAAAGGAGATATTTTACATTTTTATGCATTTCAGCCTGCTTTGGAATGTTAATAACAGCAAAAATTTGGAAATAACCTAAAAGTCCATAAGAAAGGTTGGGTTGAAAATATTAAAGGTGTACAGATGGTTAGGAGCTGAATTGTGGAAGAAAAACAAAAGATATAAATCCTGGGTTTGCCATCCCTTATTTGTGGTACTTGGTCTGAGTAATAAATCCCCATAAGCCGTAAAGTCCTCATCAGTAAAATGACAATAGGAGAATCTACCTGACAGGGCTATTGGAGGTTTAGGTGAGAGCATTATGCAACAGGACTGACACAGAGCCTTAAACATGGTAGATATTCACGTTCAATTCATTAAATGTTCAATTAAACCTTATGTATGCATTTATTTAGGAGGGACAGCAAGTTATAGTGAAAAAAGAACAAGATTTGAATGAGTCTGAACCTCTTACAAAGTTGTATGACGTTGATGGTAACTATATCATCATTATCACTATATTTGTTATTACTATCAATTTTTTAAAGGCCATGACACCATCTCAGAAGGTACAGATCCTCTGAATGCTAAGATTTCACACCCATGTGTTTTTACAGTTGTCTCCTATAGGATAGTCTTCTCATGTTGAAAAGTGGGTTCAGTATGGCATCTAAAAATATAAGGCTTTTCTCTTGCTCTCTTGAACATCTACACACAGAAACACCATCTTTGTTTAGTAAATTGTGGAGAATCTTCCAAAAGAAAATAGACAGACACTAATTTGTGAGAAGATCATTCAGCTTTCACAAGCCGCTAAACAATATAGGTGCTAGAATTACTAAGAAAAAACATTTTTAATCAGGAGCAAAACAATATAGCTCTGCTTTTACTCTTGAAAATATCTGCCTTTTAATATGATAAAAAGGTCAATTCTACCAGTTCCTGTAGAATTTCAAGAAAAGATTCAGTTAAAAAAAAAATAACAGGACTCTCTGGAGCCGTGATGAAATATTTCCACATGAAAGAAATAACCTCAAACAGCTCTTCCTTCAGGATAGTCAAACTTCTCTGGAACCATGTAACAACTCCATTACAGAGTCCTCTACAACACAAGGCCCATGGTGTCCATATATGTGATCTATTAGTGGCATCAGAAGCTCCCCACACCCAGGGCCTCTGGACAGATGACTTGGAAAATATAATTTTTTCAGATGGACAAAGCCTAGCAGCAAAAGAGTTTGCCAGATTTCCATGTCCCCATCCTCTTGGCAAGGGGCCAGATGACTGCTCAGCACAGTCCTATTCCTGCCTCCCTGTTTCTTCCCACCTCCCACAGTGTACTGGAGCCAAGTTACCCTTCACCCAAGGTCATAGCCTTAGCTATGGGGTAATAGCCTATCCACTTAGGGGGTAAGTGGATAATGATTAACTCTGCTCCTAACCCTGGCACAATAGAAAGATTTCATTGTGCATATACTCCAATCTAGGTAGTGGCTGCTGGACTGTTGAGAAAGATTTGAGACCAAATCCAGCCCTAGCAGAGAGCGGTGGATGGGTTATCAGTATATATCATTAGTTTTCAATAGCACATGTGTCTCAGATTTGCTGTCCTGGTCCAAACCATTCAAATCACCAAGTGTTCATTGAGCAATTAACATAGAGGCACTGTGAGAGATGCTTTCCAAAGCTGATGAATATCAGAATCTTTAGGAATTTTTAAAAATGCAGATCCTTTACAATTTTTCTGTAAATCTAAAGTTATTCTAAAATACAAAATTTATTTTTTTCTAAATGCAGAGCCTTAGGCTTCACTGGATCAGAGGCTCCCCAGATGACTGCAATATGGTCAGTTAGAGAGCTCAGAAACCACTGCTTAGGGGGCTACTGGGCTAACTAACATTTAGACCCTCACTACTCTTACCCATTCCTCTTATAATTGAAGCCCTGCAGTAATATCAAACTGCAGGTTGCAACATATTCATGGGTCATCTGATCAATTTTATGGGTTGTGACCAGTATATATTTTTAAATAAAATAGAGAAGTTTAAGGTACATCACACATAGTAATTATTGTTTTTTGAATCTTTTTTCTGAGATACATGTGAGTTCATATATCCATAGCTATATCCATATCAGTATAGATATGTTACAGATATCAATACAAGGATAGAGATGCCTATCTGTGTACCGCATCACAACGAAAATATGTATGTTTACTTTGAGACAAAAGCCAAAAACATGTGAAATTAAATGGTATAAATGGAATGCTGCCTGCTGAAATCTTAATGCCTTTCCTTCTCTTTTGTTCCCTAGAGGAAACTAAGATAAAGGCTTACCATAAACCACAAACTCTCTCCATTATAAATTATAAATGGGTCCCTTCTCAGCTTCATTTTTCTAATGTGGAAAGATGAAATCTCTTTGCCTTTTCTTCATGGACAAATGTCATTATTCTCTCAAACTTCCTCCAAATGGAATATATTAAATTTTAGTCTTTGAGTCTAAATTGATGGTGTTTTTATACTGTGAATGGTGTCTAGTGATTCTTTCTTTACAGAGAAAAAAGCAAGAGGAAATGGGTTTGCATAGCAGTCAGGGGGACTTCAGCCAGATATAATGAAAAATTTCCTGGTAGCCAGGGCAGTACAAACTACAATGGGTCAATGGGGGGGGGGGAGTGATGTGAAATCTCGTTCTCTGTAAGTCTGTGGAAACAAAGCAGATTCTTATCTGTCTGGAATTCTTTAGATGTAAGCCTTTCTGACGGGCAGGGAATAGACTTTCAGGCCTATAATGCCATTTTCCCCTGCATTGCTGAGACGTTCCAAAGAAATATCAAATACATATCCACAGTTCAATCACATAAACCAGAAACAATCACACAGTGTTTCTCAACTGGCACATGGGTGACATTGGGGGATGGCAGTTCATGATTGTGCAGGTCGCCCGGTGCATCGTGGATAGTTTAACATCCCCATAAGGCACCTGGCATCTCTGAGTCTCATTGTCTCTTCACTAAAATGAAGGAAGACAATGTGTTCCTCCCAGAGTTATGAAGATAATATATATATATATATATATATATTCATGCCATTCATATATATATATATGTATATATATGAATGGCACTAACACAGGATCTGACAAGTGTAAGAACTCATTCACTTTCCTACTCTTGCCTTTAAAATGCTAGCATCTGAAGAAATAGAATTTTTTAAGAGGCCAAGTTTATGAAAGACTCAGCTCTAAGTTATTATACCATCGCCAATAATTTCTGAAACCAGAAGTCTTTATGTATAAGGGAACACGCTGCAATTCCTCACCCTGACTAATTCTCAGTCTTGGTTTTGTTTTGTTAGTTTTGTTTTGTAATGTATTGGAAGAAAACATTAGAAAATTTCTTTCTCCCTTACTCTTCCCAATAACTTCTTATTCTTCCTTACAATGATGGGACAGTGTTAAAGGTGTTCTAGTCTTCTTTTTTTTTTTTTTTTTTGAGACAGAGTCTCACTTTGTTGCCCAGGCTAGAGTGAGTGCCGTGGCGTCAGCCTAGCTCACAGCAACCTCAAACTCCTGGGCTCGAGTGATCCTTCTGCCTCAGCCTCCCGGGTAGCTGGGACTACAGGCATGCGCCACCATGCCCGGCTAATTTTTTTTTTTTTATATATATATATCAGTTGGCCAATTAATTTCTTTCTATTTATAGTAGAGACGGGGTCTCGCTCAGACTGGTTTTGAACTCCTGACCTCGAGCAATCCGCCCGCCTCGGCCTCCCAAGAGCTAGGATTACAGGCGTGAGCCACAGCGCCCGGCCTGTTCTAGTCTTCTGAAAAGAAGAAGGGGGAAAAAACATGTAACAAAGAAAATTATATGTACATCACCTATCACTGAATGGTAGTATAAATAGTTCATTTTAGTATGCTTTGTATGTATCATTTAGTATGATCATTTTAGAAATGTTTAGATAGTTTAATAATCATCTTCTCTTTTTCTTCTCAGAAAACATTGACCCAAATGGATCTTTTCAATAATTAAAATACTCTTTGTTGCAGCCATGTGGCGCTGGATTCTTTCGCACCCTGTCAGGAGAATGTGTGCCTTGTGACTGCAATGGCAATTCCAACGAGTGTCTGGACGGCTCTGGATCCTGTGTGGTAAGTCAGGGCACCTGCCACTCTTCACACACGTCACAGGGCCTTTGTATCTTGAGTGAAGATAAAATATTCTTCCTGGATGTTTGAGCTATGTCAGAGCAAACTGCTAATCAAGCTCTTATTTCCCCCCACCCTTCAACTTTCCCTGTAAAACATATCACAGAAACTACTTCTGATTTTAAGTGGCCACCGCGGCATAGGCACGAATGTGCATGAGCTCCAGGAGGTTCCTGCCTCACCACCCTCAGCAGCTGGTTTCCTGCTGTGGGCCAATGGCGATGGGACTGAAAATAATACACAGAGGAGGAAAACATCCATCCAAATTCCTCTGTAATAGTATAGTTTGCCATATGTTTGGCTTCACTCCACGTAAACCAGTAGAATAAAACAGTTGTTGCGTAGCCCAGTTTAGAGCTTAAGGTAATCAGGTCTATAGATCAAAATTTGTTTTTAAAAAAATTTAAGTTTGAACCAAATAGGTAATGAAAATGAAATCTTTGGCCTTGTGGTCTTTGTAAGCCTATGTTCAAGTCCCCAGGAGACTTTTTTTTTCTCCTTAACTAAATGAATTCTCCAATAGACTGTTTTTCAGTGAAGCGTATAGAGACTTATGAAGGAGACTGAGAAGTCTTCTAGCAGAAAAGTACTTGCTACATATTTCCTGTTCTTAGTGAGTGGACTGACAACTTAGTGAAAATGGATATTGGAATATTTACCAGAAGTGGCTTCGGTGGAAGTCATAGCCGGCATTTTTAGGGACTTACGTTCTAATAACAGTGTGTTCCTTCATGAGCTATATAATACAGCAGAAAAATTCCATTCTCCAAGTTCCTATCTAGCAATAGAGGCTTTTCTAAACCACAAGAGCATTTTTGCATAGACTATAGGAATACTTATTTAAATATACTCCAAATTAGCATAGTTGTCCCTATTAAACAGATAATTTTGATTATAAGTGGCCTCTAAGGCCACTTCACAACACGAAGATGCTATTTTATTCTCACATTACATTAAGATGCAAATTAGAATATTTTCATTTATTTTAAACCTAGAATTGGCCATTTTTCTAGAGACAGAGAACTAAGTGGCAAAATATTAAATGTTTCTATCTCTTTGTAGTGTTTGTTTAGTCCTGATATTTCTGTTTTCCCCTTCCCCCATCTTCTTAAATAACCACTGCATCCAGGATGTCCTCTGTAGTGGTGTAGGCATCTGCAGCTGCCAAAGTCTACCCCTTTCTAATGCTTCCATCTCCGGTTTCCTGTTATTTTAATCCCAGTGACATTTAGGGAAAAAAAAATCCCATGGATACATTTGAACTAATAATGTACATCTCTAATAATTTGACCCATTATGGCTGTTTGTTATCTGGTTTATTAAAATATAAGGCAAGGGGGGACTGTCAGCTCCCTGAGCTGCTGTTAGGTAGGCAGTCGATAAGGAGGAAGACTGAAATAAATTCAAGGAAAAAGTCCCACCTGCCAGTGCCTATGGAGGGCAATGACTAAGCCACTCTTCTTTACAGTGGTCAGAATAGGAGCAATCATGGTTTTATCTCTGACCCAGACATGAGCTTCTGCAAGTCATCATGTGACTCCTTCCCAGTTCCTAGAGCATACAAGGTTCTAATAAAGTCTGGGACTGGGCCAGGGTGTCAACATTTGCCTGCACACTCAGAGAAGTTGCCAGTCTTCCTGCAATCACTTTGGTCCAAGACAGAAAATGAAAACAAAAAGAAATAGCCATTCTAATCATCTGAACATTCCTCCATCCTGCCTTGTCTAGAGGGAAATATCTTTTTCCCCCTAATTAAAGTAATATATGCTCAGCATAAGGAAACCAACAAACAAAAAATATAGATAGATATTGTGTTTGAAATGCAAAGTAAAAATCACCTACAATCCCATCCCCCGGAGCTACATGTATAGATATATTCTTATAAATTTAATGTAGAAAGAAAAGAGACATAATTTGCATTTAATTAAATGTAAATGAGAGAACAGAAAAGGCTTGCAAATGTAGAAAGACTATGTTGTCACTTAGCTGGCAAATACGTTAAGTCTAGGGTGTCATACTGGAAGCAAACTCATTTTTTTTCTGTTTGCTTTGGCGTCCCTGCCCCAGCCTACTGATGGAGCACACTCAGGTTCTTGAGCTCCCACCCTGTCGCCCATTCTCAGCTCTCATCAGGGAAGCAGAGGCGCCAACACCAGCACTTCCTTGTGGCTTCCTGCTGTCACTAGCCTTTTAATCAGTCCTTACAGGTCGCCTGATTTAACTCATTTCTCCCATCTCCCATAAGCACCCCAAAATAAAAGGCCTTCTTTTATTTCATTGTACCTTATTTTACCTCTATTTTGAAGGCTTCTAAAACCTCTGTATCTGCTGTGTCCACCCTCAACTGTTTCAAATTCTTTCTCAATTCCAACATCGAATGTCAGTTTGACCTTATAATTTACAGACTGATTTTAACTAAGCCATTCAAACTAAGCTGAACTAAACTGAATAAAGCAACAAAATATAGAGTAGACAAAATTATACTACCATTTTAGATATATCGGACAAGCAAAGCAATTTCTTCACTTGTGGAACACTAATCTTTCAAATACAGAAAGGTGGCCAAGTGAAAAACAGCGTAGCAGTCTAATATGTAGCGGGTTCCTTCCAGTGGGCCACTTTGCAGCTTATCAGAACCGGAGTGCACTGGACAGGGTTCTCTGCTGGCTCAGCTAAGTGGGGCCCCAAAGATCAGGCTACTGCCATGGCCAACTCCCTACGAAGGTTCCTGAAGGAGGCACAAGATAGGGATTGAGGGGAAGAAGCAGGTGGAAACAGACAGGTGGCCAGTGGCTGGAATGCCTGGTCACAGATAATACCAGATCAAGAAACTAAACACAAAGAACCAAGAAGGGGACCTAACTAAGGGAAGTTACTATCTAAAAAACTGGTGCTTAGTCATTAGGAGAAAGCCAGGAGCCCAGTGACCAGAACTAGAACGTAGCAAATCTGATCTGAAGTTTGCCACTGGCCCAGGGCTCCTCAGGTTCCTTTTGATTAAGAATCAATTTGTCAATTGATTTAATTCATCCAAATGATCTTCTAGCCCACCCTAAAAACAATGGAGAGGAGAAGTAATCCAGTATGTTGAAGGCTAATGGATGTTTTGTTAATCTCAAAGCCCAATTAAAACCCTATTTAGAAAAGCAAAACTATTCCATCTCTGATTTCAGCATACTGGCAAACACACTAAGGCTAACCTGATCCTTTGTGGCCTTCCTCCTGCATTGTATGCTGGTTCTGTGACCAAGTAGGTGAGAGACATCATTTCTCACATCGAGGAGACCCAGCTGGTGTCCAAATGTTACTGCTAACACTTATCTGCAATGATCCTCTCTAACCACTGGCTAAAGATTCAGAATGTGTATTCCAATTGTAGGCGGGCTAAGTTTTATTAAAAAGTAAAATTTTCCCCTCAACAAAATACTTACTTATTATCGTCATTTTTGTTTTCTGTTTTTCAAATGGCAGAGCACAGTAGGCAAAGGGACAATTTGCAATCTCAGAATAAAAGATTTTCAGAACCAGAAGAAACCTGACAGGCCAGCTAGTGTAAACCTTCATTTTACAGACAAGGGGATAGAGACCAGGAAGGTCAAGTGACTTGTTCATAGTCAACCAGCTGGTGAATGGAAGAAGTAGGGACCTTTTCTCCTTGGCCTCAGTACTCTCTCTGCCCATCTCCCAGGCTGTGCATTGATGCCTTTTAGGGAATGTCATGGCAAACCCTTTAAAAGAAAGCAGATAAGGAAAGTTACTATTTGCACTCTGAGCATTTAGAGGCTGGTAGAGATGTGGTGCTTTGCCCTTGAGGGTAATTGCGCCCTGTGGCTGCCATGGCAGAATTAACGCCCTGACAAGGAATCCAAAGCTTCTCTCAGGCCATAAGGGCACAGAATTGGGAATCAGTTCATTTTTGCAGCTTAATAGTCACTTCAGGCACAAAGAATGGCCGAACATCTTACAATGGGCCTATTTTCTTCTGCGCAAATGGACTTCATTTGTCCAATAAGGACTCAGACAAATTTGACCCCAGTCTATGAGCAGCCCTGCCAGACTGCCATGGCTTAGGTCAGGGTCGCTGGGTAAGGCTCATTGGTTTTCCCTGGGATGGGAGATTGCCACCAATTTTGAGCTAGCTTTGAGTGCATGTTAATTTCCTTTATTTGCTCTAGGCACTAATTCATTAATTTATCCTTTCCCCTTTTCCTTCATTTTATTTCCCCAACAAACATTTCCTAAAGGCTTAGAATAAGACAGTATTAAGAACTGTGAAGGAAATATATTAACATCTTGTTGTCTGCATATTATACTTCATTTTTCAGTTTTTCCTTGATCTGTCAAACAGTCTGAACTAGCCCCTAAATTATATTCTGCTAACATAATTCTAATCAGAGACCAAACATTGATCATACCCAATGTGCAGATGGGCTTCATCGGTCCAATAAGAACTCAGACAAACGCCTGAAGGATGTTCAAACAGCATAGCTATGAAGAGTTGCCCATAATAGGGTTCCTCCCTTTTGACTAATGCATCATATTTCCTTTGATGTTCAAAGTGTTAGTAAAATAGTCTGCTACCTTCTAATGCAGTCAACTTAGGTCTGTTTAGAAAAGGAGCCTTTTCTCCAACAAAAATGTTGGAGAAGCAGTATAGCTCGGAAATTAACAGACTGCTTTTGGAGCCAGAGTGCCTGACTTTGAATCTCACTTTTGCTGCCTACTGTCTGGGTGACACTGGGCAGTTTACTTAAGCTCTCTGTGCTTTCCACTCTTCATATGTAAAGAAGTGGGGGAGATAAGATTGTTGGGAGAATTAAATTAGCCAATCCATGTAAGATGTTTAGAGCAGGGCCTCACTCTTATTTTATTCTGCATCTCAAATATACCATAAAGACAAAAATAAAGAGCTCACAGTTCAGCCTACTGCTGCTCCATCTTGCCTTCCCCACAGTTCCTCCACAGAGCACCATTTTTAAAAAGTTATTCCATTGAAGTTTTTTTGTACATCTGTGTTACTAAGGCAATTGCTCAAATAGGAGGGTGCCTCTTCAGTGGTATTCTAATTATAACAGTATAATTTTTCACTGAAAGCCCAATTCAACCTTTGTACACATACACGCTTATGAATGTGGAGATGAAAATATCACAGAGCTAATAGCTTTGCCTTGTGCCATCTCGTCCAATCCCGCAGAGGAAAGCTGTCTGTGTTGGCATCACTGCCCCTTGTAGAAATGAATCATCGACTCCACAGCTACTGAGTAACTAACTACTGCATGAGTTCACAGCAAAACACGCTGAAAGCGTTGGGGAGGGGACGCTGAGGCTGGGAATAGATAATAGATGACAATGTGGGTGGTGGAAAGTGGGAGGGATTCCAGAAGGGAGAATCAGGGAGGACTTTCCAGAGATTTTGAAGCCTGGTGTAGACCTTGAATGATGAAAAGGTATTCCAGGCAGAAGGATCAGCCTGTCCTGTGCTTTTGTTGTTGTTGTTGTTCCTATTACCCTTACTACAAGCGGAAAAATCATGCAAATAAACCTGCTTCCTATTTCTTTTGTGTCACTGTCTAAGACACCAGTCCGTTAGCAGAATGTTCATCTACCTTGCACCCCATTTATGCTACAGCCTCACACGCGTTTTTCCTTCCAAACCTGTAACTCTTTACTGTTCCTATTGTCATGGGTAAGCACTGGAGGATACTGATTGATTGATTGATTGTTTTGTTTTTTCATATCACATTCATTCCAAGGCAGGAAGCTGAGGCTTCTGGAACATCCAGGATTTGATCATTCTGATTATCATTCTGAATTGAAATGAGTAAAATCTCCTCTGCATACAAACCCTAAAGAGTCCCCAGGCTGCTAGTGCGCACACAGATGTGCAGGAGGAATCCGTCCTCCACTTGTCCATCTTTCTAGCACTGGCCGGGGCAAACATGTCTTGTGCTGACCAGTACTGGCCCTTACCATCAATGCTGTCAGACCTGACATGCCCTTGGCTTGAAGTATTGTTTGGTTTCTAGATCTGTTGTCTTTAATATTTCTTTTGCATCCTTGTCAATTTTCCTTTCTTTTTGTCTCCTAGCACTGCCAGCGGAACACGACAGGAGAGCACTGTGAAAGGTGTCTGGATGGTTATATTGGAGATTCCATCAGGGGAGCACCCCGGTTCTGCCAGCTGTGCCCCTGTCCCCTGCCCCAGCTGGCCAAGTGAGTCCTAAAGGAAGACAGTCTCATCTAATGATCATTCTTTTTTTCTTTTCTTTCTTTCTTTTCTTTCTTTCTTTCTTTCTTTCTTTCTTTCTTTCTTTCTTTCTTTCTTTCTTTCTTTCTTTCTTTCTTCTTCTCTTTCTTTCTTCCTTCCTTCCTTCCTTCCTTCCTTCCTTCCTTCCTTCCTTCCTTCCTTCCTTCTTTCTTTCTTTCTTTTTTTTTTTTTTACCTATTCAGAGTTCAGAGGTTTTTCCGCAGTCGAAACAGAATACCTCATGTTAAAATGAAACTGGAAAACATATAGAAACGTTCTCCAGCCTAAATACACTGTCAAGGAAGCTCAAGCACTTGCAGTATAGGTGATGACTCTGTTCCCAAAATATTGGAGTGCATCATAGGGTCAATGAAGTCTTCTAGGTTTTATAAACAAGGCTAGTCTCATCTTTTCTTGCCTATCTCCTGACCTAGAGAGAGCACAGCTGGTAATGCCAAAAGACTCGTTATAATATAGTATTTTCAGTAGTACTGTTTCTTCTCTCACAAAATAGACATTACCCTACATGTGGCAGCTTTTCAATCAGAATTAGAACACAAATAAACAGCATACATGCTTACATGACCTATGAGAAAACAAACTCTCATTTCTGGCTATGGTTTGACCTGAGTGAGAAGTTAAAGACAATAGACACACATCTTAATGGAAATAATGGAATTCTTTTCAGGTACATAATATGTATAAATCCAGTAATCAAATCATGACTGGCCATTTTACTGGCCTAAACATGATAGAGTATAGAAGTAAAATGGTATAGTGATATATGGTTTTCCAAATGTCAATCAGTTCTCCAATTCTCTACACCAACTGCATGTCCTGCAATCAATTTGGTCTGACACTAAGTTTGTGGAGTTGGCACAGACCCCATAGGTTAGGATCAGTTTCACAAAACTGCCCCCACTTCAGATGCTAGCTAAAAGGGGTCCCAGGCTACTCACACTTTTGCCCAGCAGACTACAAATTTTGAGCATTGCCTCAACCCTTCCCTCAGGTGGATAAATCATTAAATTGACTCACAGAACTCAGAAAAGTGCTGTACTTATGATCGTTAGTTTATTATAAAGGATACAACTCAGGAACAGCAAACTGGAAGTGATGCATATGGCAAGATATGGAGAGGTGGGGCTGGGGACAGGTGCAGGGACACAGTGCTCTCTCTCTATTGGAGCACCTCATTAGCATAAACTCAGGTATGGAGACAGGCTTGCTATAAACAACTAAAGGCAGTGCTTTCAGTCAGGAAATTCCAAAGATTATAGGAGCTCTGTGCCAGGAACCAGGGACAAAGACTAAATACTGGATTTGTGTTTTTTATTATATTACAAATGGAAAGAGCAGCAAACCTAAGTTCATATTTCTCTTGTGACACATAACACCTGTGGGATCTTAGACAAGCTACTTTCTCCCAATATTTCATTTTCCATGGGGTTCAGGATCAAGAAGACTAGGATCAGATCTTGACTCCATCCCTAATTATTTTACCAGCTCTGGATCTCAGCTTTTTTCTTAGTATAGCAAATCAAACTAAGAATTAAGAATCTGTGACTTAGAGTTGTGAAGATGTAACTAAGAGAGTATGTGTGGTGCATTTGGGTTGGTGCATTGCCCATGGAAAGGTGTTAGGTAGATATTTTCATTACTGGACACATAGCATTGTATTTTTTCTAATATTTATAGCTTACTTATGTCAGGCACTGTTCTAAGTGTTTGGATGTAATATTTAATTGATAGCTGTTGTAAAGATTAAATTAAATGATGTACATAAAATGACTAAAAAACACACCTAAGTACCTTCTCCCACACCCACACCCACACTCACACACTTACTTATAAAGAGAAAAGAGACAGAGATGTCAACCAGATTTCCCACTAGTTTTTTTGTTAATTGAACAGCAACATGGACTGACATTTCACTTACTACCTTGTGATGTGTTCAACTGCCCCAGACCTTGCTTTGTGGTGTTTTCATGTTCAATAGTATGAATAATATGTACACAATGGATGGTACCAGGAGTGAGGGTAGAAAATACAAACATTAAATGTTCTGTTATTTTCATTCAAGTATATCCTGATATTTTTTTCTTTGCCTCATCTAGGTATATTCTTCAATCATTCATTAACATTCTGCTCTCAAACATTAGTCTTAAACACATTTGATGTGGTTAAGCACATCTCTTTCTTGCCATGATATGGTTTGTTAAATATATTTACCTCCAGCTTCCTAATAACTGGTTTCACTCAATCTCCCATATAAAGATGCTGTGTAGCATCATCTACTCACAAAAGATTCATAAGCTTTAAGCTGTAGATAGTTTTTTTTAGGTAGTAACAGATGAATTAGAAAGGAAATCTCAGATGGCTCTTTCTAATTGTGTTGTTCAATTTTTGCCCCATTCACATGACAACACTTGCTTATCAAAATGATATGACATTAATGTCTTGAGATATGAGAATTTCAGAACATCATTCCCTATGGACTGAGAAGTCTTGTCTACATGCAATCATAAATTATTGAGTGCTTACTATATTCCAGTATAGAAACTGGTATTTTTCGAGTACTTATTACATGCCAGTGATATCTACTAGTCACTGGTGACACAGTGAATAACGCAGTCAAAAAGCATTACCTTTATTAAAATAGGTCAAAATATACCAATTTTTGCAAGAGTAGATGGTCCTTTTGATCCACATTAATCCCGTATGTTAGTCAAAAAAGAAGTGCTTCTGAAGGCTAACTCTTTTCAATGAATGAAGCGGAAAGTAGCCAACTGGGTGTGAATCTCCTGTCCTGAAAGAAGAAACAGTTTCCAAAGGCATCAAGGACCACCATTACTATGGCTGTTCTTTCTGAGGGTGTGAGTGGATCCAGGGTTCAAAGGAGCAGTTAAGGGACTTAGGGAATGTGCTCTGAAGTTAGGTACATATCCACAGATATGAAAACTGAGTCTCTGTAGTACAGATGTAAGTTTGAAAAACCTGATGGAAATGAAAACGAACCAAAAATCTGTCACCTATAAATAAACAGTATGTACGAGTAGGGAGGAATTGCTAAGAGTGTAAGAGACCTCTGAGATTTTGCAGACTTTTGTCTGTCCTGGCAATAGCTCTACTTCCTGAATCCCTTTGGGGTAGAGAGGTGGGGAACTGGCAGCAGAAAGGGAAGGAGGGGATAAGCTGTGGTCATAAAACAGAACAAATCTCCTTGGATCCCGTAAGATTCTAACCTATAATCTGGCTTTATTATTGACTTAATTAACTAATCTCAAATGCTAATCAAATATCAAAAATCAAATCCCCCATTGTTTCTTTCGGTTTTTCTTTTAAATATTCATATTGCTACTTTTTATAAAAATAAAAGTTCCAGGACTTTTCAAAGACACCCCCAGTTTGGAATCTGAATTACACTTTGAAAGATCCACAGAGTTGAGCCTACAGCCCCAGGATTTGGATTTCCAGTTACAATAGCCACATCAGAAAGCTAGGAAATAATGCTTGAGAGAGTTAAGCAAGCAAACAAAAGACAGAGTCTATTTTTCTTTAGGTTCCCTGAGGGTTTTCTAAGAGTGAAAAGCACCCTTCCACTTGAAGGGGCGGTCAGAGTGAGCTGAGAGGGATGCAGTGCTTGCATTTTCCTGGCCAAAACCAGAGTTTACCTTAAGAAAAACATAAACAGTTTATGCTGAGGAAAAACAAAAATGAGCCCTCGAGGGCTGGTACTGCCTCCAAGTCTCCGCCACTACCACTGAGACTGCAGTTGTTCCTGGGGACCATTTGCTCTGTTCATGTTCTTATTTTGAGGTTGGCCAGACATCCTCCATCTCTACCAGTAGCTATGGAAATCGTTCCAATTAAGGAAAATGTCATCTGTTTGAAACAGCAGGACATCAGCCACAGGCAGACGACTCCAGATGCCCCCGGCAGATGTTTCATCCTTCAAGCCGTGGGCGGGCTGCTGGGTGGAACACCTTCAAAGAAAGATGCGTGGGGGGTTGTTCATGTTCTGGACTCTTAACTGACAGTGATTTTTTAAGTGGGCTAACAAGTACAATAAAGGGTAAAAGGTCACAGAAATGTAATTTTGTTGGAATGTTTTTAGCAAACTGTTAGAGAAAATAAATTGTGGGTATTGCCTTTCACTGAGAAACACATATCGTTTTCTGACTGATTTTATGTCTTCAAACAAAGCAAACACATCCTCCATTTGCTTTCCTCTGAAGACCATTAGGGTAAAATTGCTGATGCGTGCAGGAACGGGAGAGCAGCGGGTCACACGCCATTGGCTGTACAGTACCTGAGCCAAAACTAATTGGAAAGTCTTGAAAATGTTCCACATACACACACACACACACACACACACACACACACACACACACACTCCCCTACACCCCACACAATTCATATCTCAATGTAGAATTTTCCAAACTGTGGCCAGCAAAGCCCCACATCCCTGGTCTTGATAATTAGGGGTAGTTATCCTGCTGAACCAATATTTTTACTACTTTTCCATCCTGTGTCCTATTTTTTATTATCTTAAAGAAAAGGAAGAAGAAGAAAGAGACGGGAGTTCATGGACTAAAATCCTTGTATGCCCTTGCTGGAGTACTTGCTTTGTGACATTGATCAACTCAGCCAGTCCCTGCACCCTTATTCCCAATCTTTGAGATACATATAAAAGAGATTAAGGTTGTGGAGATCATAGAGTATAGTTTAGAACTGGTTCCTGCCCTTTAAAAGTAGGCAAGATCTAGTACAGAATAAAAGGGGAAACTGTTAAAAATATACACAGAAAGTGGTGGGAAATAAGAAGGGATTCTCATATAGCAGGCAAAATTTGATTATTTTATTTCTGGCTTTGGAATATATGTTTTAGACTTGTGTTTGAGATAGATATAGATATAGATATAGATATAGATATAGATACTGGGAATGGTCCCACCAAAGAGTGGCATTTTGTATCTGAGCATACTGGTTGAAACTTTCCTGCAAGGTAAAGTAGTAAGTTTAAATAAAGCAAAAGATCACACCCATTAGAACTTCAAGGGGACTAACATAGAGGTGATCTAATAAAAAGGTAAGACAATCTCTTCAGTGGTGTATGGAACTGTTTTCTAACATTCACTTACAATTCTAGTTTTGCAGAATCCTGCTATAGGAAAAATGGAGCTGTTCGGTGTATGTGCAAAGAAAACTATGCTGGACCTAACTGTGAGAGGTAGGCTAATACAATTCTTTGTTTTCTGTGTGAGTCAAAGGAGGCTTTCTGTTTCTTGCACTCATCAGCTCTGCCATGCTCCTGCAGGGGCCATTGTTCCCCTTGGCCCTCTGAAAGTTCGCTGAAAAATCATTGACAAGACACAGATTAATTGGAGAAAAGGCATACAAATTTATTGAATGTGTATACACAGGAGCCTTCAGAATGAAGACTCAAGGTACAGGAGAAATTGTCCATTTTTATGCTTAGGTTTAACAAAGCATAGACAGCCATGTAGAAATATGATCGGACACAAAGGATATGATCTAATGCTAATAGACTGAGTGAGGAAACCTGCCTGTCAGCTGCTCACAGTTTTCTAAGATAAAATGGCTTTTGCTAAAAAAGACTCACAGAGAGATCTTATTTTTAACAGAAATGCCTTCAGTATTGACCTCCTCATTGTGTTGAGGCAACTAAGTGATGGGTAGTGCCCTAAAGACAGGGAGGGAAGGGCCAAGAGGTACCTCCCAAACAGCCAGTCACACCTCTTCAGCCAGCTCACCTCAGCACCTGAGCACCCCCACGGCCCTGAGGGAGCTCACGAACTCAGCCTGGTCTTAAAATGTAAACCGGAAATTATGAGCAATCTCACTTCCAAAGAGAACCCTCTCTATCTCTCAGAGAGTAGTTCCAAAATAACAAACAATAAAAAGCCACAGCGTCTGTGGGACAGAGGAAATTTCCACACTCAGAAGGCATTATTATGACGATGATTAATGAATGTGCAAAATGTGGATAATTCTTTCACTAAAGGGTTGTGGAATTTATTTTATTTATTTTTTTGCCGTAACAAGGAAAGCGAGAGCTGAGGTCCCACGTGAATTTCATCCATTAGGAGGGAGGGACGACAGAGATGATCAGATTACGCTGAGCTGATTAATGTTTGTGACACATTTATTCTGTATTTCCTTACTTGAGGACACAGGAACATGAGGCACCTGATTTGCTCATTTTCTGGCTCAGTGGAGGTCTGAGAGGTTTGTTAATCAGCCAGGATGGAGCTTTTTCTCCTCAGACTCAACTCAGCTTGGTCTGATAATGGCTGAACAGTATTGCTAATGGGTGTCCCCATGGCTGTGAGAGGGGCGTTAATGGCCCTAAATAGAGCCCTGCTGACTGAATGCAAAGCCTCCCAGAAATGAAATAGTCTCCACCCTAAGGCCCTAAGGGCGCAGTCCTGGAAAATAACACAGGGGTGCAGATAAAGCTTCTGTCAGGGACAGTGGCCCCCAGGCCAACCCAGGACAGCATGCCCACCCCCACATGGGATTGCAGATGATAAATCTCCTGGCCCTCATGGGAGGCTCCCAGGCTGTGCCATTACCCAGCAAGACTGGGTGAGATCTCATACTGGAATGGTAGGCCCCTGGCCCTGCAATAGTAGGACCCAGGAAAGAGCACTAGTTTGGGTAGGAAAGCAGAGTGTTAAAGAGATTTTTGCATGGGCCTGGCTGAGTTTGCATCTCAGCTCTTGCCACTGTTGTGATCCTCCTGGGCAGGTTATCTGACCTCTTTAAATGCCAATTTCCACTTCCAGAGTGGAAAAAATGAAGGTGCCCAGTTCACAGGACTGCTGTGAGGTAATACTGCAAAGTTTTTAGTATGGCACCTGACACTTCATAAATGCTCAATAAAAATTAACTGGTGACAGTGTGAGTCATTGTGGTCATTGTCCAACTTTTGCCACTGGTGTGGTGATGTGTAGTGGGGACAGTCATTTTCCTGAATCTTCATTTCCTTAGCTAGAAATCACGGTTTTGAACTACATAGTGACATTTATTGATTACCTCTCATGTCTTTGTTGCTTTACATTCTTCATCTGTCATCCTCACAACCACCCTGAGAAGTTATATTTTGTCATTTTGCAGATAAGGAAACAACCGGAGGGGCCAGATCACCCAAAAGAAGGTGGCCTGTGCTGCTTTTGATTTGTGTGAGACCCTGGGAATGAAAGAAGGGTTTCTATTTTGAGTTTAACAGCCAAGTGCTTAAGTTATCTGAGAATTTAATCTATGTTTTCAATGTATTTGTGAACTTTGACCTCTCCACAAGAGTTTTTCAAAATATACAGCTGGTTTGTACAGATTTCTGTTTCATACAAAAGCAAAAATTAGTCCAAACCAAGAATACTCTGGGTCTTTCTGTAGTTAGGGATTATTTAAGCCAGTGGTGGTTTTCAAATCTGATTGTGTCTAAGTGTCTTTTGGAACCCTTTGGATTCCTAAGCCTTCCCCGAACCCTCCTCCACCACCCACCGAAAAAGAACATGTAGGGGTGAGGCTCAGGACCCTTGTTTTGACTTCCTGTTGGATTCTCATGCACCATGGCTCTCACTGCTTTGAGAACCACTGCTCTACTTTAACCTTCAGCTCCATAACACACAATAGAAGTGTTTCTCACACTGTGGCCTAACAACCCCTGATGTACTCAGAAATATTCACGGAGGTTCATGGATGCTCGGTGAACATTTTCTTAACTTTATGTTTAATTTCAATGATAATCTTGAGAAAAACATTCATTGAAACATGGTCTAGACTTTCTGTAGTATCACTTTATAACAAAGGGAGATGTCCCTCAATGATGGGGAGAAAATAACAGGGGTGATGGTGTGTCAGTGACACATGACAGACAATTGGAGGTTGAATGGCATGGCATCAAGGCAAGTTGTAAAACTAATGATTCCAGAAAGAAAATTGGTGAGAGGAAGGAGCCATCACATAGCACATGGCAGGGCATGCGTGCTGGACTCTGACGATCCTCTACTGCATCAAGTTGCAAGTGGCCACTTGGTCGAAACAAGACAGCGTAATCCTTTGTCTTGAATTAATGTTTATTTTAATTTGATTAGTTTTATATTTTTGTTTATGTTTTATCTGGAAATTTGCTTTGGTTTTCAAAGCATATAAAAGCTGTACATACAAGGAATTTCCACCTAGTTTTATGTCTGAAATATTTAAAGATAATTTAAATGAACACTGGAGGGGGTATTCTATGAAAATGTTTTTCCATTAAAAGAGACCCGTATTACACAGAAATTTGAGAATCACCGATCTGAAACATAAAACATGTTTTACCTACTCTATGTCTTATGGTACGATGTAAAACAGCTCAAACATACCCACCTGCCTTGTCCTAACTATTAGGTCCACGATTCTTAGCCTGCTCTGGCCCCTCCTGTCTTTCTTCCCTAAAGGGCTTCTCCCACTTCACACTTTAAACTCCACATGTTGGGCATGCTGTTCCCAAAATCCAATGTATCAGCTGGAGACCTTACCACTTCATATTGCATTTAGGCCATGAGCACAATGATAACAATAATAGCTAATATTTATTGAGTGCTTACTGTGTGGTGTGCCAGGCACGATTATTAAGCATTTCACAGACACTGACACATTTAAGCCTTAAAAAAAAAATCCTATAGGGTACCATTTTTATCCTTATTTACAGAAGAAGAGACACAGAGAGTGTGTCACTTGCCCAAAATCACACAATGGCTTTTTTGTCTCTACTGGTAAACTATGAACACCTTGACAGGAGCAGCATCTTGCCCTTTCTCTGTCCAGTCTTCCTCCATCACAGTGTCTGCCACGTTGTGGGCACTCAGCTATGTTTGTTGAAGTAATGCTTTTTCCTTAATTAAAAAGCAACAGTCCTTTCAATGTTCTTTTTTAAAAAGTATGATGTAATGAAGACAGTCAGTCTTTTCTTGCCCTGTTTTAGCACCCCACCCCCACCCCACCTTCCACACCATACCAGGAAAATGGAAAAAGGTGACCCAGAATTGACTGAGTCAAGTCAATGCCATCTGGCTGAAGAGAAGTTGGAAATGGAAATGGAAGTTCTCTTTTGCTGCAAATAATCACAAAATGCACAAGCCTTACAGAAGGAGTTTTGCAAATCTCATTCTCATCCCAGTTCACTCCACAATTAAGTACATTTTATTTTGTGGGGTTTTCTTTGTTTTTTTTTTTTTTGTTTTTTGAGACAGAGTCTCACTCTGTTCCCCCGGCTAGAGTGCTGTGGCTGCTGTGGCGTCAGCCCAGTTTACAGCAACCTCAAATACCTGGGCTCGAGCAATCTTCCTGCCTCACCCTCCCGAGTAGCTGGGACTACAGGCATGTGCCACCACGCCCAGCCAATTATTTATATATATATATTTTAGTTATCCAGATAATTTCTTTCTATTTTTCAGTAGAGGCAGGGGTCTTGCTCTTGCTCAGGCTGATTTCCAACTCCTGACCTTCCACGATCCACCTGCCTCAGCCTCCCAGAGTCCTAGGATTACAGGTGTGAGCCATCACGCCTGGCCGGCAATTAAGTATATTTTAAAGATGAGGTGCTCACTTTGGCAGCACATATACTAAAATTGGAATGATACAGAGAAGATTAGCATGGCATCCTGCACAAGGATGACATGCAAATTCAGGAACCATCCATGTATTTATGTTGCATGTTCTTACCCATATGTGGGAGCTTAAAAAAAAATGAGCTCTTGGAAGTAGAGAGTAGAATTGCAGTTATTAGAGGCTGGGAAGGTTAGGGGGCATGCAAAGATAGAGAGAGGTTGGTTCACGGATGCAAAGTTACAGCTAGAGGAGAGGAATAAGTTCTAGTGTTCTATAGCATTGCACTGTGAATATGGTTACCAACAATTTAATGTATATTTCCAAAAGGCTAGAAAAGAGGATTTTGAATGTTCACAACACTGAGAAATGATAAATGTTCTAAGCTTTACACTGATGTGATCATTATACATTTTATACATGTATCAAAGTATCATTCTGTATCCCATAAATATGTATAATTATTATGTGTCAACTAAAAATAAAAGGAAAAAAATCCTTGTTCAGGAGCTCACTAGCTCCCCCCCAAAAATATATATGGTAGTATATATGTAATAAAAATGAACTCATTCAGAAAATGATGAGGAACCTGAGACTCAGAGCCATGAAGAGACTTCATCTAAAGTCACACAATTCATTAGTATTAAATCCAAAACTAAAGCCCAGGACCCTCAATGTTCAATCCAGTTTTCAGTTGATAAATTTATACAATCTCAATACTTCAGTGTTTCACTGTTCGGGACCTTTAACCCCCAACAGGAAAGGCAGGACATAGTATCACCAGAGATGATCATGCTGACAATAGTAATGATTTTAATGATGGCCTTGATTTGGAGAAGAATAAGGGAAAAGAGGAAGAGACAGCTAACATTTATTGAGCCTTACTGGGATACAGAGATTTAGTCTAATTTTCTATGAAGGAAGGTATCAAGTTTTTCAAACTTAAGCTATCAGCCCTGTTATTTGCATAGAGTCCTATGACTCCCCACTCCATGCCTTGCCCCACTTCTGGATTCTTGTCCTGTAACCTTGAATAGGTTACTTATATTTTCTTAGTCTTGTTTCCCAGCCTCTCATAAAGAAGTGGAAACCATTTTTATGGCACACTTTACAACAAGTGCTTTTTATTACATCATTTTATTTAAGTCCAATGACATCTACAGAGTGACATCCTCCTGTGCCACGCAGAAACCTTTCAGACCAGGAGTTTGAGTACCTTTGATAAAGCCATTCAGTGACAGCTATATAACTCTGGGAGGAAGAGCAGAAATCGAGAAAGAAAAGAGGAGAAGAGCTCCGAACATTCCCCTAGCAATAGCTTTTGGTCAAAATCCTCCATTTTTCCCAAAGAATATATACTTTGCTTTTCCATTTTGCCTAGATAATATGATCACTAACTGAAATGACAAAGTTCATATGCCAGTCTCATTTGTATAGTAAACTTATCAGCTGTATTTTCCCTAGATGGATCAAGTCATTAATAGAAATAGAAATGAGATTATGGAAGAAAAAAATAAGAACAGACTACTGAGTACTGGGGCTCCAGTGCTGACTCTAAATCCAAGTATTCCTCCTTTTTCATATTTTCTATTAGCTCTTTGAGGGCAGGATTGAGCACATAGCTAGCATTTGATTATTCAACTGTTATAATCATTAATGTATTAATTAGTGAATTCATTAATGCCAGACTCGTGGAGTGAAAGAGCATTAAGCCCGGAGTCCCACAGAGGTTTGAGGCATGCAGCAATGAATAAGTCATTTAGCTTTACTGCGCTTCCTTATGTATAAAAATAGGTGTTTGTCGGGGGATATCATAAGTAAATCTTTGTATGCTCATTCTGTAAAATTTATAGAAGCCAGAGTTTGGTCTAAAACTTCAGTGTTGCCTCTGAATCTGCCACCAAAACTTTTCTTTAAACTCAGAGTCACTCAAAGTAGGTTTCCACTGTGATCGAGATTCCAACTTGTAGATTAGAATATTTGGTTTTTCTTTTGTGAAAGCCCAGGGGATAACATACAAAGAGCAAATACAGTCGATTTAAATGGAGAAAAGGAAGTCACTGGCATCTGGGCAAGTCCCTTTGCTCCCAGACCTCTAGGCTCCCAAGTACTCATTGAGGTGGTAGATCTGAGTCCCATTTTCATGGGCCTAAGGGTTTAATATTCTCTGTTTGGTGAACTGCAGCAAAAGATAGAAATTCAATCCAGCTGCATGTTCCACAGAGGAATAATTTATGCTGGCTTGTGGACCAGAGGGCCTATAAACCTGAGGTGCAAAAACATAAGAAAGTGTGAATAACAAAACTCATTGAACATTTCCTCTTGCAGTGTCTCTTTGTGGGTTGTATAGAACTTATCTTCATCTTCCTCATCTTTTTCATAGACCTTGATTTCTAGCGTTCATGATATTGTGTATAATTATGTTTCACTCATTTCCTGCTCTTTCAGAGCATGAGCTATGTATTTTTCCTCTTCCTGTCTCCCTCTGTGCCTTACATAAAACAGACATGAATCGTCCCTCTGTTGGATGAATTCACTCATTCATTCACAGCAGCAGCAGCAGCAGCGTGGTCCAGGGTGGAGCAAAGGAAAATACATCAGGGTCAGAGGGTTTGGACCTTGTGCTGTGACTTCCAGCTCTGAGGTCCTGAAAAACTGAAGTAGCTTCTCAGCCTCAGAATGCCAGGCCTGGGTGGCCTCCCTCCCAGGTGTATGTGGCAGCTTAATTAAATCACATAGGTGAGACACAGTTCAGGTAAAGAGTGGAATGACTGAACATACACCATCACTACAACTACACCAAAAAACTGAGACACGAGAAAAGAGGCTGGAAAATCGTACACAAAATGTTGACAGTGATTTTGTCGGGGTCCCAGGGTTACAGGTGTGATTTTTTTCATTTCTGTTTTTCAAATGTTCTGAATCATGATTCTCTTACTTTAAAGGGAAGCCTTTCAAAAATGTAGTGTCTTATTATTGCTGGCCAGGGCACGTTGATTTCCTTGGAAAGCTCTCCTTTCCTTTCCACTCCCAAGGCCAGCGCCCCAGCCCAGGCCCTCACACCCCACCCGGTGTGCGGCTCCAGCCTGCAGGCCACCCTGACCCCAAGGCCAGAGCCACTCCCTCCACCACCACCTTCATCACACTCAAGACCCCGGCCGGCTCTCTCTTTTTCTCTCTCCCACGTCAAAACTAACTCCTCTGCCGGACCAACTCTTCTCCCCTTACGGTGGCACCACATGTTCTTTCCAGTGACTCCCAGAGTGTCTTCAGCTCCAGGTAGCCCATCTTCCACACTCGCTTAGGGTCCACTGCAAAAGAGAGTCCACAATCAGCAAACGTGTAGCTTGATCCGTACAGTATTCTTACAAAATTTGAGCCGGCTTTTAAAAATTGTAATTTCACGTAAAAATCCAAATTTCTACTTTTTTCTTCCAAAATGAGATCTGGCAACACAAGTCCTTCATTCCCTCGAGGCTGTGGTCTGGCAACAATTGACTGGAGCCTGGTAACAGCTGCCCCCTTGGATGGGGCCAGTAGTCCCACTCACTCACAGCAGGGCCCTTGCTGGCCTGTAGGGCACCTTTGGGAAACGTGGAGAAAGGCATTTCTTCCTCCCAGCAAAGGCAGCTCCACCTAGAGAGCACAGCTTGGCACGGAGAGCAAAGGCTGGGTGGACTTCAGTAGCTACTCTCCAACTCGGCTGTGCTCCCTTGCTAAGGGCCCAGCCAGCATGGCCTTAGGCACTGGCTCTGCAAACAGTAAATGCTGACATATCTAAAACATTCAGAAGAGCAGCAACCTGGGCTCCAACTCTGTTTATCTGTGGACCGTCAGCTCCGCCCTCTGCCTCGTCTCCAGGCTGGCTTTGCTCAGTCACAGGTGGCTGCCAGCAGCTAAGAGTGCTACCTACTGCCTCTTTATTCATCCGAAATCAGAGAGAATCTGTGTCCATGACCCTCAAACAACAGCCTTGAGCTACCCTCCGATTGAATCCCTCCTGAGTCAATCCCATTTGGTCAGGCACTGATTGGCTCAGGCTTAGTCACTTGAACAATTCATTTCTGCAAGACAAATTATGATTTAGACTAATGTTTCTCAATAGAGGTATTATTAACATTTTGTCCAGGACATGTCCCAGCTGTACCCTGAGATCTGCATACATCTCATTGTAGGACATTTAGCATCTCTAGTTCTACTCATCATATGCCAGCTGTGCATCCCAGTCCCTGGGATAACTAAAAATGCCCTTACACTAGCCTAATCTAGACACTCCTACAATTAATTGCAGCCCTGGCTGAACTGACGGGCCTACCACACAATGGAGAGGGGTGGGTTCTTAAAAACAAAGTCTGGTCCTATTAGAAATATGGGAAAGTGGGAATGGATTCTGGGAGGGCAATTTGCAAATATCCACAATACCTTTCTTTTATGCAGGAAAAAGGATAAAAAGAGAGAGAAAGTATGGATGCTAAATGATTAAATGTGTGATATTCCGCTTCAGATGTGCTCCTGGTTACTATGGAAACCCCTTACTCATTGGAAGCACCTGTAAGAAATGCGACTGCAGTGGAAATTCAGATCCCAATCTGATCTTTGAGGATTGTGATGAAGTCACTGGCCAGTGTAGAAATTGCTTACGCAACACCACTGGGTTCAAGTGTGAACGCTGTGCTCCTGGCTACTATGGGGATGCCAGGATAGCCAAGAACTGTGCAGGTACAGTACTATAAATACTAAGCCAGCTGCCTGGCCAGCAGGGCCCTCTGTTAATACGGAATTTAGAAGAAGAATTTATCTTAAGAAATAGTGCAAGTGCCTTCTTGGCACTTTTCCAGGGCAATGTACATTCTCAGGAATGTACATTCCAAACTCAACTAGGGATAGGAATTTTTATCTAGGCTCCTAGTGTAACTTAGCTCATGGGTAGAATGAACTAGGAGACATGAACACAAATGAACTTTTGTCTTATTATATCCTTCCAATTTTGATCAAAGTAATAAATCAGACCTCTGTGAATTACCTATCATTGACCAGAGGGCCAAATGAAATCTTGCATGGTTCAAATCAGTTTCCTTACTCTGGACGTTATATCTCCTCTTTCAGTTATGTTTGGTAAAATTGACATTTCAGTGAAATAGATTAGCAAGCCGCCCCCCAATTTCCTCAAATTGTCAGAGTAAATATTTCAAGAATAGTATAAGAAATATTCCTAGATGTGAGTTAGACTGAAATGTACAAATTTAATCATGATTTCTCCAATCCATTTGCTACATAGAGTGAAACTTCTCAGAAGTGAAGTTAAATTGCTTTTCTCTAGGAGTACAGGAAAACTGAGATTGAGTATTTCTTACTCCTATGTGCCTTTGAGGAGAGGTAGGGAAAGAGGGAGGTATTTTGCTCTTGTGGGCTGCTTCTGTAAGAAATCTTCCCTGAAACAAATTTCCACTTGAAAAGATTGAGGAAGTGAAGAGTTTAAAATCAAAGAGGGAATGTGTATGATCTGCAGAAGTCACAATAAAAGTAAACAGGTCTGCAAGAAAGCAATGTGCACAGAGGCATGACACTGAGAATGTGGCAGGAAGGAAGGAGCACTGTGTCTGCTCAGAACAGAGAGGAAGAAAGTATTCATCAGAAAGAGTGTTGACAAAAGCAAAGCCTGAACGGTGAACATTCTGATTCTCCAAACATTTACTAAACTTGTGTTTAAACTACAAAGATGCAGATCACATTTCAAAGAGTAGCTAACATAAGAAGCAATAAAGCATGATCTTTATTGCTGAATGTTTTAATAAATCTGCATTTTGTGGAACATTAAACAGCTGAAATGTAATAAATGGATGTCCCCATGAAGCTGATTTTTTATGATTATTCTGTAAAGACAGTTAAGAGGTGGGGAAAATTCACAATTCCATTTCAGCTTATTGCTAGCTTAGATAGCTAAGGAATTCCTCCGTAAGTATTATTAATACAAATGAATTCCCACGTAGAAACTTAGTGGAAAATGAACAGTCTGATGAGATTGGGTTTTTTGTTTTTATTTTTTCCAAAAGGCCTTATTGAAAATCATCAGTAGATGAATAATGGATTCTCAGGTCTTCTAAATCCATGTAAACACGTTCCTAATTCTTTCCAAAACAGTATTCCTAGCCCTCCCACTGATCGCTATCATTTAGAGGTTTGGAGCCTGCCTTGCCAAGGACCAAGCACCGTGGGAGCCAAGAATTGCTCCTGGGCCTCCTCGCTCTCCCTCGCTGGGCTGCTCCCCCCACACACCTGACAGCGATCAACCCTGGAGTTAGATTTAACTGGAGTATGAGTCTGCAATGAAGAGATGGCTTTCAATTTCGAGTTGAACGATGAGCTCCATGGTCATTTAGTCCCTTGTGAAACTTACCAGGATTTTTTTGGACTCAAGCAATTGCACAGTCATGTCAGAATCCCAAACAGTTGGGAGAGAAATCCTAGAAAACTTAGATTCAGTTTTGTCCAGGATCAGCTGTGAAAAATCTCACTGGTCTGGGGCTTGAGTGAGTGAGGGGTTTAATCGCTATATCGTAGATTCCACAAAGTCTTAAGGAAGAATCTAATTAATCCCCATTGAACAATTGAGGAATCGCTAGCATTTCTAGAAACCATGACGATATTGCCATATTTTAAGCATTAAGAAATGAATCCCTGATCACTTGTTTTTGTTTCCCACAGTGTGCAACTGCGGAGGAGGCCCATGTGACAGCGTAACCGGAGACTGCTTGGAAGAAGGTTTTGAACCCCCTACAGGCATGGACTGCCCAACCATAAGTAAAAATAACAGTACATGATTGACTAACTCCACTTTCCCTAATGTGCTGCAGGTGTGGGATTACGAAGAGCTCTGCAATGTCACTTTCTAGAAACTGCTGAGTCCCCACCCCTGGATTTAACCCTGTCTGCCTCTCAGCCAAATGGACCCTGCACAAAGTACTTGGTGGTCCACTTGATTCCAATTGGCAAATAGGTGGTTTGTATTTACATAGCTCTATTTTAGAAAACTTATGTTATCAGGTCTTTACATTTAGCATCTTGACTAATGGGTAAAGGCAAAGTCAGAAACAACTCCCAATGGCAGAGCTCTTTTTTGCTCCTTTTTTCTATTGTCTCTTCATCTGCTCAGATAATATGACATGCAGGCAATGCTTTACAGCACCCGGGGTAACTAAGATACCAAGAGATTTAAGTGGCTTTTCTCAAGTCACTCCAAATAAGAAGGGGAACCAGAAATATTATGAAATATTCAGGCTTTATGAAATGGAGCTGCCTCCATCAAATCATGGTCTCTTGGTCCATCAAATCATGAACAGTTACACTGGAAATAAAACTTTTGGTTTAAAGACTATTTTACCATTAGGCATCCCTCCCACAAACAAAAGTATCTTGGTCCCTCAGTCCATCTGAGCAGGAGAGATTGATATTACCAATGAATCACATCTTAGAAGATGGCATAGGATGTGAGGCACAAGCTGGCAAAGTTCACCCACTGGTGGAATAAGGTCAGTTTAAGGACATCAAGATGCCTGCCTGACCCCAAGCATATCCCCCACCAGCCTAATGTGCTGGCTGGGGACTCATTTCCTTGAGAGAGCTTGCAAGCCAGACCATGTTAAATTGCAAATAACAAATTAACATATTAACAACCATTAACACTCCAGTCTCCCTTTATCAGTTCTCTAAAACAAAGTACAGTCTGAGGGAACCAGATTGGGAATAGGCAAATTGCAAAAGGTGGTCAAGACAGGTTTTAAAGCATGGTGTGCCATCCCTCCGAGTGGGTCACAGGTGAGGACAGTGGTCAGAGGAAGTCAAATGTGAAAGGCAAGGAGCACTGAGAAGTGCGACCGGCCTCCCCACATGCCCAGGTCCAGCCTGAACGCGGGCACCATTACCAGGTCTCAGGGAGCGACATTCACAGCGACGCGCGCAGACCGCCTTGCACTAAAGTGCCCACCCGCACGGGGGGCGGGGCCCTGGGGGAGCTGAGCCCTCCCTGGGGTGGGGGTGGCGGGGCCCTGGGGGAGCTGAGCCCTCCCTTGGGTGAGGGGACGGCTGTGCTAGCCCCCCAGTGCCGACTGAGGAAAGCTAACAGGGAAGGAGGGGTGTCCAGCTAATAGCCACCCTCACTAAGATGGCACCGAGCAAGAGACCAAAGCCTGACAGGAATAGAATCACAGCCCCTCAGGAAACGGAAAGTAAAAACGTTATTAACCAAGGAAGTGCACGTTTGTGAGCGACTAACAGCGACTTTTGACTCTGAAGAAATGGCATTCCTGCTTCCCCTCCAGGCTGTGATAAGTGCGTCTGGGACCTGACGGATGACCTGCGGCTCGCGGCGCTCTCCGTGGAGGACGGCAAAGCCGGGCTGCTGAGCGTGTCCTCGGGGGCCGCCGCCCACAGGCACGTGAGCGAAATGAACGCCACCATCTACCTCCTCAGGGTACGCAGGGTGTTGTGCCTCGGCTGTGTTTTCGCTCTGGTTTCCCAGACTCGGGCCTCGTCACTCCTCCTGTGCTCTTTTTATATCTGCATCCCATTGCTCTGTGACAGATTGTTAGACCCGTAGGACTAACATACATAACATAAATAATTTCACAGGAAATTATGAAAAGTAGAACGTAACCATGAGCTTCAGTCCAAACCAAGAGCTGCCATCTATAAAAGAGGGTATGTAGAAAATGAAATGGCTAAAATACTAGTATATATGTGCAAAACGATTGAGAGAAGAGAAACACTCTTATTTCCTTGGTGAAGCCATACATTAGTTGTCCAAGTCGTTACCACAAATGGTACCACAAGGCTATCATTACCTTAGCCTCAGTTTGTAAGGCCTTTGGTTCCTCTGGAAGCATCCTTCCCCTCTCTCTTTCTCTCTCCCTCTCCCCCCTCCCACCCACATTTCTTTCTCACACACATTCTCTCTCATTTTCCCACACTCACACATTCAAACATACACACAAACCTTGTTTCTCCTCATAGGCTTACCAGTTAATAAACAAGTTAAAGGCAGCCAACATAGTAGTAGTAGTAGTACAGTTGATCCTGTGTACTCATGGGTTCTGCATCCTCCGATTATGCATCCTTGGATTCAGCCAATCACAGATGAAAAATATTTTTAAAAAACAATACAAAATAACAATATAATAAAAGTAATACAAATTAAAAACAGTATAACTATATAGCACTAACATTGCATTAGTATTATAAATAATCACTAACCATTAGTAATTAGTAAGTATTCTGGAGGATGTGCATATGTTATATGCAAATACTGCATCATTTTATGTCAGAGACTTGAGCATCCATGGATTTTGGTATCCAAAGGGAGTCCTGGGATCAATCCCTTACAGATACAGAAGGATACTACAGTGTCCTTAGATATTTAAATTTTACGAATTTTGTTTCCCCTAAATCATAGACTTCCAAAAATATTTAAAAAAATAATAATATCATAGTTAGCTGAGAAGACAATAGAATTAATACCAGCACATTGTTTTACTTTATTAGTCAGTTTAGCATAAGGATTAAGAACACAGACATTGAAACCAGATTGCTTGTGCTCAAAGCCCAGCTCTGGCACTTACTAGCTATGTGACCTTGGATAAGTTATCTAACCTCTTTATTCTTCAGTTTCCTCATCTGTAATTAAGGATAATTATCGCATCTATTTCATGGACTGTTAAATAATTCAATAAGCTGATATATGTGGAGAAGTTAGAACAGTATCTAGCATAGTAAGAACTCATTACTTTTTGGAAGAACAAATGATATCACAGCAATGGCCAGATATTTAAAAGTATAAACCAAAACAAAAATTATAAAATTCTAGCCTGAATGAGATCTTAGTGAGCATTCAATTCTAAATTTAGGAACTATTCTTGTCTTAACTCACCTATTTGGACACATAAGGGCACTAATTCTCGGGGGAGTCACTCAGATTTAGGCCTCTTCATACCACTCAAATCCTCTTTCCTCAAGGGCACAATGTCAAGAGAGATATCATTATAGCTGACAGGAGGTCAGTGCCAAGATTGAAGGGCATACTTGAAAGTAATCTGAGTAAAGTTACATTTAGACCAAACTCCTCAAAAATGCAAAAGAAGGAAGCAAGTGATCTTAAATATGAAGACGTTCTCTTTTTACACTAAAAAGAAGAAAGTGAATTTCTAAACCTTATTTACATTGATCCTGGTGGGTGGATCAGTACCTCCAAGGCCTGACCAACTTGAAATTGTAAAGCTCAGACACCCAGGGCCACCACCAGTCTATATTGTGCCTTTGTACAAGTTAGAAAAAGGTGCTCTCTCCCCACGGCCAGCCCAGCCCCAGGCCAGCCATCTCTAACTTGGTGAGTGGACTCCCAGAATGGCAGCCCCCTCTGCAGATCCTACCCCTCGCACCAGCCTCTAGCAGCCTGCGGACCCCACTATTTTGAGAAGAGAGGCTCACATTTTACTCTGAGTCATCTTACACTGAGTTTTACATATACTTGTGTTATAATAATCATATCAGCTGATTATTTTCAAAACACATTTTCCCACAGACGAAATTGTCAGAAAGAGAAAACCAGTATGTCCTAAGAAAGATCCAAATCAACAATGCTGAGAACACGATGAAAAGCCTTCTGTCTGACGTAGAGGAATTAGCTGAAAAGGTATGTGTGTGTTCAGTTTCTGGGACAGTCTTCAAAGAAAGGATTTAGCTGATGTGAGCCTGGCTAGTCACAAACGACTAAGGCTTAACACAGCCTAGAAAATATGCAGTGACCCATGTGCCTTAAAATAAATCAAAGCCAGACCTGTGGAGAAAGTGAACATCATCTCCACCATCTCTTCCATGTTCACTGGGTTTCTTGAAAAACTAGGTTTATGGGGAATTTTCTGTGTATTTGCTGCTGGTCAATATGGTCGATGTATGTTCAATTAGGATAGTCATTCAGCTGTTTGCTTAGCATTTTACATCTAAGAGCTATAGAGCATCCAGAAATAACCTTTATTTTATAGAATATAAAATTTAAATGTTGGCTAAAAGATGCATTAAGTCAGCAGTCCCCAACCGTTTTGGCACCAGGAACTGGTTTCATGAAAGACACTGTTCCGCAGACCCTGGGGGATGGGGGACGGGCAGGGGGATGGTTTCGTGATGATTCAAGCACATTACATTTGTTGTGCAGTCCAAACCTGCACAACAAGTAATGATAATCTGTATTTGCAGCCGCTCCCCAGTGCTAGCATTAGATTCCCATAAGGAGTGTGCAACCTAGATCCCTCACAGGTGCAGTTTACAGTAGAGTCCGCGCTCCTATGAGAATCTAATGTCACCGCTGATCTGACAGAGTTTATGCTCTGATGCAAGCAATGGGGAGCAGCTGTAAATACAGATGAAGCTTTGCTCACTCGCTGCTCACCTCCTGCTATGTGGTCTGGCTCCTAACAGGCCACGGACCAGTATCAGTCTGCAGCCCGGAGGTTGGGGACCACAGTGTTAAATGACAAATAGAAGGAAAAGGAATTGTTCTGAAAGAGCAATTTTGCTCTTTGGCAGGAAAAATTACTTCCATCCCTTATTTTACACCATAGACTAAAATAAATTCCAGGCAGATTGAAGAATATAAATCTCAGATCTATAAGAAAACATAACTAATTATTAAACCTTGAAAGGGAATAATAACAGTATGCTTAAATACAGTATGAAGAATTACAATAACAAGAGATGATAAAGTTGACATGATAAAATGTCAAATACCCAGTAAAACAACCAAATAAACAATAACAACAAAAAAAGCCAACTAGACAAAGAAAAATATTGAGGGAAATATTATTTGTAAAATCTGTCACAAATTAACAAGAAAAAAATTAAAATATGAGCAGAGTCAATGTGAGACTATTCAATACATTCCCCACCAGCCCAATGGAAAAATATCATCCACCCTCCATCCATCCTCCATATGAATCAAAAAACTACAAAGTCACAAGGCACCATATTTGACATATTAAAATGTTTAACACATTTTTTTCCCTAATGATGCTCCACCAGTGCTGGCCACAGTACTTTGGAATGGCTGCTTTCAGACACAGGTGTTTGACATTATGAACTATCAAAGTCCTTTTCAAAACAATTCTCATGCTCTACAAAAATAAAGGTTAAAATTACTCTGATATTCTCTTTTGACCTTGTATCTCCTAAACTTTTAAGAAAGTATGCTTCTAAAAATGTAAATTACTTGAACCATTGAAGGAGTCATCTACTTTGAAATGCATATGAAAATTGTGGCCTTGTTCCTGTGCAGTGGTGCATATTTATCCAACCACTAGCATTTGAAGAGCCGTGAAATCTCTTAAGTTTCAAAGGAAATGCCAAGGAAGAAATCTTTGTGAAAACTCAGTTACTACGTTTTCGTATCAGATATGGCTGGAACTTGCTAAAAATGTCTTAATTCTTTCTTGTGGAAAGAATTTTCAAGAAAACATTGGAGGAAATATTTTTACCAAGATTAGCTCCTCAAACAGAGTTACAGATCCTTTTGTTGTACGATTTTCCCACTTCTAATGTAAGTTAAATGCAGGTTTTTTAATAATGGGGAGGAAATAACCCACATTTGAAAGTGACATCACAGTAGAAAAGGCTCCTTGGCAACCAGAACAGGCCACCAAAGTGGAAGGTTGATGATAAAGCTACTAGGAACTGTCGGCGGGCTGTTTCCATCAATTTTTATTGAAGATATTGTTCTTCTGACTGCAGTCCTGGTGGTGCAGAAACCTGCTGAAACATTTCAAAACAAATGCCCAGAGCTGGTCTTAATGATTTCTCAAGCATCCTTCAAGCTCTAAGGCTAGAAAAGTGCATGATTGATTCTTAGAAAGATTTAAGGAGAGCTTTGCCTTAGAAAGCCTCCTATCAAGAAAGTCACTAATATTTGACTTTAAGTAGAGTGAAGGAGTTCATTATGTGTTCCCACAGTGATAAATATCAGACTAATGTTGCCTCTTGAACTTGACAAGTAATACCTCTGTTTGCAAATTACCTGCCACATGGATCTCATGTGACCTAAATCTCATAAGTTAAATGCACATAGTTACTAGTTTTGTCCCAACCTCCATATCTAAGTCCTCCAGCTCCCTTTGGGATGTCCTACCACCCTTTCCCACTACCCACTTCTGGAAAGCCCCTAAAGAATTCCCATACATCTGTTCACAAACAGCTGGTACTCAAAGGGCCTCACTCTTGCCACTGCTGATCATGTCTATAATGATAATACAAAGATCATGCCAAGATTCCATTCTCCTATGTTCCCAGAGCCATAATGCTCAAGGTCAGAGTGGTCCTGGGCTACAAGCAGAGATGGAGATGTGGCCCTCTCCCAATCTCAATGCTGCCATTTGCTATCTGGTCTTCAAGGTCCACTGGAGAGCCTGGAGTCACAGGGCCCAATCTCCAAGCATGGCACAGGAGGTGCTGCACTATCCCCTCTACTTCTCCACCTTTTTCATCCCTACCCTCCTCCCTACTCCTTCAACCACAGCAAAAGCTCCCTGCATATCCACTCATGCAAAAAGATCTTTAAAAATAAAAGGAAAGTAGGTTATCTCCAAGCAGCAAAAGCATCTGAGCCTCATCTCTAGTCCTGACAAAAATGCAGTATGAAAATAAGTACAGTTTGCCCTCTGTATTCCTGGGTTCCACATCCATGGATTCAACCAACCATGGATCAAAAATATTCAGAAAAAAATTCCACAAAGTTCCAAAAAGCAAAGCTTGAATTTGCTGCCTGCTGAGTACTATGCTGAATCCATGTGAATGAAGTGATGTGCAGGCATTGTGTTAGGCATTATAGGTAATTTAGAGATGATTTAAAATACATGGGAGGATGGGCATAGGTATGGTGCAAATATTACCCCATTTTATATAAGGGACTTGAGCATCCATAGATTTTGGGATTCAAGAGGGAAGAGGGGTTCTGGAACCAATTCCTCATGGATATCAAGGGATGGCTGTACATGTTTCTATTTCAAAAGAATTGCTAAACACCTGGTATATAACAGTTATTCTAGGTGCTAGGGATACTGAAATGAATATAACAAGGCCCTGCTGTCAAGATGGTCACAGTCTAGTAGGGAAATAGATATGTAAAAATGTAATTCTGACACAGTATTTAATAAGAGAGACATGGTACAGGCTACAGGGTAACTCTAAGAAAGAAATCATGACCAAGAACTCACAATTCAGCAGGGATACATTAGAGAAGGCTTCTCAGAGAAGGTGAGTACTGCCCTTCTCTGTATTGAGAAAGACTAGGAGTTTCTCAAGTGCTTCCAAGCAAAGGATAAGCGCTACAAGAGCAGAGAGATATGAAACAACAAGTATGTTCTTGGGAATAAAACCATGGCCTTGGTCTTGCAGAAGATTAATTGTAAGGCAAAGAGCAGGAAATAATTATGAAGATGTAGTTAGAGGCCAAATCATGAAGAACTTTGCCCACCATGCTCAGGAACGTGTGGTCTTCATCCTGTGGACTTTGGAAGTCATTGAAGTCTTCACCCAGAATAATGAGCTGACCATATTTTCATTTCAGAAACATTTCTCTGCAGTATGGATAAAAGACTAGAGAGTGAAGACTCTGAATTGTCCAGGCCGAGGTCATAGGACTGTCTTAGTCTAAGATGGGATTAATCAGAACCTTTAAAAGCTCTATACTTCTGCTCAGAAGCAGGATGCTGGTACTTTAAGATAGGAGTCTGCCAGCATCCTCATTCTCTGGCAAATTAATAAACTTCTCTTTTCTTCACTTCAAAAGAGAAAAAGACTCCAAGGACAGGACAGTCAGGAGACTGCCACAGTTGTCTAGACAAGAGAGTAGTTGATTGCTATCTTGCCTTCATTTGAAAAGGATTTGCAGAGAACGGGGATGAACTGAGACTGTGGTAGTGGAGAAGAAGAAGAGAGGCCAGAACAGCAAGTGGAACCAAAAAGACTTGGTGACCAGTTGGAGGTGAGGAGCAGTGAGAAAGGAAGCTCTGTCTCAGAGAAATGGATGACTAAGACTGAAAATACAGTCTGGACATGATAAGAGTGAACACCCAGACGGCAACTAGAGATTTGGGTCTGCAGCTGAGAGGACAGATCAGAGTTGGAGAGGTATTCGGAAGTCATTAATATTTAGGAGGTAGGAAACCCACAGAAGTAGATATTACTGTAACAAATTCTGAAATAACATACCAATATTCTAATTATCAGTTTGTCCAGGACTTACCTTATTTATGCTTGTGTTCCAGAGTAATTACTAAAAGTTCTCCGTTTCGCTCACAAAAAGTGTCCCAGGTTAAACAATAAAATATATGTTCACCCTAGATATTGATTATCACCCTCACTTAATCTGGTTGACTTTTTAAAATTAATATTCTAGGTATATTATCCTTTACATTATAAAAAAATTCTTGCTGCTTTTTATATCAAATATATACAAGGAGAATTTACTGGAGAGGTAAGTAAATGACTAATCCATTTGTAAATGTAAACCACCAACTGGTTTAGAACTGTAAGGTAATTTTTTAATTTCAGCATTTCTTAAAACAAGGCATACCTGTTTTACTATGCACTCATATCATTTTCCTTCCACAAGAAAATTTACAGAAAAAAATGAAACATTCAAATAAGGCATCATTACATATTATAGTCGGTAATTTTATAATTTAAAGTAATGGATGTTTGCCTTTGCCACTGCCTGAGTCCTATATATAGTATGTCAGTATTTATCTCTATCATCTAGCTAGCCAGCTAGCTAGCTATCAGCTATCCATCCATCTATCTATATATCAGCGCCCTCTGGTGTTTTTCAGAAAGAAGAGATTTTTTTTCTTATAGGTATGACATTCTCCAGCTGTCTTTCATCACTTCAAAGTTTCCATCTAAAAAATAAGTTTAATGACACAGAAATAACAAATAGATGTTTTCCTTGAAGGATGAAGCCAAAGTCAAAAATATGAGTGTTATGCTTTGCAAATATAACTCAATTTAAACTGGAGCAAAGATAAACTTGTTAAAAATTTTTAAAGGTTTGTCATGTTTATGTCTATATTTTTTTAAAGCAAGGAGGAATGACATCAAGAATAAGATTTATTTTATTTTCCGCATCATCAAGTTTTATATGGCCATAAATATTGTTTCTCTGGGAAGCATTAGAACAAGCTAAGAGGAGGACTGGAGTTGAAGGAAGAAACACAATGACTCTGAAGGCAATGTCCATTGAAAGAGCCCACAGTTTATGAAGGGACTGATGGCTGCATAGGGAGCTTCATGAATCCAGTGGCACTTCTTTGTATGGAGGGGATGAGTGACTTGCCTGATAAAAAACCTCTGGGCAAGTGTTTGCTATGATACTATTTATACATTCTCTTTCTTAACCAGCTTAGAAGGCCACTGGCTCAGGTTATACTTGAGAAGTGTAAAAATATTCCAGGTAAAATCATAGCTTAATCCTCTGGGTACAACACTGGATGAAAGGAGAGACGTTTGAATTGGCCACTTCCCTACCCTGGGGAGACTCAGTAGGATGGGTCTACCAGTGCTCTGTGTGGCAGATCAGCCTGCAGCTGATTCAGATACTGCAGCACTTTTTTACAGAGCAGAGCTGAGGAAGCACCAGACAAAGCATTTACCAAATGCCAGACTGATGAACTGTTCGTCCTCTTGCCTATAGCCCATGAATCAGTATTTCTAATCCCAAAGGCAGTACATTCCCCGTGCTGTATATACAGACCAGTTTCCTGGCCTTGAACCATTTCTGTGCTCTTGGATGAGCCTCAGTCCTTGGCCACACACACAGAAACACACACATGGATATACACCCCAACACACCCTTTCTTCAGAAGCCACATCTGAGTTGGGCTTGAATTTTGACAACTGCTATTCAAGAGTTCCGAAAACAGAAGCTCCTAAGTTGAGAGAATGGAATCAGCTTCTTGGAGAAGAACTCCATTCACTGCTGAGCCAAATCTGCTCCAGCAGTTATTTGTACACAAGTGCTATCGGTGTTGATGGGACTTTGGAATAAAGCACTGAAAACAGCATTTAGCCCCGTGAGCATAATCCTTTAAATCTCTGTGGCAATTCAGCAGTGGTTGGACCACCCAGGAGCCACTGGGAGCCTGGTGCATTTCAAGGTCTGCCTATTTTCTCCATAATTTTCTCTTTGAGTCTTTAAGCTCTTTTGTCAGCACAGTGTCAAAATGATCAGCAGACACGGACAAGTCCCTAGTTCGGCATCTCAAGATACAGTAAAAATTCAAAGGATAAACAATGTATGAAAGGCAGTTGGCTAGGATTGAACCAAGTGACTGGTGACACAAGATACCATCTTCTTTTACAGCATTCTGTGATTCTAAAACTAGACATCACATCAGCCTTCGTTCATGATTTCTGGGACCATTTTGTATGTTATAGAACCTTCACATGCCAGGAACATTTGTGTTTATGGAATACATGATGCCCACCCGCCCCTACATGCACATATACAATGTTTGTTTCTCATAAACTTAATCTAGTGTTTGTATGGATTATTTGTAGGAAAGTCAAGCCTCAAGAAAGGGGCACCTAGTTCAGAAGGAAAGCCTGGACACCATTAACCACGCAACTCAGCTTGTAGAGAAAGCCCATGATATGAGGGAAAAAATCCAAGGTAACTGTATTCTCTTCTGGTTCAGCTTAATGTCAAGGAAACACTGGTGTTATTAGCAACACTAAAAATAATGGCCACTGTTAGTATTTACTATATACCAGGAACTTGCTGTTAGAGTATATAGGTTTAAACTTGTATAAAGTCTTCATTTCATGCTTGTTTATCTGGGATTTCTGAACACTCATCCCTACTATTTGTTGGTGTTCGAGAATCAGTGTATAAAATCATTCCCTTTCTAGGCATTTCACAGAAGTAGAATGACAGAATACCTTTCCAGCAGAGGAGATTATATGCTGTGGCGTTTCTAAAGTGCCAGAGTTGAGTAAGAGTCACAGATTTTTTTTCTCAGTTATTTGCAGAGAAAACATTGCTTTAGGAATAGCAACAGACTGTCGGCTAATCCAAATCCTCACAAGCTGTTTCTATGATGCTGTTTCCCAAAGGCCAGGCAGGCAACATTCTGGGGTCGCCAGCGCAAAAGTAAAGTGGGGAAGGGGCTGTGGGAAATGTCTGTGCCCTAAAGCATTGTGACAGCTTGTACCTCCCCTCGTGGAGGCTTACTTATTTGTGCCCTAACTTCAGATAAGTGCAGGTTACATCTTGCAGACTATCTTAATAGTGCACTAAAAGCTGGCCTGCAATTTACCAACAGAAAACAGGAGACTTCATTTGTTCTAAGATAAAGAGTATTTCCATGGGCTACAGTCTGCTAAGGTGTAATGTCCGCGTTTCTGTAGTTTTTATTATACTATATATTAAGGCCTGATGACAACACCAAGTGCATCTCAGGGCACAATGGCAGTAAAGGGACCCACCATGGGAGATTCATAGCTTCATACTGAGGCATCGGGGCATATCCCAGGCAAAGGGGTTTATAAAGCCAAGATTAATCACTTGCCACATTTCCTTTGGTGCCTCTAATAAACAATAAAAATAAATGGCATCCATTGTAAACACTCCTGACTCTCATCCTCACATCCCCTCCCATATCTCATGATTTTGCATTTAGTGTTAAAATGTTCTTTTCCTATAGCATTTTAGAGTTACTATTGATTTGTTCAAAAAGTAAGATTGAACCTAGATTAGATGACCTCATCCCATTAAAAAATAAATGCTCCTTGAGACAGCGAATAATGCCAGGACCCTAGTAAGCCATTCAGAGAAGATAATTCACTTTTGCTGTTTAACCCAAAATTTGATTCTGAGATGTTTCATTTGGAATGGATCTGAATTCTCTTATTTGACCCTTTAAGCATGAGAAAGGATGAAAAAAATACAAAAGAAATGTAAAAGGCAACAATAATTTCCATTAGTTTTTACCTTTTTAAAATATGTATGAACAGTCTCCAAAGACCAAAGACAAAAATGTTATTGTCTATTACTTTTATTTGCTTTTTCTAGCCTGTACCACATATGGCTTAAAATAAAATAGGCCAAAATTGTAAATATAATATTTACATCAAAATGTGAAAGAATTCAGCATTGTAAGTACTAGAGTTAAGGAAAAAAGTCTTTATTTAGTTTATTTCAGGAGTTAATATTTCAGACTCTGCTTGAAAAATGAATGTTTAATTTCTTCATAGTTATTTTTTAAACATATCTTAATATTCCTATAACTCTTTCAGTCATATTTATAGCATTGAAAACTTCTCTCCCCATTTATCTCCCTTCCTTCAAAATTTCACAGTGCTGTACAACACCGATTGTGTGTTATTTCTTATTCCCAACCATCTCTAAAATAACTGCTGGTGACCTTCAAGCTATTATCCATATAAAATACAACCCTTTATCCTGGTATGATTTATGGGATATTGGTGTTTGTTTACCCATCTTGTCTGGGCAACCACATAGATCATAGTAAACCACAGACACACAATTTCATTTATGCCAGGAAGATAAAATGCTTCCTCCCAGAGCTGCCATAGGACAAGGTGACAAATACACACTTTTCTTCTGATCCTATGTAGTAGGCAGGAGGGAGTCAGAGAATCATCCCAGCTCTGCTAGCATTTAGACTGGACACCTAATCCCTTTGAGCCTTAGTGGTACCTCCAGTTCTAAAATTCTCCACCCATAAGTAGAATGGCCCATCTCGACAAGCAGTCATACCGCAGAAGTCAGACAGCAACTGCCAAGAAACAAATATTAATGAGCAAGAGCTCTCAGCATACTATAACAAACCCCTATTTTATATCTAGTCTGTAAAACAATCTGGAAGACTAATTTGGACAACTAATGATTTGCTCTCGTTTTGGCTTAGAGCTTTGGTCAAATCTTTGTCTGAAATATAATTCTACATAGGACAGGAGATATCTCTGAATATTTTCTCCAAGTTAAGTATTTTATATAAAGCGTTGATCAAAGACCCTAGATTTGTGTGCCTTAAATATTAAGGCACAATACTTACTGTTAAATATTAACATTCTCGAATCACTGTGGAAGCCAGATGCAGATGAAAGCAGTGCAGGCTTTGTATTAGCCAATTCCCATTCTGAAGACACCGCAGGGGAAGCAGGGAAGAGTGATTGCCTCGGGTTTTCTCCTCCTTGAAATGTGTGATGAGCCAGACGAGGACACTGGCACTCACAGCATGAACGCCAGCACAGCAGGCCATGCTAACGAGCCTCCCTTTCCACTGAAGGAGCAGCGCCATCCTTTGCCCGCCAGCCCTCACTTCCCTGTGTTTTCCGTGCCAGGTCATCTTTCCCTGCTGCCTTGTTTTACCATGTTCTTCCTTTCAGAGATCAACAGCAAGATGCTCTATTATGGGGAGGAGCTGGAACTTAGTCCCGAGGAAATCTCTGAGAAACTGGTGTTGGCCGAGAAGATGCTAGAGGAGATTAGACGCCGGCAGCCATTCCTGGACCAGCGGGAGCTTGTGGATGAGGAGGCAGACGAGGCCCATGAACGTAGGTGTATTCATCAGGTTCCTGATCCAGCACCGTCTGCTCTCTTTTGTGGGTCCAGGAGAGGAAACCAAGCTGCAGGGCAATATGTAGTCAAAGCAACCGGTTCCCAATATTCAGAGCTACGTAAAATTTAGACATGGCCTCGGGGAATCATTCGGGACAATTGACTTCATGATTTTTAGATTCGGGCCCAACTTTCAGTCCTTGAGAAACAGCTGAGATCTCATAAGGAATCGATAGCACTTTGTGAAAACATGTAAGACAGGAGAAGAAAGGCTAAGGGGAACCAGTTCCCAGAACTACATTAAAAGAAATTTTATTGAGAAGGCAGAGATGCTACCAGCCCAGTGACATTCATGAACGACTTTTAATAGCTTTTAACTATGCATGGAAATTTAACATTTTCTTTAATGATGAATGTAGGCACAAACCACAGTAGTGTATTGAATCTATGACTTGGTCACTGTATCGGTTATCAGTTACTGACTCACAGTCCACCCCAAACATACTCACTTCAAACAGTGACTATTTGCTCACAATTTCATGAGTTGGCAATTTGGTCTGGACTCAACCTGGAGACTCCTGTCTACTCCATGTGCTATGGCTGAGCTTACTCCTCTGTCTGGGCTGGCCGGGGAGGCTGGGCCTCGCCCTCTATGCAGGGTTGCACCTCAAGGAGGTGAGCTCAGGCTTGTTCACGTGGCAGCAGCCTTCTGAGAGGGAAAGGATGGAAAGCACAGGGTCCCTTGAGACCTAGACTTGGAACTCAACAATGTCACATCCATTCTATTGGTCAAGATCAGGCCAGATTCAAGGGCATGGGGAGATAGACTTCACTCTTGATGGGAAGAGCTGCAAAGAATTTGCATTCATTTTAATTTATACAATCAGCAAAAGAAATCACAGATTCACACATTATAGTTTAACTGTTAATGATATCTCACAACACTGTTTAAATTCATCAGTAACTTAAAATGGTAGTAATTATTAGATCCACCTCTAGATCTTGTTACTTATTGCTTTAATGAACACATATATTATACTACTAATTCAGTTTTTTTAATTTAAAAAATGTTCTTTATAGACACGTAATATTTTACATATTTATGGGGTACATGTGGTATTTTGTTACATACATAGAATATGCAGTGATCGAGTCAGGGTACTTGAGGTGTTCATCATTTGAATATTTATCATTTCTATGTGTTGGGAACAGTTCAAGTCCTGTCTTCTAGCTACTTTGAAATAGACAATACCTGTTGTTACCAGTTTGGTTTTTTAAACATACTGGTCTCCTTTTGAGTTCTATATATTGTATTGTATGCATTTTAAAAGATATTGTAAGAAGGGTCTGAAGGCTTCACTAGACTGCAGAGGGACCAATGGCACAAAAAGGGCTAAAGGACACTAGGTCATTTTCCTACAATTGTCGCTATCAACTTTTGTTAACAATTATTGTGGACAGCATGCAGGAAGAACATTATTGACATAAGGTTTATTATGGTAGCAAATGTATAAAATCTTAGAAACAATAACACCCAGAGAAAAACCTCAGGCCCCAGTTCTGGGTCTGGGTGAGAATGACACTCAGGGAAGCTGGGGCTCTGATGTCACTGCCGTGTGCTCCCACGGTCCTTGCCTGCTGTGGAATTTAGCAAGACTGCCCTGGGGAAACGGGACCAGGTACATCTCTCACTTAGCCTCCTGCCACCTAGTGAATGCATTTTCAACCCTTGTCTTTACTCAGCCATGAACTTGTGTCTTCTGCTCACAGTGAAGAAAGAAAATACAATACCTCAATATTCCCCAACAGACTAATATTCCTTGACAGACTAATATTCCCCGAAGAAAAGCAGAATTAAGGCACATAGTCAACACATGTGCCTTAGAGCAGGAAATAAAGGACGTATACAAAGTTTAAACGTATTATATCATTGCCATTTAATTTTTATTCCACCCAAAATCATGGTTTGGGTCTCCCCTAAAAGTGGTTGCCTGGAGAAAACAGAAAATGAGTGATTAGGAACATCTATCTGCCTTACTATTGACAAGATAATTTTGATTATTTTTTAATAGTAAAAACTATAGTAGATCCAGGTCCCCTTTACATGGTCAAATGATTAACAACCCAGGTAATGATATGCAGAGTATAGTGACTTGGTCTCCACATAAAACCTAATCTCTATGGGAAAACTAATCAAACTGTTATTCAGGGGCTCCCAAAGCCTACAAAATAGCGTTTTTTACTTCAAATGTCAAATTTGGAGCTATTTTTGTGAACAATGGTTTCCATCTCAATTGGGTAAAGAAGGCATGGCCTGGCGATTTTGCAAGTTTGCTGAATGCGGGTGGAATGGAAAGAGACAGAGGAAGCGCTCACTGAGCTCCGTCTCCATTTCTTCCCAGTGCTGAGCCAGGCTGAGAGCTGGCAGCGGCTGTACAATGACACTCGCTCTCTGTTTCCTGTCGTCCTGGAGCAGCTGGACGACTACAATGCTAAGTTGTCAGACCTCCAGGAATCGCTGGACCAGGCCCTTGACCGTGTCAGGGATGCTGAAGACATGAACAGGGCCACCGCAGCCAGGCAGCGGGACTACGAGGTACCCAGGGCACTCACTGTAAATGCATTTCAGACACAGCCTAAGTGAATTTCCACCAAGAAGGGAGAGTTGGTATAAACTTTTTAAAATATGGGTATATTTAAATATTCATATGTTTAAAATATTGGTGTATTTTTGGCTGCTCTAAATTACTAAAATAAGTGTATATCCCTAAAATCAAGTTGAAACTATAATAATTGTTTAGTTCTTGGTTTGGTAAGAATGCAGTTGTTCTCGTGCTTGTGACTGTGGGCATGGATGGGCTGCTTTTACAAGTGGGTAAGCAATGTGTACCTTTTCTTGCACTGAGAGCACTCAAACACCAAAGGAGCCCAGAACTATGTGTTCTGGGTATGTGTAATTTTTGGAAAGACACATTACACATGGTATGTTTGGGAAGCGCTATAAGCAAATCTCCCAGCCTGGCTGGTCAGCAGCTGCAGAGACAGGGAGACTAATTTAAGCCAAGGCTATGCAAATACAAAGAGGCAAGGAAAATTCCCAGACATGGCCATAGCTTGCAAAGGCAGTCATCCTGTGGGGCCAGAATTTGTGCGTGCCCACACCTAGAGGGCCAAGAACCAGTAGTAGTCACATGTCCACTCCAAGCAATGCTTGTACTCACAACAACCTCCATGGAGAGGGGTCGTTTTCTGACAGAATGACGTGTGCATGTTTCAACATAGTTACAAAGATTAAGGTGAAAAAATTGTGAACAAATGGAAAGCAACTATGAGCAAACTCTGGGATCCAAAAAGTCAGGGAATACTGTCATCTTCATCCTTTAATTCTCAAACATTTAGCACAATGCCTGTCACAAAGTAACAGCTCAGTAAATGCGTTGATTTAATGAAAACCTTAAGGACGTTCCAATTTGAAGATCCTGTAGTTTTGTCAGATTGTGCCCAAGTTTATTGAAGATCTATTTTCAGTGCTGAGTAATAAGTGATTCTTCCTATCCTGAGAGATTCAAGCCCGTAACCCTAGCCTGTGGAATACCACTGCTCCATTCCCAAGAGAGGACTTAGAGCCTTTAAGTAAGAGAGAAACAACACTGCAATCAGACGCAGACCCAGAAGCATGTTCAGTACTGAGAGCCCTGAAGTGAGAAGTGGACCTGCCACGCCAAACCAATCCTGGTAGGACAAAGGCAAGCAGTGGCTTGCAGGAGACCCCTGCCAGACCACAGCTGTCTCCCTAGCCACAGAAAGTAAGGTTTATTACTGAGAAAAAAGTGAGATCCATTGCTACTAGTAATGGTAAACTGTATGTAGTTCTCATTTTATATTCTAAGTTGTCAATATCAGCAAAGTGCTTTGTCTTCTGCATACATCTGTGCTAGAGAACACATGCAAGTATATTGTGTGTTAACATGGTCAGTTCTCTATGAATTTATTTTTAGGACTGGATCTTGTTGTCAAAGGTCCTTTGTAAAGTCTATAATGAGGAAGGGTAACACAGTGAAATGAGAGTCAAAGTGTCTGCAGAGGCACAAACCAGCTGATTTGCTACTGGCTGGTCAATGTCAGCGTGTGTGTCAGGACACATTGGACTTTGTAAATGTAACAATCAAGTGGACAGTGTTGCCTCTATGAACAGACTTCAGTTCTAAAAGTGAATGATTGCCAAAATAGCTTTTCATTAAATGTTTCTTATGCACGATTTTTAAAAAACCTCATGCATGTGGATACCAGGAATTTGGCATTTTAGTGATTCAGACAGATGGTAGGCCTCATTTTAGCTTTGCTAAACAAACTCTTAAGTACAAATGGACAGCATGAGCAATATTTCAGGAAGAGAACAGCATAGCATGGAGGCATTTTAAAGCCCTGCTCAGTCTCAGTTCTCCTTCCTCTTCCTGACCTTCAGCGCTGGCATTAGCCACAGTTGCACCCCTTTGCCCTCGTCTCCTCCCTCAGTGACTTCACCGATCTCACTGCTTCAGTCCTTGAGAGGGATTTATTTGTGTGTCTGCATCCTTATTCATAACTAAGCCCACAGCGCCACTTTCATATTGGTGTCTGTCTGCAGGAATAGCCACGTAGATATGCCCTGCTATTACCTGCTAAAAATCAACTCTTCTCCCTCCAATTTCCATTCCTAATTTTCCATTCCTGTGCAGGGGTCTCTTCTCCCAAGTCCCATGCTCTAAGTCTGCCCCTCCTCCCCAGTAGTCTGTAAGCAGTGGTTACTCCAGCCCTTTGCACCTCACTTAGGGACATTTTGGTCTATCTCCTGCCTAAGCTCCTGGCCTCCCTCTTCTTCAGATCACTGCTAGATTGATTCCAAGTTGTCTAATTGTACAGAAACTATATAATCAACCTTCATCAAAAGCCTTCAATGGCTTCCTACTTAAGGAAAGTAAATTGCCCAGCCATCCATGGTGTGAGCCCACACATGGTTCCAGTGATATTTCTAGATTTCCCTATAAAACCTGCCTCCCAGCCACTGGAGACCAAGCACTTGTTTCCTTTGCTCTTAGTGTGTCCTTTGGTCACCTCTCTCACCTATGCTTAATTCTGCCTAACCTTTAAGCTAGGTTAAATGTCTCCATCCTTAGAGTGCCTCACCTACTTACTTGAATCCAGTGGTTCTTACATTGTTGCAGTCTTAGATCCTTTTGAGGATTCAATGAAAACTGTGGAATGTACACACATACATACCTGCCATGAGAAAAATGTTCACTTATTCATATGTATAAGGTTGACAAAGCCCAGGTTAAGAACCCTGAGCACCAAAAGTAGTCCTGCCCTCTACACTGGTGCAGCCATCAGTTGTACCCCTTGAGTGATCACCAGGTTTCATCACCCTTACCATATATTCTTCCACAGTCCAGTCTGGGAGGCATTTTTAACTGCCAAATACATAGCTGTGTATCATGTCTGTGTGTGTGTGCATGTGTGAATGTGTGTTATGGTATGCATCTAGTCTATCCCCACTAGACTGTAAGCATCAAAGGGGCAGCACTACTGCCTTGCACAAATTATAACTTTATAGCATCAAACACAATATCTTGCATTTTTTACATTTGTTGATGAACAGACAAATGCATGGAGCACTCTCAAGTAATACAGAAATGTATTACACAAATACAAATTTGTGTATACTGGTTATTCTTAATTACAAACACTCTTATTTATTTCATATTAACATAGACCTCTAAATTACTAAATACTACTATTATTCTTTTGCATACTTGTGCATATTTGAATGTCATGAAACTTTAATTCCTTCCAGCAAAATTTAAAACCCAACCTTTTATTTATTTAGTAGGCTTTCCTACTACAAATTGATCTGATGGGTCTGACTTTATTGGAACTTGACTCTGTGTTTTAGAAAGCAAACTTAAATGTTTTAAGTTCAAATTTCACTATTAGATCTACAGCATGGGCTAGAAAATAATAACACCACAATTTCAGTCTTTATACGAAAACAAAAAATATACCCACATAGGTTAATTACTTTGGTATGTGCAAACAGTAGCCACACAACTGATAATTACATTATTTATTTTGTCATCTTACCCCTAACTCCAAAAAGTAACAGAATGATAAAAAAATATTTATCACATGAACATAATATTCTGTATTTTTAAGTAGGTGAAATATTCTTTAAAAAGCACCATTTAGGGATTCTCATAAACCAACTCTGCCTTCCTAGGACCATTCCTATCCTTTTTTTTTTTTTTTTTTAAAGATCAGGAAATTTTTTGCATATGTTATAGATACTTAAACTTCCTGAATAGTTCTTAATTATATCATTTTCATAATTATTAGTTTTCAAAACTTTGTTCAAGTTGACGATATTTCTGTGAGAACATCATTTCTTTGTTTCAAAGCTAACTTAGTTCATCTCTAATGCTGTCTGTGCTAAGTGGGAGAAACCCATTAACTTGAAGCATATCATTTTCATTGACTGCAGATGAGCTCATCCCACGGTGCTGTAAAGGGCACAGCTTTGAGTTGGGCTCTGACTTCAAGGTGTCAGCATTGCTCTCTTACAGCAACCCAGATGCGACAGCTTACAGAAGGGGTCAGAGCTCAGACCCTGTAAAAGGAAAACATCTCCGCGAGAGCTAAATAATACCAACTTTTTTTAACCTCCCTTTCTTTACATACTTTCATACACGTATTTTGTAGTATGGATTTTGAGCAGAGCTGTATAAATACCTCTCCTTATAGAAATAAGAATCATTGGTCCTAGTCACACTGCATTAGGCTTGATGGATATTGAGAGGAAATTGATTTTTTTTATAATGTTCTTGCATTAAAGGGATGTTCAAATGTGATTCTTTTCTGTCTGTAGACCTACATCTACGCTGGTAGCATTGTATTTGGGGAAGATGTGTTTTGTTCTTCCTTTCGACTAAACTGAGAAAGACTGCAGGGAGTACAAAAGACCATTAAGATGAACTTAGAAAGTTTTAAAAATATTTCCTTCCATATCTAGGTTTCTATAATTATTTCTATGATATCCTAAATTACACAATAACATATATTTCAACTCTAACTTAAATTACTATTTCAAAAAGAATTTTAAGGCCGGGCGCGGTGGCTCACGCCTGTAATCCTAGCACTCTGGGAGGCCGAGGTGGGCGGATTGCTCGAGGTTGGGAGTTCGAAACCATCCTGAGCGAGACCCCATCTCTACTAAAAATAGAAAGAAATTAATTGACCAACTAAAAATATATATACAAAAAATTAGCCGGGCATGGTGGCGCATGCCTGTAGTCCCAGCTACTTGGGAGGCTGAGGCAGGAGAATCGCTTGAGCCCAGGAGATTGAGGTTGCTGTGAGCTAGGCTGACGCCACGGCACTCACTCTAGCCAGGGCAACAAAAGTGAGACTCTGTCTTAAAAAAAAAAAAAAAAAAAAAAAAAAGAATTAACTCATTTTTTACTCAAAGTGTGAAATGTCTTTTACTTTTCCCTCCTAAAATTTCGTTCTGTTACTTTCAAACTCTTGAACTCATTTGAAGCCCCGTAATATTTCTTCAGAATCACAACATCCCTGCCTCAAGAACCCAAAAGTGAAGGTATAAATTAAAGAATTCACCAAAAAAAAGTTATTAATACATGGGCAGTTTCCTTCCTCAAAAAGTTTGAGCATCTAACATCAAGAGCTGAGAGTGGTATGAAGCAAGGTCATGATTTTATGCTTTGAAAATAAGACCATTTTTAACTTCCAAAAGGACATTATATATTATACTATTTTTTTTAGTGTGCCAATTAATTTTTCTATTTATTTATTTATTTTGAGACAGAGTCTCGCTTTGTTGCCTAGGCTAGAGTGAGTGCCATGGCATCTGCCTAGCTCACAGCAACCTCAAACTCCGGGGCTCAAGCAATCCTCCTGCCTCAGCCTCCCGAGTAGCTGGGACTACAGGCATGCGCCACCATGCCCGGCTAACTTTTTGTATATATATTAGTTGGCCAATTAATTTCTTTCTCTATTTATGGTAGAGACAGGGTCTCGCTCTTGCTCAGCTTTGTTTCGAACTCCTGAGCTCAAGGAATCCACCCACCTCGGCCTCCCAGAGTGCTAGGATTACAGGCGTGAGCCACCACACCCGGCCTTCAAAAGGACATTAATATTATTCTGTATATATTCTATTCCTGTCCAAATTTGTGCCAGGCCCAAAGTTGGCACATGAAAATGCTTTTATTTAATTTGTTTTCCAATTACTGCAAATATAGAGCTTATGTTCGCTCATGCCTCCACAGCCCCCTTTACATAATGGAAAAAAGAGTCAAATGCCCTCTCTAAAGCACTAACTCTCTTTGAGATGCTGACATTGTAAGTAGTAGTCATAACTAAGTACTTTGATTCTCCCCAGGTGCTTATTTTATTAATATTATCTCCATATTATAAATGAAAACCTGAGTACCGGACAGGTAACATTGCCCAAAGGCACACAGCAAGGATGGAGCTGGGATATCAACCCAAATTTGTCAGAGTCCAAAGACAGCAGTTGACAGTTACTACTCTCCCTGATGCTGTCCCTAAAGGCACCTTCTCTTTCCCTCGCCCTTGCTCTTCCTTCCCGCAGAAACAGCACGAGAGCGTGAGGGAGCAAATGGAAGCGGTGAACGCGTCTCTGAGTGCGTCCGCCGACTCTCTGGCAATGCCTCGTCTGACAATTTCGGAGCTTGAAGATATAATAAAGGTAAGGACCCTCGTGACTTGTTCAGGTTTGTATTTCTAGCAAGTTAGAACAGTCTCACAGAAAAACAAATTCGATTCAAATCTATCAAGTTATCAGGCATTATAAAAATAAAATCAGGTGACTGAATTTTTCAGTTTCTTGCACGGTATGGTGGCCACTAGCTACATATGACTATTTAAACTTAAAGTACTTAAAATTAAATAAATTTAAAATTTTATTTTGAGTCGCATTAGCTGAATTTCAAGTCTCGGTGGCTACGTACAGCTAGCAGCTACTATATTCAACAACACAGATATCATCACAGAAAATTCTATAGAATACACTGATCTAGATCCATCTCATTCGCTCTGTACTCATAAAGTTGTGTGTTTAATAAATCTGGCATTCAAAATCAATAAAAGCCACATCTTTTTAAAAGGAGAAGTTTCCCAATAAGATGCAGTGAAGCAAACCATCATGAAATTACTCTTAGCTTATTTTTATTACTTGTCAGAGGATATCACTTTAAGGTCATCTGATCACCCATCTCATTCTTTGACTATTTCGGCACCAAGCTCCCCGTCTTCCTCTCCATCTCAACCCCCATCATTGTCCTTGGTGACATCAAAATCTATATGGATGAGCCTCCCAACTCTCTGACCTCCAGCCCCTTGAACTTCTCCTCTCCAGCTAGCCTTTCCTCCAGTCACCTCTGTTATCCTTCCCATGGCCATACCCAGATCTAGTCATCAGTAAAGTACCTCCTCCCAAATCCTGGTTCAAGCACCTCCCTCCCTGTGCACCATCTCTTATCTCACTTACTCTAGAATGCCCACTCCAACAATTCTCTGGCCACATGAAACTTCCTCTGCCTCCTTTACCTTAGCCCTCTCCTATCCTCTCTTTCCTTCTTGAGCAGCTAAAAGTATCCATATAATCATTTTTTAAAAACACGCTTCACTTTCATATGTCCCTGTTCCCCTGTTGTACTCACCTGAGAATGCTAACTCTGTATCCCCCGTAACCCAGGTATCCCTGGCATCGTGGCTGTACCAAAGCAGCTGAATGCGACTGCTGGGAATCCTCCTCCCCTTCTATCAGTTCTGGCTGGTAACTTGCTTCATGCTTCACTGAAAACTTAGAAACAAACAGAAGAGAGCTCCCCTCATCCTTCCTCATCCTCAAATCTGCCAACCCACCAGCCTCTGCATCCACACCTCTACCTCCCCTCCTGTTGCAAGTGTCCCTTCTCCTGCCTGATCCCTCCACCTGGGCTCAGAATCCCTGCCTTCCTCACCTCGAAAACAGAGCTGTAGGGTTTCACCACTGAAATTGTGCCTTCTTTCTTTTACAGCATCCAATTTTTACTCTACTGAATCATTATTGTCAACATAAAAACAAGCTCTACTATCTCCTATCTTTTAATAATCAAACAAGAAAAAAACTCTTTTAAAAAAAATTTTTAAAAAGCTTGCATCCCCTCTAACTTCTGCCCCATGACCTCTGCTCAGCTTCACACAGAATGTCTCGAGTCACCTATAGTTGCTGTTTCCACCCCCAGCCCCAGCTCTCTGCTATCCTCAGCCCATTCTGAATAGTATTCCATCCCCCTCCACTGAGACTGTCCCTGTCCAGGTCACTAGCGCCCCCCATGTAGCCAAAACTGTGCACGGAGAGAGACCTCGGTCTCTCCTGGGCTTTCTCAGCCTGGACACAGCTCTGCTAGCCACCCTCCTTCTTTAGCCCTCAGGGCTCTGTCATCCTGGCTTCTGTCACCGGCTTCTCTCCCTCTCTGGCCACTCCTCCCCAGCCTCCTCTGCTGGCTTCCCCTCCGCACATCCTCTCCAGGGTAAGTGTTTTAGATTCCGCATGCCAGGTACAGCCACAGTCTCTTATTCTTCTTTATTTTTCATTTGGTTTTTTATTTTTTTCCAGCCCTTCAAAAATATAAAAAATATTTTTAGCTCAGAGCTGTATCAAAACAAGCTTTGAGCTGTACTTGGCCCTGGGCCATGCTGATCCCTGCTCTGGTTAATGAATGGCTCTGTGCTCAGTCCTGGGCCCTCTTTTCTACTTATGCTCTCTCCTTAGTTGATCTCACTGAATCCTCTGGCTTTAAAGAACAATTATCCACTGACAATCCACAGTGTAGACCTCCAGCTCTGACACTTCCACTGAATTCCAAACTCCTATATCCACATGCTTATGTGAGGAAAAGGAAAAAAAATACACAAATGCTTATATGACATTTTCAAATCAGAACTCAGTGTGATGTGTAACAAAAATCACGATTTCATCTACCATGTAACGGACATATCAAACTTAACATGTTCTAAATAAAACATGCACCTCCCCCAGTCTGCCCCATCTCAGTAAATGGCATAACTCAATTGCTGAAAACAAAAACCCAGAGTCAGTCTCAATTTCCCCATTTTCTTCATCGCCAAGATGAATCCTGACCACTTCCCTGGTCTCTACCGCCGCGCATTAGTCCAGTGGGCTCATCTCCAGTGTGCGCTGCCCCGGGACCCTCCTGAGTGATCCATTTGCCCCAACTCTTGTGCTTTGAGACTCGATCTCTATGCAGTAGCAGAATAATCTTTTAAAAACACGATCAGATTACATTACTTCTACCACATAAAACCTCCAATGACAGAGTAAGAAGCAAGCTAATTTTATTGTGGCCTGTGAGACCCTAAGTGGCCTACTTCAAGACCCGACTCTGACCTCATGCCCTACTCTCTTCCTCACTTACTACCCTCCAGTCCACTAACTCCTCTCTGTTTTGCAAACACACTATACTTTTTCCTGCCTCAGGACCTTTGCATCTGCTATCCTCAGAGCTTCACATGGCTGGTGTCCTTATGACCATTCAATCCCAATGAACCCCTTACCCTCAACCACTCTCCATCCCATCCCGCCTGTTGTATTTTATTCAAAGTATCTTTTACTCTCTGAAATTAGCTTATTCACTTATTTGCTCACTTATTTATTATCTGTATCTTCCCACTAAATTGTAAATTCCTTGAAAGTAGAGGCTGTTAATAGGTATTCCATCTCCTAAATGAGTACCTAGCACATAGTAGGCACGTAGTGAATATTTGTTGAATGAATGAATGAGTAAATGTAGAAGGTAAATGTAGAATGGTATTTTTTCTATTTATATAATTTAAAACATTTTTTCCAAAGTATTATTCTCCAGATGACCAAACAAATGGCCAGCGGCTTAATACTGTCTCCATAAAAATAAACCCTATGAGTGAGGAACTGTGCCACATTCTAGGAATACAAAAATAAGTTAGACTCAGTTCCTGCCTCCTAGGATCGGGTGATCTGATGAGTTAAATAATCATGTAAAATGATTACAATAATGTGATACATGGATAATAGAAATATATGCCAACACTTAAATTCATCCTGAAGAGGTTAGGGATGGCTACATAAAGAAAGTAATATTTGAGATTCTTTGGAAGGATCAGTAGAACTTTTCCAGGTGTATCAGGCAGAAAAGAAAAGCAAATTATTCCAGACAGGGAAAATGTTATGTGCAAAGGCATAGAGGTCAGGAAAAAAAAAGGTAGAGCATTAAAGCAATAATCAGTTAGTCAAGGTTGCACCATGGAATATAGTGGCATGGGAGTGGTGACAAGTGATGAAATTGATGACAGAGGAGGGGTCAGTTGACAAAGCCATCCTTAGGGATTGGATTTATTCCTACAAAGCAATTCGCTGATTCTGAGAAGAGAAATAACATGATCAGATTTGCTTAATAGAAAGACTACCTTTCTGGCAGGATAATTGCAGATGGGTTACCATACTAAAAGACTGGGCTTGGAGAGAGAAATGAGAGCACTCAGAGGAGAGGAAGAGTCCAACCATGAGGAGCACCAACTGTTAAGGTCTCTTTCCTGGTCAAGCAAAAAGGAGACCTGGGAGACAGCAGAATCACAGAGGCTAGGAAAAGAAAGAGTTTTAAGCAAGGACAGTGACCAACACTGTCATAAACCAGAGGTAGATCCAATAAATAAAGATGGGAAAATGTCAAATGGATCTGGCAATTTGGGGTCAGGTGTTGAGGATCTCAGTAAGAACGATTTCTGCAAAGTGCACTATCAAAGCAAAAGAAGCAGCTATTACAGAAGGAAATCTGGAGTCAAAGGACAGGTTTTGTTTGTTTTTTAATGGGAAAAACTTGGACATGTTTATATCTGAGAAGAGTCAGTAGCTAGGGAGCAAGAAGAATGGAAAATAGGACCACTGAGAAAATGGGGGAGTATGCCTTATCCAGAAAAAGAACACTTTTTCCTCTTAAAATTGGAGAAAAATGTATGTCTAGCCATTGCTATAAATAAATGTATAGAGTTAGGGGAGAATGGCTGGGGGATGGTAGCAAAAAGCTAGGGAAATTCATGTATGTTGGTGTTGAAGTCTCTGAGGGGGCCATCCATAAATAGTACTCCTTTCCAGAACCCAAGTGCTAAACAAATCAAGATATAAATAAGATTGTCAATATGGAGACCAAGAATGTCGCCTTGTGTCTGATGCAGCTACGGTGAAGTCATGGCCTTAGGGTTCTTAGCCAAGTGGGTTGCTGATACCCAGTCCCAGAATTAGGCAGCTGTACCCACCAACATAGGAGGTTCTGCCCAAAATGGCTTTCATATGGAGAAACACAGGAAAACTCACTTTCTGCTGGCAGCTTGCTTGCCAGAGGAAGAAATGTGGAGTTGAGCAAAGCCTACATGTAAAATTATTCTTCCCAAATTTACCAATCGGATAAATCACCACCACCACCCCTTGTAGGAGCAGAGTGGAGAAAGAGGTAGAGAGGGCTGGAGTTTCACTAATTGAGCTCCCTTCACAGGGAGGAAACATCAGGGGTGTAGAAGAAACATTCCGTGCTAACAATTACTTTGTGCCTTCCAAATAAAAAAGAAAAGAAATTGGTCTGTTTAGAATCAGAAGAGGGTGGGGGAAGGATATCAACGGCTTGGGAATGATGACAGTGTTTAGAATCACTATTTGGGTGACTAGGAGAGCACATCTCTTTTCAGCACTGAGGGCTGAACCAAGGCTGGAAGTCATAGGTTTGCAGGTACATCCATCTACATAGTTGTGTGATCCTTAGCTAAGATCAGAGGTCTGTGATTAGATGGAAATCCACAGGAGATTGTGTTACAAGATGAGTTTCAGGAAGGGAGTAGTTAACCATGTGAAATGTAGCTGAGAGATCAGATAATGAGAATGGAAGGATGCCCATTGGATTTAGTACCTTAGATGTCATTAAGTGAACTTCTGTTTTGCTGGGGTGATGAGGTACAAACCAGACTAGAATAGGTCAAAATGGTGAATACAAAGTGAGAAAATAGAGACAACATACTTAAACAACTTTCTATTTTAAAAAGATATTTTGCTATGAAAGGCAGTGCAGTAACATTAGAAGGATGTGTGGATAATGGAAGTTTTTCTTCAGTTTTGTTTTTAGGTCTGAAATGACAGAAATGCTCTGTATGTATAAATGCTAGGAAAGCAATGAATATAAAAGAAGGAGATGAAGATGCAGGAAAGATAGATAAATATCTACTTATAGTATTTTAGACTTTTGTGGGCCTGGTCTGAAATTTACTGAACTTCATAATAAGGAAGAATAGAGATTGTCTTTTGGTGCTCCCTAGGAAAAATGTTTTAAATTCTTCTAAATTAAATTCATTTTTTAAATTTTTTTTCTGTAGAATGCATCAGGGATTTATGCAGAAATAGATGGAGCCAAAAATGAACTGCAAGGAAAACTATCTAACTTAAGTAACCTCAGCCATGATTTAGTCCAAGAAGCTGTTGACCATGCACAGAACCTTCAACAAGAAGCTGATGAATTGAGCAGGTAATATCCTGGTTTTAGAAATGCACATATTATATATGGGCTGAATAAAAATATTTTTATTCAATTCCACACACCAGAATTACTAGGATACAATCTTAGCAGATTGGTTAGAGTTGGGTTTGTTGATTTGTTGATTTGTTTGTTGGTTGGTCCCTCTGAAAGTCAAACATTATTTGTTGCGATTGTTTTGGGGAGATAGTTTTTTGCTTTTAAAAAAATATATCATCTTGGGGTCAGGGTTCTGTTTCACAATAGGGTGGCCTAAGGCATTTTGATTACAGGCATAACTGCTGCATAAAATATTGTTAAATACATCAAATCCCTTTGCAAAGTCTAATTCTCCTGTTACCTATTTATTCCATAGACAGCATTAGCTTTCCACACCCAAGTGTCTTAAGTAAAGCAGAGTGGGAGTCGGCAATATAACTGACTTCTGGTAAATACTCTAGTCACTCTGCAGTGCTCAGCAGGAGCTATTTGATTTCAACACCTGTTAAGAGAAAATCAATTGACAATTTTCCTTGCAGCATCTAGAAGAGAGTCATGCACCCCTTGGGCATTCAATTAATGTTAATTGAAATGTACTGAAAAATTGGAATTGAATTCATGACCCTGAAATAATAGGTAAATAATGAGATCATTATAAAGACTACAGAACAGGCAATTTGAAACAAGGACCAGTAAAGGTTATGAATAAAATAAGAACCAATATTAACTTCTGTTCAAAACAGAAATCACCTTTTTATTTCTGATTGCCAAAATTTTCAAATACTCTTCCAAATCTACTGAAAAGAGGGAGAGAGAGAGAGGGGAAGAAAGAGAGAGGTCACATAAAATCTTGGTGTGTGAGATAGTGCTATATCCAACTCAGTGGCCCTAGAAAATGTGCTTTTGATGAAGGCAATAAAATGGAGCTTAGATAAAGTACTGTTTTTGATAAGATACTGTATTGCTGGAATATTGTTTTTGAGATCCACCCTATGGCTCTCTTCATCATTCTTTTGTCATTTTGGTAACTGCATCCCAATCCCAAAACATAACTCCTGCAAATGCCACTGTGCAACAAACAATGCTCTAGCATGATTCTCCCAAAGAAGTTACTACCTATATGTCTTACATGAAACATGATCAGAAATATCAATCACTCTGAAGTCCCTTTTGGGCTTAGACTATTTCTGACTAAATATATTCATAGAAACATTCAAATTTATAGACCTCTTCCCTTTAAAATGTCAATATCCTTTAACATCTGTCTGGTGTACACAATGATTTGCATGCTGTGCTCAAAGATAGACTTGATTCATTAAGAAGCTTTCATTTCAAAAGCACATTTTTATTTCGAGTATTTAGACAGTACTTGTTTTATGCCCGGTAATAAAAACAAAGTAATAAAGGCTTTGTTTTAAGCTCTTTGGTATATCTTACCACCCTAGCCAGCAAAACTTTAAAATATTAATAAATATTTGTAACATTTTGTTTCTTTTATCCCTGTCTTTTACAACTTTTTTGTCTACCTTCCTCAGATTTTACTACTGAGCCATTTCTAAGAAGAAGGGGTTGTGGGGAGGAACAAATAGCAAGTGTTTGGATTAGAGTCCCCTCTACAGAGCAGAACAGCATTATGACTCTTGGGCCCTGGGCACTTTTGCCTTGATGGGCCCCTTTCTCCATTAAAAAAATTAAAAACTTTATTTCATATTTGCATTGGTATAAAGACTAACATAAGCATTACTATTGTCCTCATATTTTCTTCTGATTAAAAAAAAATGAATTGAAAACATTTCTGTGAGTCCCTAGTGTGCTGATGGCTAAGTCAGCCTTGCTGCAAAGGAGGTAGAACAGTGAGAGACTTGAACAAAAGAAAGGGAAGTAGCTGAGGGCACACACAGGAAGTTGCTCTGAGCCTAAGAGAGCTTGCAGAGACTGAAGCTGGGAGGGGAGGCTGAGAAACAATCAACTGAGCTCGCGGGCCGAAGGAACCAGAGAGTGAGCTCTGCAAAGACATATACTGGGTCACAGAGGACCTTCAGGAGGTTACTGATGAATAAAGTGATACTACTAGTCATCAATGTTTGGAACTGAGAAAAAAATAAAGAACTGGTAGGTTTAAGGGGTAGATTTTATATCATAGAGGAAGAAGTATTTGTCAATACAATAAATTGTGTGGATACACGTAGAGTTTGAAATTCCGATTCAGGAATTTAGGTACAATCATAAGCCCTGATTCTTACCAGGTGCTGGGCACGGGATATCAAGCATTTATGTATTTGATCCGGGTCATACTCACATCAGTCCTCGGAGGCACATGCCATGATCAGCCCCTGTGTGCGACAGTGCCCAGTGCATGCTGGGTACTCAGTAAATGTTCTGCGAACCCTACACAGTCCAGAGAGGGGCAGAGGCAAGGGCCACGTGTGGGAGGGCAGGGTGAGGGTGGGCTAAGGCGGGGCTGTGTGCTTACAGGATGCAGCCAGGCCACCGCAGGGCCACAAACCTTAACAATGCGTGCCCTGGCCACAAGCACCCTCTCTCAGAGCCTCAGCTGCCTTTATGGAGAGGGAATGACAATGATGGTGACTACTATCCAGGTAGTCGCCCACTACTTAGGTGACTGTGGGTTCATTCCTCTGTGGAACAAACTGTGGGTTCATTCCTCTGCCTGACCTCCACCACATTAAACAAATGCTCTCTCAAGGAGGTGCAGAAGGCTGTTCTTAAATGATTATGCACTTTTCCTGCAGCTACTGCCAGCCAGGCAGCTGCCACGGAGCAAAAATGGGGTGAAGTCTTGGGGACAGCAGAGGCAGAGGAATGCAGAGAAGATGTAACCCTAGCAAGGGTGGCTCAGAAAAACCTTGCCAAGCCAGGTGACTTTGAATAAGACGATGGAAGCATCTGTGATCTTGGAAGTGTTAGGATCAAGCCCTAAAAATGGCCCCGTCTCCCAAGGAGGTTAGAAGGAGAAATAACGACAAGTTTCTTTATTAACAGAAATTTGCACAGTTCAGATATGAATGGGCTGGTACAGAAGGCTTTGGATGCATCAAATGTCTATGAAAATATTGTCAATTATGTTAGTGAAGCCAATGAAACAGCAGAATTCGCTTTGAATGTCACTGACCGAATCTATGACGTGAGTATTCCATTTGAAAGTTCATTTGTACATTGACGTTTCCCACTTAATGCCTTTTCTATTGTCCGATGTCATCTCTCGAGCTTCCCAATGTAAAATACAAATGGCATAAAGGCCAGGGGGACTAAGCAAAGACCATTTTACTTATGCCATGAAGGTTTTAGTTTGTATAATAAGTTCTTCAAGATGTGCTGTACTCTGGTCACCAAATGCCAGTTCCTTTGACAGCTATTTTTAGCCAAAGTCCCTGAAGAAAAACATATTTATGACTAGTTCCTGCTGATAGAGTGGATGCTTTTTGCATGCATTCATTTTTCAACTCAAAATTATTTACTGAACAGCTTCTATGTGACAAGCACTTTGGTGGGACCTTGGCAAGGATACACTGTTCTAAGTTCACTAAATTTTCCTGAAAAAAAAACATTTATCTTGCAAATAACAAAAACTTTATTTTCTCATGTTCACATTTGATTTTGATTTTGAGCTATAAAAATGAAACTATGAATTTTGCTTGGTGTTTAGCAGATAAACCGTGTCATTTAAATCCTAAAAACATGAAAAGCTGATTTCTTCTGCTGTCATTTTTACTCTCTCCACCCAATTCCTTTGTAGGCTGTGAGTGGGATTGATACTCAAATCATTTACCATAAAGATGAAAGCGAGAACCTCCTCAATCAAGCCAGAGAACTGCAAGCAAGGGCAGATTCTAGTAAATATCTTCAGTTTCCTTTCTTCCTTCTGATTTATAGCTGCTTCCCTCCTTTCATACATGTAGACAGAGAGTTCCAAAATCTAGGATTAAAAAATAACTAATATTAGGGGGCATGGGCAATATATGTAACCTTAACATTTGTACCCCCATAATATGCTAAAATAAAAAAAATAACTAATAGTACAATGAATAATACATCAATAATCCCTGCTCAGAGTCATAAAAAAGCAAAGATTTTAAAATAAATTGTGATTTTAAAAAAACCTTCCATGTAGTAAAACTGCATGAAAACATATATTTATGGTGGATATTCTTGCTAATCAAATAGGCTGGTTGATAGAACTTTACCATAAATAACAATTTTTAATGAGAATATCATAAAATATACTTAACGCTTAAACTGTATTGCCCATGATTTCATCTCTCTTGAACAATTCAGAAGACCATTTAAAATTTTTACCACAAAGTAATGGGCCATCACTGTGAGAGTCAGTCAAGATGACAGGGTACCACAAAGCCATCTGGCTATTTGTACCTTCTTGTAGTTTGTGTTCTACACAGTTTACTGTATTTAGGACAAACACAATGACCATATGGAAAGAAGTACTTCCAAAGACCAGTGTTTGCATCTGCTAAAGTATCCAAGCATGGGAGAGTGATGGAAAAATAAAAGTGAAATCATGTTAGGCTATTTTGAGTTACCCTTAAAAACAATGGAATGGACTAAGAATTTCACTAAACATTACTCATCTCTGAGGTAATGAACTAATTTCTAAAGATATTTGAGCATTGACTAATGAGGTTCGAAATTCATTATCTAGCTAACTTCTAAATACCAACTAAAAACAAAGGCCAAGTTAGAAACTGGAAACTTTACACAGTTTTATCAAAGCAATTAATCTCAAGTCTAACAGTGCATTCTCCTTTTTTCCTTTTGCCAAGAGCCACTATATACAAAATAAATGTGCTTTGTTTTTCATATGCAGAATATTTAACTATTTAATTACTTTGCAATTGTTATTTTCTTTTTCTGGGTAAACAAAGGCAAGAAAAAAGTGCTGAATTTCTCTATTCTAATTAATCTATTATGTAAGTCTACTTAATTTATTATATGAGTCTAATCCTGAACATATTCTTTGGAAAATAATTAGAATATTAGCAGTAAAATATTTCTAAGTAAATATTATTGTATCTGTGTATTGCTTTTGTTTCTTGTGTTCTAAGACCCCTAACATATTGTGGTCTAACATATTCTGGTTAGTGCCATGACTTAAGTATTTTATTCTTCTGGATAATTTGTAATGTATTTTCTCAGTCCTGTCATTATTGAGTTATTGAACCTCAAAAAAGCAACTTTTCTATTCTGGGAATGACATCCCTTCAAAGTTTCATGTTTTATGTCTGATAAATCTCTCTACATCAGCTTCTCTGAATAGTTTGCAGATCTGGTTTCAGGATTTCAAATTAAAACATAATCATCTACTAAGTTGCATTATCATTTCAGATTATTGTTTCTTAATTTACAAATGACTTTCAATGCTTAGTAATCTTTATTTCCCAACTTTCCTTTTCTTCATTATCTGTATCAAACAGTTAACAATCTATAGTTACTCAGGAAGCTGCATTTTTAAAGGGATATTCTACTTCATTTGCAAAATGAAAAATGTTTATGTATGACTATAAGTTCCATATAGGACACACTTTTCATGATACATTTCTTCTTATAAACATTGAACCCAAAATAGATTTTCTTTCTCCTGTTTTTATCAAGACCTCCAAATATAGAGTTAAATATATTCTTTCTCAGTGTCTCAGGCAGTGTTCTTTGCAGACACAAGACCCTAAAATAAGAGGAAAAACATTATAACACAATATTTGAAAACTGAAACTAGAAAGAAGGAGTTGGGATGCAATAAAACTACAAAGCATGTTTAAGTCTCTCTTTGAATTCTGGGAAATTCTCCAACTACCCAGAGGAAACAAGAAAAAAGTGCTTGTACTTGGTCACACTGTACTTGGTAACAGTATCGACTAAGCCCCCCGCCCCATTAAATACCCATTATTTACACATATGGGGGAAAAGATAACAGTAAACCAAGCACACCAAGATAGTATAATAGAAAAGAGAAAGTGCACCATGGGAGGGTATATATTTACAAACTCATTGCAGAGAAAGAGAAGCGTGTAATGAGAAATGATAAAAATTATTTTGCTGTTTGTCAAGAAACATAAGATTCTCAATGCTGTGGAAGTAAACAAAGCACAAAAAAAAGAACTGGCTGATATTAATATATCATGACCTGTTAGGTTTGCTCAAAGACAACCCAAATTTAGGAACTGTTCCACAAGCACAATTTCAAGAATAATTTTGTAAGAAAACACCTATTTATCAAAACTGATACAAAAAGAATAGAAAATCTGATAAAATTGTAAGAACATACATATGTATAATAAATTTAACCATGAATTAAACCCTTATCACAAAAGAAATCTCAAAGCTCAGATGGCTTCCCTAGTGAATTCTTCCAAACATTTAGAGAAGAAATAAGACCACTCTTATACAAACTCTTACAGAAAACAGAAGACAAGAAAGCACTCTCCAAGTTGTTTCATGAAGCCAACAAAACTTAGACACCAAAACCAGATAAGGACTTATAAAAAAGGAAAACTATAAGCTAAATTCTCTTATAAATAGAGATGCAAAAATACTAATCAAGATATTAGCAAATCAAATCTAGTACGCATAAAAATAGCAACATATGATGACCAACTTGAGTTTATTGCAGAATATCAAGGATAGTTTAACTTTTAAAATATCAATTATAATTCACCACATTTAAAGAATGTAGGAGAAATTCATTTGATCATCTCACTACATGCAGGAAAAAAACTCAATACCTATTCATGACTTAAAAACACTCTTAGCAAACTAGGAATAGATGGAAACTTTCATAATCTAATAAAGAATAATAAAATAATATCCAGAAAACATATTGACACTGAAATATTGAAAGCTTCCCCATTAATATTGAAAACAAGACAAGGATAACCCACATTACCAATTCAATGTGTAAAAATTCAGTTTAATTCTATATACAACAATGGAAAATTAAGTTTTTTAAATACCAGCATTTGCAATGACATCAAATACATAGGAATAAATCTGATGAAAGAGGCCAAGATTGCTATACATAAAACTATAATATGCTGCTAAAAGAAATTAAAGAAGATCTAAATAAATGGAAATTTAAATTGATATCTAAAGAAGAATAAATAAATACCATATTCCTTGAGTAGATTAAAATTTATAAAAATAATTCTCCCAAATTTATCTATAGATTCAATAAAGTATCAATTAAAGTACCAGAAAAAAATTATGTGTATACATATATATATATATATATATACACACACACACAGGATGATTCTAGAATTTCTATGGGAATGAGAAGAGAAGGCCAAGAATAGCTAAGCCGATCTTGAAGAATAAAAACAAACCTGGAAGACTTAAACTGCGATGTCAAGACTTATTATAACTCTATAGAGATTAAGACAAAGATATCAAAGATTATAATACTGTATCATCTGTTTTAAATAAAGTTTAAAAGCAGACACAACTAACAGATAGAGATAGAATTCAGAAGTGGTCATCTTTGGATAATCATAGGGCCCTCCCTAGGGAGCTTCAAGGGTGCTAAGAAGTTTCTATTTTCTTGTTCTGGATGCTGGTTATATTTTGTGTTCACTTTGTGAAAATTTATCAAGCTGTGCACATGAAATGGTTGCCTTTTTCTAGATGTATGTTATATATCAATTAAAACTTTATCAAAACAATTAAGAAAAATGATTCTTATATAACCAGTCATTATCCTATAAATAGATTTTTTTCTTTTTCGATCTTCACCAATTGTGCTGCTAGGTTTTACTGCTCACAGCAATGCTATATTTTTCAATCAAAGAAATTAACCATTATAGCATCCTAAATCTTTCCTAAGCAGTATTACAAGTTTTTTGCAATCCTGTACCTCTAATTTTAAATGCTACTTTCCAGAACTAATGATCTATGTTCAGAATATTCAGAATATTGCAGGTGACTCTATAGTACAAATCAGAATTGTCCTTGTTGAAATGGAGACTTTTTGAGGCATCTTGGCCCTATTGGTCCTTTTTTCTGCTGCTTCTCCACAGGCAATGATGAGGCAGTGGCTGACACCAGCAGGCGTGTGGGCGGAGCCCTGGCCCGGAAGAGTGCCCTTAGGAACAGACTCAGCGATGCCGTTAAGCAACTGCAAGCAGCAGAGAGAGGTAGGACGCACAGAGAGAGCTTCAGTCTCATCTGTTAGTTCACTGGTGTGTAAGATAAATCTTTGAGGAAGGAATAGATGGTTCCTTACTTGGTTTTTTAAATAAATAAATGGAATTTTTTGATGACAAAAGAACCTATGTTCATCACCCCAAAAAAGAAGTTCTACAAAAGAAAAAGAAGAAAGTAAATATAAAAGCTATAATCACACCATCTAGGGTTGACCTATAAATTTGAGAGCATTTCCTTCCAATCTTTCGTGTGTGTGTGTGTGTGTGTGTGTGTGTGTGTGTGTGTGTGTGTGTGTTTTAATGGGATCATGCTGTTTATACTGTTTGGTAACAGCTTTCTTATGAACATCTTTCCTCGTTAACAACATGCCCTAATTTGGTTATTGGATTTCTTTGGCCCCAACTATAAACAGCTTCCCTCTGTAACATGTCAAATCATTCTTATATAAAGCAGGGAGACCAACGAGCCCAAATAGAGAAACAAGAGCACTCGTCTTGCCTAATCTGGGCCTGTTGTGGTATCTTAGAAGGATGTGATTGGAAGATGTGCCTTCCTCAGCTTAGTGAAAGTTAAAACACTACTGCTGCATATGGGTGTTTTACTAAAAGGAGCAAATCCTAGTAGCTGCAGTACGACAGTACATCAGCGCTCTGGTCGTTGGTCTTTCATTGGGAAGCCTTGTCATCAGAGCTGCTGGTTATTGATGCCTACTGTGTGCAGGGCACTGGCTTAAGTGTTCAACGTCCCTTAATGTCATGGGAGGATAAATATCCCTCGCTGTTAGGCTGATGTGAACCCTAAGGCTTGTCAATGTTAGGGAATTTGCTCCAACAGGTGCAGCTAGGAAGAAGCAGATCCAGGATTCAAACCAGCATTCATCAGAATCCAGAGCATATGAGGTTGAGTGAAATGTTTAGAAAAGGTGACAACATCACCTAAGTGATTTCTAATTCTTTTTATTATAGACGTAATACATGATCCTTATGGAAAAATTAGAAAATACAGAGAAGAAAATAAAAAAGAAGAAATATCACCTATAATCCCATTACCTAAACAAAATTTTCTGTTGTGAACTTACATTATTTTTATTTTAAATATGTGATTTTTAGCAAAAATGAGATTTCACTAATGGTACTCTTTTGAAACTTGCTTTTCTTGTTAAAAAATACCTTTCTTTATCAACTTCTGTACTATAGCATCATTTTTATGGCAAAAGTGTTCCACAAGAATACTTTTTCAAAAAGAAAGTGATATTTACAATGAATTTCAGACACAAACCTCTTATGAGTTAAAATCTCATATGCATGTTTTATGGCTATCTCACAAGATCACTAACCTGAGGAAATACTATTATTCTTTTTTTAATTTGCCTCTTAATTTGAAAATGTTTTAAGTGAGCCACATGGTTTTTAATAAGACTTTGAGTCTTTGAAACTCACTTATTAATATTGCTTACACTGTTCTTGTACACCTAACTTATACCATAATTAATATATTTTGAAAGATCTTAGTTTTGCTTAGGAGTACAAAATTTGAGGTCTGTTTCATCCCAGTGAGTAAATGGACGTTTATGTTCCCCAACAAATGTGCTGCTTCTCTGCAACGTGCATGACCTTGTGCTCTGTGTGAAGGGGACGCTCAGCAGCGCCTGGGTCAGTCGAGGCTGATCACTGCGGAAGCGAACAAGACGACAATGGAGGTGCAACGGGCCACCGCCCCAATGGCCAAAAACCTGACCAGCTGGTCACAGAACCTGCAAAGTTTTGACTCTTCTGCTTACAACACTGCTGTGGACTCTGCTAGAGATGCAGGTATCACTTAGAAACTTCAGAATTTGAATCCACCTGAGGAATTAGCCATTAAACTCTACACATCTTAAGAAATAGCTTTCTTCATTTAGGTTTTGGATTGGAATATTGTAGAAGTTAGCTTAGGAATAGAGAAATAATGCCTGTGTGTATACGTATGAAATATATACATGTATTTCACATAAATAAACAGTAGGTAGCTTGGTAAAGAGTCATAATTTTTTCTATGTGAAATAATGGTAGCAATCGTTTATATCAATGTAAGATTGATCCCTTAGGGAAAAAGGTCAATCAAATGTTAGAGTAAATAACCTTAACAAAATGCTGGGCTTTTTTAAGGAAAAAAAATACTAAATTGAATGCAATGCTTTTACTAAACAGCATTGCCTTTTCTTTACCTGTGAGGCAGATTATTACCAACAAGTACTGAATATGGCCAAACATAAGTCCAGGTTTATATTAAGAACAGTATGTTAGCCTACTTGAATATATAATTTTACAGCAATGAAAATGAAATATTTTAGTGCCTACCTAATTTAGTTACACATAGGAATTAAAATCATGTAGTACTTGAGAAATTTTCCTTTTTCCATTCTCACATTTTTATTCAATCTCTTCATAACCTCTTAAATATCAATGTCTGTCAATATCATGACAAATCATGACCAAACTTCTAGTTCTTCAATATGGTTTTGTGTAATATATTGCCTTCACTTGCATCTGAATGAGGATACAACTTTATGAATCCATATATGATCTGTCTGTCACTAGAAATTTAATCCAAATTTAATCCCAGTTGCAAACACCCATTCCCATAATGGGAAAGTAGCTCTTTATAGTCATCTTTTAAGTATATATTCATGAGTTCTTCCATGTAACAGCTCATTTAAGTGCTTTTAAACTTTTATCTTTAAAAGATTTGCTTACATGATGTCCAACATTTACATTTATAAAGACATTGCTTCAAGAATATTTACTAAATCTGTGTTCAATTTCTCTTCTTCCTTTTTTTACCAGTCCTACCAAATGATTTCAGTAAGCATCCAGAACTAGCACTAATTGGAGTTGTTTCCGCCTACTGTGTTTTCCTCAAAAGCATTTTATGATTCAAAACAAAGTAAATGATAGAGCATACCATAATATAGGAAACTCTATAGAGATTCTAATACAAGGTGACTCCCTTTTTCTGAGAGAATTGAGGGAAGGACAGACTCTGTCATATAAATTTTCATAATCAAAATTTAATGTAATTCTTTAAATATGCTTTATCACTCTAGTTTTTAAAGACTATTATACTACAAAATGGCTATTGTGGTCAGTGATCCAAACAACAAATATTTACCCCTGTATTAATCAATACAATAAACTAATAGTTGCTATTGTTTTACTAAATTTCATTCCTTGTGCTGGAGAAACACCTTGTTTCCTAAATGCTGAGAAGAGATGTTTCCTTGATCCATATTCATGTAGGCTCCTGAATCAGCACTTATTTTGTCTCTAGTAAGAGGCTCACTCTTGCCCAGCTGCTAATGCTCAGTAACTGTGGTCCTGCCCTTAGGTAGGAGAGTACCTGAAAAATATCCATTCCCTCATCCAGTGCTTCTTAAATATGAATCTGCAATAGAATCACCTGGAGACTTGTTAATCATAGATTACTGGCCCCCACTCCCAGAGTTTCTGAGTCAGTAGGTTTGAGATAGGGCCAAAAAATTTGCTTTTCTAACAAGTTCCCTGGTAATGCTGATGCTGCTTATCTGAGGACCACACTTTAAGAACCATTGTTCAGTCAATGAAACTGTGGAAAAAGTTATGCCATTCTCTGTGTTTTGGGTTTTTCTCATTAAGCTATATCCTTATGACTTGTGATTTTTTTTTTCTACATGTACCTTATGCATTAAAAAAAAAAATAATAAGAAGTAGGTCAGTCACAGGCCCGGGGACACAGCTGTGTTAGGCTGGGTCAAGGGGAGTATGTGCCCCACCCTGACCATTTCCTCCTTTTCTGACCCCTGTCCCCAACAGCCTGAGGTTGTTTTGTTCTCCAGTAGGAGGCCCAGGGATAAAAATGGGGGGAAAAGATCAGTATGATCTGCTTGTAGCATCACCCTTGTCTGGGCCCATGGACCATGGCTGCCCACTCTCACCTTGGCACAGCTGTCACTTTCCTGGGTGCTACCTGGTTTCCTCCATCTCGCTCTGCCTCTGCTGAGACAGTAGCAGCAGCAGTGTGATATGTGCACAGGCATTCTGGAAAACAACCTTCCCACCTCCTTTTGCCCAACATTCCTTTTGCCCTGTTATATCTGTTATATCTATGAAAAATACAAGCAGAACCTGTGCTATATGGTTAAAGGAACATCTGTATATTTGTCACAGATCCTGCCCTTTAGAAATGTACATTAGCATGCTCCACATACAACTTACAAATCAACACATACTATAAATGTCACAAAATAGAAACTGATTATGCTTTGGGCTTTATTATTAATTTTGCAGGATTAAAGATAATTTCTTAAATTCTACCAAAATTAATCATGTGTTGTCTCTTCACGTGATTCCTGAAGTGTACTTAATATCGAGATATTTACTCAAGTGATTAATTTTTGTTAACTGCAGTAAGAAATCTGACAGAGGTTGTCCCTCAGCTCCTGGATCAGCTTCGCACGGTTGAGCAGAAGCGGCCTGCAAGCAATGTCTCTGCCAGCATCCAGCGGATTCGCGAGCTTATTGCTCAGACCAGAAGCGTCGCCAGCAAGGTAACTGATGAAGGGAGTCATCAGTCACTCAGTGATCATGAGAGCACGAAGCTCAGCTCCGGCTCCGCAGGCAGCTTCCAGAGCCTGGGACCTTTCTACTCTATTATCCAGCCCAGTAGTTCTCAGCCCCATTTGCTCATTAGAATCACACGAGGAGCTTTGAAAAATAAACCAATTCCTGGTCCCAACCTCAAAGCAATATTTCAGGCTCTCTAGAAGAAGGTCTCAGCGCCTGTATTTTTTCAAAGCTCCTGTGTTATTCTAATGTGTAGCCGGGATTAAGAACCACAGAGTTAACCTAGTCCACAAAGCTAATATAGCAAAAGAAACAAAGTCCCAATTTAAACCCCAATTCATTATTATTATTATTCATTGTTGTAACAGCTATTTTAGTGCAATTACTATATGAAATAATCTTTCCCATCTGTCCTACCTCTTCAAGAAATTCTCTGGTACAACATAGATTGTGCGAAGCTTTAACTGACCACGCACAGGCTTGGTTGAGGAATTACACACTGGCTAAATTGAATAAACTCGGCAAAGACCCCCTTCTGAGACACTGAATACACAGAAGCAACCTAACAACAAGATAACTAGAGCCAGTATTGGTAGGAACAGACCCTGACACAATTAACATTTTCAGTGTGGCAAAGTAGGGCTTGTTCTTGGACTTCTTTTTAATTTCTTGTTTTGTTTTGTTTTGTTTTTTAATTTATGGACCAGCCTCATTTTTTACAACCAAATTACATGGTTTTATTTTTTCAATTAGAATTGGCCTGAACAGACTTTGGCCCTAATTACTGACAGAAAGAAGAGTTATAAATCAACTACTTTATAATGAAGGAGATAATTCTTGGTAAATATACCTGACTTTTAAACAACATATGATAAATGGTCTCTTATAACAAATTACCTTATTTAGATACCCCAGCGAACATTTCAAAAAAGGTTTATCTTAAAGGTACATCAAGAAGTGGCACTCTAAAATCTCGGTTTCTGTGAATGCTTTCTTGTAATAGTATTTCTTTGGAGTATAACTTGGGAGTCCTAATCACCTAAAACTATTTTCTAAAGAGAATATTGGCCCTACCTTTGCGAGTTGGGAGCTTGCTCAGTTCTCCAAAGTGAGATGTTTTGCATTAAGACATGCACCCTTCTCAGACTCTCAATTTCTACCATAAGATTTTAATCCTACACACTGCTTAATTGTTTGTTAAGATGCACAGCTCTTTACTCAACTGCACTTCTGGCAGCTGCACTTCAGGCACTTGGGAATATAGTCTTGTGCTCACTGACCATCTACATTAATTATTAATATTAAGTAATTATTAATTTATTGATATTAATGATATAATTAATTGATTCATGATAATGATATAATTGATATTAATCAATAATTAATTAATGTAAATACATCTAATCATTCAGAAATATTTGGATAAATGGCATGAATATACACAGTCCATCCACTTCTAAATACTCCAAAAATCACCCATGAATCAGATCAGTTCAGTATATTATGTTGGGCCTCTTAGAAAATCATTTACTGAATTTTTTGTGATGCCTTCTGAAAAGTATTGTATGAAGCACCTTAGTGAACTCATCATTGCAGTTGTTATAATGATAGAGGCGGGCACTGGAAAGCACTTTATAGTTGTGATCTTATTTTATGCTCACAACTCTGCTGTCCTTATTTCACAGATCAGGAAACTGAAGGTTAAGTGACCTGCTCATGGTTATATAGCTAGTAAGTGGCAGGGCTAGGTTTTGAAACCTGGTCTAAGACTACAAACGTGTGTGTAGACTCCTCCCAACTGTACAGATGTGGCCAAGGATGTGGCTCACATGCTCACCCCAGGCTTCTTTCGTGGGGACCCTGGGGAGAAAACCCTAGCTGTATTAGTACCAAAGATTAGTTATACTTCTCTTAAAAAATTAGTTTTTGTATAAATTTTATGGGCCTTGAGAATTATATAATGATCAGGTATCCCCTCAAGTTGTTCAATTCACCCAAACCAAGAATATAGTTCATTGCAGAATTCGTATGTATCCTCATTCATGGGCCTACTTTGTCACCACTTCATTTGCTTTCTTTCACCCCACTTTAAACTACTGTATTGTAAATCTGCCTTAAATCTTCTCTCCAAGAAGATAAGGGTGTAAATAAATAAATAAAGGTATGGAGGAGTCGAGCTTAGAGGCCCCTATTTGAGAACTGTTTCTGCAAAGAACTTTTTAATGAAATAATTTTACAACCCCAGATCCAAGTCTCCATGATGTTTGACGGCCAGTCAGCCGTGGAAGTGCACCCCAAAACCAGTGTGGATGACTTAAAGGCTTTTACATCCCTGAGCCTGTACATGAAACCTCCCGTGAAGCAGCCAGAACAGGCTGGGACTGCAGATCAGTTCGTCCTGTACCTTGGAAGCAAAAACGTAAGAACATGAGCTTTTATAGGAGGGAACAATACTAAAAAGGAAAGCTGCTTTTTCTCTTGGCTAAAATAAAGCTATCTAGGCAAACAAACAACATGCCCACTCTGGTCACTCAAAAGATATAAATAATTTTAATGGCAAGATTTAAGGAGTGATTTAAGGACAAGTAGTTTCTTCTCTGGGTGGGGTATTTCTGGGATTGCTTCCTGTCACTGTCCCACTGCTAACTTTGATGAGTCTGAACGGAGCATCTCAAAGACCTTCAGAATAATAGCAGCCTGTTATGTTTGATGCTGAATCCTGTTTGAAGATGTGTAGTGATCGGTATTGTCGGGCTGTGTCACATCCGGAGTGAGCCTAACAGCATTAGCAGGCTCCCAGCAACCATCACATTTCTACAAGCCTGCGGTTGGCACCTCCCTGTCCAGGACACACTCAGAGCAGGCACAGGAGGCATCAAACTCTGGCGCTGCCACAAGGAAGCTGGAAAGGAAGAGCTTCTGCTCAGTCCAGCAGGAACTTTGGGTAATAATTCCAGACAAAAGTCACTTGTGTACAGCCAAGTATTTAGATTGCTGATTGTCCTTTAAAGAAATGAAAAGAAAAAATGATACTCCTTCTTGTGAATTTTATTTAAGTGACTTCTTAACATTTCAGGCCAAAAAAGAGTATATGGGTCTTGCAATCAAAAATGATAACCTGGTGTATGTCTATAATTTGGGGACTAAGGATGTGGAGATTCCCCTTGACTCCAAACCCGTCAGCTCCTGGCCTGCTCACTTCAGCATTGTCAAAATTGAAAGGTAAAGTGAATCCATGAGCCTGGGCTTATGTGCACGTTTCATAGAAATCTGTCAATCGAATGCACTCACACACACACACACACACACACACACACAGTCTTCCTGTGCATACTATACATAGCATTTTCGTCCTTTTATTCGCAATCTCCTTTCTTCCATAATTCTTACATTCCTTCCCAAACACCTTAATGGGAAAGAAAAGAAAAAAAGTCATCACTTCTAAATAGCAATTTGATTATTCGATATATTTTTACCTGGCCAAGCCATGAATTAATTCCAGGATGGAATGTCCTTTTCCCCCTTCCTATTGTTTATTGATATTCTACAAATGCTTGTTAATGTGACAAAATCAAATCACCAATTTTGTAATGAGGAAACGTTAATATTTTGACTTTAAAAGAGCATTTTCTACAAATTATCTGACTAATAAAGAGTAAAAATTCTTTATCACAATAGGGTAGGAAAACATGGAAAGGTGTTTTTAACAGTACCAAGTCTAAGTAGCACTGCAGAGGAAAAGTTTATTAAGAAGGGGGAATTCGCGGGAGATGACTCCCTGCTGGATCTGGATGCCGAGGACGCTGTGTTTTACGTTGGTGGAGTGCCTTCAAACTTCAAGGTAAGCTAGCCAGCTATGTTTCTACTTGTTACAAATCTACAGTCATTGTTTTTATAGATACATAAAATTTATAATGATTTGGTGGAGGGGCTTATATCATTTCAAGAGCTCAGCTCAGTGGGTAGTAGAATTCTGAACCAAAATCTATAAATCTGGTGTATAGATCTGGCCTATGCTACCATATTTTCATAGTGCCAAATGCTTTCAAGCTATAGCTACCACCTGAAGCTCAATTAATTTCATTCTGATTCATGCATAGGTAATTACTATTACCCCCACCTGCTACAGGGGTGTCTATTACCTTGTGGTATCGCCACAATTGGGATCTAGTCTTCAGCTTTGCAGATGGCAATTCCAAAAATTCAGTTATCTCAACTAAAATAGGCATGAAATAAAGTATCTGGATGAGAGAGGGGGTAGGACCTAGGACAGAGTATGAAACCTGATAGAGGAAAGGCCCAAGAAGACTAGAAGTCAATCTAAGGTTTCAATTTCAAAGCTGATATTAATAGTTATGAGCACGTGATTGAAATCTCTGAGGATTACTTTCCCTCTCTTTATGTGAGAATAGGAACACCCACCTCACAGAGCTGGGGTAAGGATTTATTTTTGCCTTGAATTCACTGTCCAGCATATGACCAGCATGTAGTCTTTGGTTAATAAATCCTGCCTTAATTGCTAAGATTTGCACAACTGACAAATTGCTGCTGATCTAAATGATTTGGCATAGAACAGACACAAACACAGGTCTAGAAAGATATTATATGAAGGGGTAGATCCCCTTGATCTGCTAATAGTCTCATGGTCTGTTCTGTGATGTCCAGGTGAAATATGGTCATGAGACAGTTGACTTTACTTTTTCCATTGCACAGCTTCCTGCCAGCTTAAACCTGCCTGGCTTCGCTGGCTGCCTGGAACTGGCCACTTTGAATAATGATGTGATCAGCTTGTACAACTTTAAGCACATCTATAATATGGACCCCTCCACATCAGTGCCCTGTGCCAGGTAAGAGACAGTTAAGAGTACTAAAGACTTTAATAGTCATGCAAAACAGCAGACAGGACATAGGCAAGTCAATATTCAGTTTCTCAAACTTTTCTTTGGGGAAACCAGTTTTGCAACTGCATAAGAGTCACACCTACAAAAACATCTTCAGCTTTTCTCTACCATAAGATGAGAGTACACAAGTATTAAATGTCAACTTGCAGCCTTGATTTTGGATTCCAGAGACTGGAGTGTCCCTCCAGTCCCTCCTTCTTAGCACATGGAACAGAGAAGAAATATATTAAAAACAATCCATTTAACTTACCTACAAATACTTCTTTATCTCTTCCATATAGATAACAGGACTTCATTTAAATGTTGTAAGATCCACAGAAGATGTTATGAGAATGAGTTAAAGGGGCTTACTTGAAAAGAATGACAGAAACTGTAATGCTCATATGACCCTCATGTTTCCATTTCAGAGATAAACTGGCCTTCACTCAGAGTCGGGCTGCCAGTTACTTCTTTGACGGCTCCAGTTATGCTGTGGTGAGGGACATCACGAGGAGAGGGAAATTTGGTCAGGTGACTCGCTTTGACATAGAAGTTCGAACCCCAGCTGACAACGCCCTAATTCTCCTGATGGTCAATGGAGTGAGTAAAAATAAAAGTCCTACTTATTCTCCTTTATTTCCATTACTTTCTGCTATTCACATTTTTAGGAGCCTTCCTAGATTGAGTGTGTCACACCATCAAACTGAAATTCTAGTTTAGAAAACAAAATTGGATTTTTTTATTCTTCATGGAAGTGATCACAGCAATAATAAAAACAGCCCTGAGGTGGATTTCTCCAAGCTGCATGCTTTAGATATATAATATACATATACTCACACACATCTTTATTTATAAGTGATATTATATGTACCATACAGATATAAGTCTGGTATGAAACATTCAAAACTAGCAGTAAAAAGCAAATTATATAAAGACGAAATAAAAGATTAAATACAAATAGATTAAATATTTAAAATAAAGATGAAAATAAATTAATTTTTATTAATGATACAGAAACCCTTTTTCTCTCACTAAAAAGTATTTTTAATAGCAGTGTTAGTGAGAACAATGTAATTAAATATGCTAAATATTTTGAAAATTTTGTTAAACTCTTTGTAATACAGCAATTCAAAAGTCTTATCCTAAGTACAGTTTATTTCAACACTGTGTTTTCTTGGCTGTCATAACTGGACAAGATACTTCACAAAATTAATGAAAATATAAGATGTATATCATTAGCTGTGCCTACTAAATCATATACAGTTTTTTAATAACATTCACCAAGTGCTAAGGTTGCCTTTGAGATTTGGCTGGTACATTTTCCTTTTTCCTAATGTCAGTTCTTGAAAGCTAATAATATATTATATCATTTTGTGAACTTTATAAAACAGTTCAAAAACCATTGAAAATCTTCATTTGAAAGATTTTTAAGCAGGTGAGAAATTTCTTGCCACAAATGTTTTAATAGTACAGATATGAGAGTTTTTGTAGGTATGCACTTACATTATTTCCACCAAAAAAATCACTTAACAATAGAAAAATTCCCAAGCATCTTTTTAAAGGATAGTCTCTCCATGGTATAATTGTCTTCAAAAAAAAAGAGTTACTTTCTCATCCATTGTTATAATAATATCCTTACCTTGATGTGACAGTATGTTTATTTTTTGAAATAACCAGTAGGTTTTGTACTACTGAAAGACATTTGTCAGCACAAGTAAAGTTCAACAAATTTAGAATAATTCATTTTATAAAAAAAAATGTGTTACCCTATTTAAACTTGACAGCATTTCTAGTAACTTGCAGGAAGTAACCAGCAAGTATCTATGTGTTTTAAAATATTTTCACACCACTCTATATCTCAATACAAAATGAATGTAAATATTCTATTATTTTGGTTATATCACCCATAAACCCATGTAACTAAGCATATATAAACTACAATAAATTGCAATAGGCTAGAAGAAAAGAAATGGGAGTGGAGGGAGTCCACCTTCAACCCTTCAAGTGTGGACCCCTCTTGGGAAGTTTCATATATCATGTGCATCCCATGAAAGCCTGACAAAAGGATGAAAAGAAGGCCTAGAGTCAGTAGTCCATGTATTCAATATTAAAAGGTTAGTGTCTTTCTATATTTCAGATTTTTGAAATGGATATATATAGAAGTTGAAATATTTTCTTCCTAAAGCCCAGTGGATTGTTTTCCACACTTCCTGGAATACACAGACTCCACTCAGGAGATCACCTCCTGTAGAATAGGAATTTTACCACAATTCTTTATTTTTCAAATCCATTGAACTCTTTTATCTATGAACTATCTTCTGAAACAAGCAAACCTGATCAGTATTACTTGAGTTACCAAATGACTTTGGTTCTCAAACATCATGTGGTCCACGTGTATAATAATTCCATATTTATTTACATAAATCCAGTGTCTCAAAATAAAATAGAAATGGCCTCCTTTTTCTTATATTCATATTTTCTGATAATTTGGAAGGATTCTTTTCAATATTCCTTGAAATTATTGTTTAATATTGCCAATTTTTATCTTAAAATGAATTGTGATCACATCTATTGGCTTGTTATGATTTTCACAAGTTGCCTAAAGACTAGGCAGTTGAATAAGCATGATAGGTTATACTCTGTTTTCAAGAATTTTCAGAGATCAATAATCCATCCATTAATTTGTAAAGTAGAATAAAAACAATAGTTATTTTAAATTTTAAATAAATGTTAACACTTTTGTGTATTTATATGAGAAATAACTACTAACATGGAAATAGTTGTGATTTTTATTTCATAATAATAAGTTTATGAGACTTCCTTAGTCTTCAAATAATTTCAATAATAAAGAATACAATAATAATTTTATTTCTGAAATTCAGCTAAATACAACTCTACTTTCATAAAAGCAGGCACTCCTATCTTACAATTTCTTTCTCTCCACAGAGTATGTTTTTCAGCCTGGAAATGCGCAATGGTTACCTACACGTGTTCTATGACTTTGGATTCAGCAATGGTCCTGTGCATCTTGAAGACACATTGAAGAAAGCTCAAATTAATGATGCAAAATACCATGAGGTAGGAATCATCCTAGTTTGGGTGGTTTTGTTTTTGTTTTTGTCTTTCATATTTAGATCTCTTGACCTAATCAGGTGGTCAAATGAGATAGGTGAGATAGTAATTAAACAACACTTTCATATCTAAAGAACAACTGAAGAGCCCTCCTCTAATCAACCCCAGGAAAACATTTGCTTTAAAAAAATGATGTCTTTGTCATACATATTGACATTTCTAACAGAAAGAGTCACTGAAAGATTCCTTAGAAGTGCTTCATTAACCAAAAAGCTCCTGTTAATTTTAAATATCTCGATTACAATGGTACTCCTAGAGTACCAATGATACTCCTAGAGTATCCTTCCATACACGTGTTGAACATGCCAGAGTGTAGATATACAGCCTTTTTATTTATCCCTTGAGCCCAACTAAATGTAACAAGAGTAGATATAAGTAAATGTAGAATTTTCTTTTAAGCCATTTATCCAGAATTTAGAAAATACTAACAGTTTGCCTCATAAAGAAAACTCACAAAGAATGCCTTCTAGTCATGAAACAGATTACAATCTACTGAAAATCTATTTTGTCCATTTTCATTAACAACCATTAATACTTTAAATATACAATTTAATAAAATATATAAAAACATGTCTTTTACATTGAACCACAATGCAGGGATAGGAGGCTATGTTTTCTGTTCCAGTTCAAAATCCATAGCCTTCATGAGGATGGTTTATAATAGAAGAATTTTTTAGCTATTTCTCTTATGAGCATTTTTGCAGATTCATTAGAGATGCTCATTATGTCACCAAAAAATGACACCTGGTAACATGCAGTCTAGAATCCAGAAGGCACCTGCTTGGGGATACAATAGTGGTTACCAGGGTTCGGAGGATGGGGGAAATAAGTAATTTTGTTTAATGGGTATAACGTTTCAGTTATGCTAGATGGATAAGTTCTAGAGATTTGCTGTACAACATAGTGCCTATAGTTAACAATAATTCAAAATGTATTAAGAGGGTAGATTTCATGTTAAAAGTACATAACACACACACATGAAAAACCAAAAACACAAAGGGACCCAAGAAATCTTTGGAAAGTGTTGGATATGTCTATTACCTTGATCGTGGGGACGGTGTGATGGGTGTTTGCATATGCCTAAACTCATCAAGTTGTATATGTTAAGTATGTGCTGTTCTTTACATATTGATTATATTTCAATGAAGCAGTTAAAATAAGAAGAAGAAAAAGAAGGCACCTGCTTATAGCTCTTTCTCAAATCCCGTCAGAAGGGGCAGGAGAAAACAGTAGGTCTCAAGGCAAAGTAATTCTGGGGCCTACTCCCTCTCCATATAGACATCCTTCCCCAGGAAATGTGAACTTCTCATTGAATAGGTGAGAGTTTTCATGTCTGTAAGAAAGGAAAATGCATTCCCAGTTTTGTGGGTAAACAAGCACGAGAACATGGAGGACCAGCTGTTATAGCCAGAATAATTAAAATATAGAGCAGTCTTCAAAAAGCTGATTATTAAGTAGTTGATCAAGACTTACAGTATATTATTTCTCACAGATCTCAATCATTTACCACAATGATAAGAAAATGATCTTGGTAGTTGACAGACGACATATCAAGAGCATGGATAATGAAAAGATGAAAATACCTTTTTCAGATATATATATTGGAGGAGCTCCCCCAGAAATCTTACAATCCAGGTAATGTTTTCTGTTAAGTAGCTGTTTGTTCCTAGCAATGTACCAGGCTGAGTATTCAACATCCAGGGGAGAGCTAGTAATGGGTTTAAGAACCCCCACTTGCTACTTCTACATATGAGCACAGACACAGGCACACACGTTCACACACTTGCAGACCCTCTGCAGCCAGTCCTCGTGGGTTCTTAGAACACAGTATAATGCAGTTTGTCTCATTGTGTCCAAACAAAGCAGCATTTGTCCCTTTACTTTTGCTTTAGGCTTAAACTTATTTTGAACTCTCCAACAGCATCTGAGGACGCACAAATTTTTAAGATTATTCAAGGAGCTGCAGATTATCTGAAATGGAACATTAGGACATTCCTCTAGCCTTAGATGATTACAGGGTGGTGCAAATCATGCCAAGAATATGGGGTTCCTTACCTAAGTGGATTCGTGGCATTCTGAAGACCTGAGTACCAATCCTAAACTTACCACTTTTGACATAAGAAAAAAACTCACCTCTTTTATTTCATTTTATTTTATTTTGTAAGTTAAACCCTGCAAAAATTGCCTAGAGTTGACTATTTTTGACCTACAATATGTCAATTCCCTATGATTCAACCTAATCTCACCAAATTGTTATAGAGATAAAATGGAATAATGTAAGTTAAAGGATTCTTGAAAACTATAAAAAGTAAACAAATTGGCTTGGCTCAGAACAAAACTCTTACATAGGTGAAGATTAGACATTATTGTGTGCTTATCAAAGAAAATATGAGAATATGAATGAGTATAAAGTCATTACAAATGACTATAAACAAACACAAATTCCATAGACTTCATAAGCAGGGTGACATCATCATCATTGTCATGACTATATCAATGAAGACTGACTTTTCTTTTCCAGGACTCTAAGAGCACACCTTCCCCTAGATATCAACTTCAGAGGATGTATGAAGGGTTTCCAGTTCCAAAAGAAAGATTTCAATTTACTGGAACAAACAGAAACCCTAGGAGTTGGTTATGGATGTCCAGAAGACTCTCTTGTAAGAAGCAGTCAAAAGCTATTAAATATACAGACACAAAACTTACCACTTTCCAAAGCTGGAGAAGCTCTTTTCTGTTTCCTTGTGATCCTAGGTAGACCTTGGGTTCCTTTCTGCTACCAGCAGAAAGAAGAATCACTAAACTAGAAGGGCTTGTGGGGCTCCTCTGTGACTTGTTCATTTGCTTCGGTGGGTCATCCGAAACCCTTTAGAAAGGCTGCATGACTGTCATTGATCACTCAGGCTTTGGGAAGGGCAGAAACTGAAACTCTGTTCAAGGAGCTTATGGTTTATGCCTAAATTCCAGCATAAACCAGAAGTCGAAACATAAACTGTTTACATGGAAACTAACAGACAAGACCCTCCATATGTGAAAAGTTGCCATGTTAAGCATTTGGTAATTATCAAAAACACTTTATTCACTTTTTTTGGCACGCAGATATCTCGCAGAGCATACTTCAACGGGCAGAGTTTCATTGCTTCAACTCAGAAAATATCTTTCTTTGATGGCTTTGAAGGAGGTTTTAATTTCCGAACATTACAGCCAAATGGGTTACTATTCTATTATGCTTCAGGGGTAAGTATTTGTTTTTCCCTGATGAAACTTCTTTGTGATAGTTTTTAGTCATGTTAAAAGCAATTTTCTATTCAGATTAATTTTGACTGACATGTACATACACAGAATGCCTCATTTCAGATACTTTATAAAATATTATATATATTATACACAGGAAGTTCTGGACCTAGAATTCACAGACCCCACCCCCCAGGGGTTCATAGACAGAATTCAGGGGGGTCTGTGAATTTGGATGGGAAAAAAATCACATCTTTATTTTGTCTGAGTGAAGCTTATTATTTTCTTTAATTATGAATGTAGGCAACAAACCACAGTATCATTAGCAGCACCTGTGACTTTGTCATTAATAGAAATCACAGATATTTTTTGTTTCATATTACAATTGTCACAAATATCTCAAAATGTCATTGCTACTTCTAAATTACAGTAGTTATTAGATCTGCTACTAGATCTTATTACTTAATGCCTTAATAAAAAAGTATACACATATTACTATATCACAGATTTATTGTTTTAGTATTTTGAAAACCATATTTCAATGTAATTGATTTCCTTTGTATTCCTACATATTTTATTTCATTCATTTTATTTTATTTATTTACTTGTTTATTTATTTGTATATATTCACGGGGTACATGATCAGTTTTGCTACATTAATATATTGCGCTGTGGTGAAGCCAGGGCCTTCAGTGCATCCATCACTGGAGCAACACACATTGTACCCACCAAGCAACCTCCCGTGACCCACCCTCCTCCTACCCCTCTACCCCTCTGAGTCTCCATTGTCCATCATTTCACACTCTGCTTCCATGTGCACACATTATTTGGCTCCCACTTATAAGCGAGAACATTTGGTATTTGTCTTTCTGTATATGAATTGTTTCATTTAAGATAATGGTCTCTAGTTCCATCCATGTTACTGCAAAATACATAATTCCATTCTTGTTTATGGCTGAAATAGTATTCCATTGGTATATATACCATATTTTCTTCATTCAGTCTTCTGTTGAGGGACACTTAGGTTGATTCCATACCTTTGCTAATGTGAATAGTACTGTTTTAATCATATGAGTGCACGTGTCTTTTTGATATAATGATTCCTTTATATATTTTGTTTCATGCATTTTAAAACATTATTTTATGAAGGGGTCCATATGTATCACCAAAATGCCAAAGGTATTTCTGGCACTAAAAACATTAAGAACCCCTGTTTGTATGTTATGAACAAACACATTTGTGATTTGATTTATAAAAGAGTAAACAGAACATACATACTTCTCTGTTCTTGGATATGCTATAGAACACTTGAGCTCAGCCCATAAAAATATCTTATTTCAAAAATGAAATAAGCTCTGTAGAGTATTGGTAACCCTAAGATCCACTGATGGATCTCTGAAAATGTCACACTAATGTATACACTGATGGGCCAGGTCATAATATAATTTCTGAAATCAGCTTTCACTTTTCATACATATGACCTGTATCTGTCACATTTATATCCGATTTAATTTAAATCAGTAGCATCTTTGAGAACTCACCCAAAACATTTGTAGGAACTCTGCCCCTAAACCTGCCTCAGATTACCCTGGTTAGTTAAATAACACTTTTTGTCCACAAAACATAGTCTATTTTGAGGGCAGTCTTTAGAGGTTTGTGCCCATATAAGGAAAGAGAAGTAAGATTAACATTTGCCAACATTTTAAGACAAGCAATAAGCAAATTTGGAAAAAGAATTAACTTCTGTTTACTAAAAATTTTTTTCTGTCTCTGTAAATGAAAAGTGAAACATTTAAAAAGCCAAACTCTCAAATTAACTATTGCCTAGTCATCTAGCTACATCCCCAAGTAGATCCAAATATTGTCTTTTCAACAAGGATCAGGAGTAAGATTGAAAGTAAGAAGGTAACTGAGACTGGGATGACAACTCTCAGCATAACAAAGTCACCAGAAATGCTCAGTTCAAAATATGAAAGATTCATTTTTGCATGGAAACATGTCTAATTTTATATGCAATACCAATACAAACAATAGGGTATTTTTTTGTTTGGTTATTCATGGAAATTATTTTACAAGCAGATTTCCTGCACACTGTGTGTTCCTTTAAGCATTACCATTAAGTGAATGTTGAAAACGTATGGATCCCTGTATTCCCTACTTAAAGGCCTGTGTTTGCATTTCAGTCAGACGTGTTCTCCATTTCACTGGATAATGGTACGGTCGTCATGGATGTAAAGGGAGCCAAAGTTCAGTCGGCAGATAAGCAGTACAATGATGGGCTGTCCCACTTCATCATTACCTCTGTCTCACCCGTGAGGTACAGCTCCTCTCTTATATTCTTTCCAGAATGTCTATTTGTAGGACATGATTTTGGTAATGCCACTATGAATGATAGGCTATCCTATTGCTTTTCTAGTCTTAAAACAAAAGTGCTGGAAGGAACAACTTATCTTCCTTTAAAAAACTGCTATTAATTTCCAAGATATGTCAAATAAATCAATACAAATTACTTAAAAGAAATATAAAGGTTATAATCTCCTTGAGAGAAGTGCCCATGCATACTGCATACTAAATGGAGTGCACTGTTTTGCACATAGAAGGAGTTTGGAAAACACTGGTCTTGTTTAGACATTGAATTAAACAATTGAGGATACTACATTTATGGCCACATTTTAAAAACTCTGACTTTATCTTTAAAATACATAATACTTCATTTTTTTCATAATAACAAAACTTTCTGGGATAAGAAATCAACCTCTGTTGTAGATTGCTGCTATTCCATGTCCACTTTTGTGGAGCCTGCCCATCAAAAGGAATCATTAGTAGGCTTTTTTTAGACTCTATTTCCAATCACGATCAAAACCATACAATGTGCTGTGCAGTGAAAATGGTCTTTCTCAAATGTGACTAAATGATCACCATGAGGTATGTTCTGTTCTATCCACAAAAACAAGTAATGCTGATGACTAGTCATCCAAGCTTCTTGCTTTATGGGTTTAAATTCCAGTCTTAGTTTGGAGAGTCTTTTTGCATATAGAAATATTCAACCATTTTATCCTGAGCCTCCTGAAGAGTTTGGCAACTCGTTGTCTTCTTGTTAACTTGATTTCCATGCCATGAAATGCCATTTCCATGCCATGAGAAAACCTGCTTATGCAACTTAGAGTGGAACTCAGGTAAAATGGTAGCTGTGTGGTGTGTAAAGAACCTTTTTCTTTTGCAGATATGAACTGATAGTAGATAAAAGCAGACATGGGACTAAGAACCCTGCAAAAGGTAAAGCAGAACAGATGCAAGCAGGTGAAAAGAAGTTTTACTTCGGTGGCTCACCCATCAGTACCCAGTATGCTAATTTCACTGGCTGTATAAGTAATGCCTACTTTACCAGGTACAATATTTTTATTATTAATTAATCTATATGATTGATAAAGAACAAGACAATAGTTAAAATATTTACATTATTAAAACTAAAAACTATGAAATTTATCTGAGACACGGGGGACAGTAATTAAAAGCTTGTGTGTGTTTGAGCAATTGTCATACTTGGATTTGTGTGTAGATTTTTTGCCTCTTAATTTCTGTATGATCTTGGCTAAGCAAGCCTTCATTCTTCACCTGCAAAATGCAGATAATAATAACGCCTGCTTGGTAGGTTTGTTATAGGGATGCTTTAAATATTAGATGCAATTATTTCTGTGCTTATCATCAATGGTATAGTAGAAAGTAACATACTGCAATTCTTGTTAGAAGTTTAAGAATGTTGTCTTAATTTAATAGGTGACTTTAAACAAAGCCATTAATCTAGGGCCTTAACAAAGACAATAAAGACTCCTTGAGTACAAGAACAAGCAACAAGGAATTTAATTGAAAAACACAGAGGCAGTCCCAAACATCCAGAATGTGGTGAGGAAAAAAATGTTCATCAGTGAGGCTGTGTGGGTCAGACACATAGTTATTAATTAATTGATTGAATGATAATTTAAAGTGTTCTGGTTAAGATAGAAGTTGATAGGTAAAGACACACACACACAAATTTTGAATTGCCAAAGTTCTTTGACTTCCATAGTTTTCATCATGCAATTCTGAACGATATTTTTAAAGTTTGTTTTTTTCCTCTTTTACAAACACAGGCTGAATAGAGATGTGGAGGTCGAAGATTTCCAGCGGTATTCTGAAAAGGTCCACACTTCTCTTTATGAGTGTCCCATTGAGTCTTCACCATTGTTTCTCCTTCACAAAAAAGGAAAAAATTTCTCAAAGCCTAAAACAAGTCAGAATAAAAAGGTAAAAGATAATGCTGTTCCCACTTTCCAATTGCCCTCATATTCCATGTACACAACTCTAGACACTGCTGCTTTGTAGAATTTACTCTAGTTTGTAACTGCATGCATATGAAAGATGGGATTCTTGTAGTACCAAATATTCCACTTTACCCGCTTTATTTCATTAATTCTTTTCTTTTCTTTTTTTTTTTTTTTTTGAGACAGAGTCTCACTTTGTTGCCCAGGCTAGAGTGAGTGCCGTGGCATCAGCCTGGCTCACAGCAACCTCAATCTCCGGGGCTCAGCGATCCTACTGCCTCAGCCTCCCGAGTAGCTGGGACTACAGGCATGCGCCACCATGCCCGGCTAATTTTTTGTATATATATTTTTAGTTGGTCAATTAATTTATTTCTATTTTTGGTAGAGACGGGGTCTCGCTCAGGCTGGTTTCAAACTCCTGACCTTGAGCAATCCGCCCGCCTTGGCCTCCCAAAGTGCTAGGATTACAGGCGTGAGCCACCACGCCCGGCCTATTAATTCTTTTCTTATTGCAGAAACATTTAAAAATTTTTTTAATTTACATGTAATAATTGTACATATTTATGAGATACGGGGTGATATTTCAATACATATATACAATGTGCAATAATCAAATCAAGGTAATTAGCATATCCATCACCTCAAGCATTTATCATTTCTTTGTATTGGGAACATTCAAAATCCTACTGTCTAGCTATTTGAAAATAAATAGATAAATAACAATAAATTATCATTAACTACAGTCATCCTGCAATGCTATGGAGCATTAGAACTTACTTCTATTTAGCTATAACTTTGTATCTGTTAACCAACCTCTTGCCATCCACCCCTCCCTCCTACTCTTCCTAACCTCTATAAACCACAATTTTATTCTCTAAATCTATAACTCAACTTTGTTAGCTCCCATATGTGAGTGGGAACATGCTGTATTTATCTTTCCCTGCCTGTCTTATTTCACTTAACATAATGCCCTCCAGGCTCATCCAAGTTTGTTGCACCAATTTTTGTTCCCAGTGAAACAGTTTGAATCTGTTTACTCACACCTCATTACAATGGTTAAAATTGCTCTGTGCTAAAAAAAAAAAAAAAAAAAAAAAAAAAAAATTAAAAAAAAAAAAAAAATTGTATGAAGAATACATGTTATTCAGTACTATAATTCTCTAGTATCATTTGCTTTTGTGTAACCATCTTAGGTTTTTGTCACCATCATGTAAGTTATTAAAGTTTCTGTTCTTACCCTGATTTTCTCCTCCTCCTTTTACCTTCACTTCAACTATTAACATGTGCAGTTGATCTGTGACATCAACTAAAGGTACTCCATCATCAAAATCCTGAGTTTTAAAATTCCACTCTCTGACTACTATTCTTTCTCATTCCCAGCATGCATGTTATTTGCCTTCATTATAAATGAAAGCCTTAATCCCTTTCCATACTTTCAGTCTAACCCTCACCACCCCCTTCATGGGCCAAATTTAACAATGTACTCAGGTGTCAGCGCTCCCATCCTGGCCCATGCCACCATCATCTCTCACCTGAATTATTGCAATAACCTCTCACCAGGTCTCCTTGCTTCTACCTATTTCCTGATAGTCTATTCTCAACACAACAGTCAGATCCTTATAAGTCCTATCATGTCACCCTTCTCAAAGTTGCCCCCACGGCACTCAGAGTAAAAACCCAAGTCACTACAATTTGTAAGAAGCCCTATGTGATCCATCCCCCTTTTCCTGTCTGAGTTCATCTTCTCCCACTTGGCCCACCCCACTCACTCTTCTCCCACACCGACCTCCTGACTTTCCTAGGACAGGTCACCTGCACTCCTACATTAGGCTCTTTATTTGAGCTCTGCTTCTACCTGGACCACTCTTCCCCCAATTACCTGCACAGGCAACTTCTTCTGCTTCTAGGACTGCTCACCTCTCATCTGCTCAATGATACTTGCTTACCTTGACCCCCTATTTAACACCACAGTCTACCTCCCATGAGTACCACTGATCCCTTTTGCCTTTTTCTATTTGTTATTTTTCCATAGAACTTACCACATTTTAATTTATTATTATGCTTTATTATGTTTATTATTTATTGTCTGTCTCCTCTGCTAGAATGCAAGTTCGTTTGCTTTGTTCACTGATGTATCTTAAGCATCTAAAACAATGCACAAATATGTGTTTGATAAATATTTAGCTATCTGCACCATAGGGTAATAAAGATTAAATGAGTTAATGCATGAAATGCACTTGGCACAGTTCAAGGCTTATAGTAAATAAATAGCCAGAGAATATTAGTTGTTATATCTCTCTAAAGCTTTGTGAATGTTTCTGGAGGATCTATTCCTAAAAGTAGAATTTCTTGGCTTAAGGGAATGTGCATTTTCTATATTAAGGCAATACCAATTTACACTCCCACAAACATCATTTGAAAGAATCTATTGTCCCACACAATTGCCAACACTAAATATAATGAAATATCTAGAATTTTATCAATCTAATGGACAAATATGGTACCTCCCTGAGGATTTGGTTTGCATTTCTCTGAATGCTAATGAGATTGACTCTTTTCTGGGGAAGAACTGGTTGCCTTCCTAGGCTGGCTTCTGGACTGTCAGCAAGAGGACATGTCTTTACCAGCTTCCCTCTGATCATTATGTGTTGGGTACCTCCCCATATATTTGAGCATAGGTGGACTACTATTTTAAATCTCCATGAAACTTCTCCTTTATTCACACAATTTCTTAATTAGTGTTAATAAAAAAATTTTGTTCATATGTAATCAAAACTTAGCAAGCTTTCAGGATCCTTTCCAGAATTTGACATAGAAGACTAAATGATTCAGGCAGAGAGATAATTTCATTGATTTTTATAAAGGATTTTGCTACAAGATACTATGAAGGACTTTTCAGAGGATGCCAGGAAATTCTAATGGATCTTACTATCACCTTCATACACTGATGCTAAAAGGCTGACCCTGAGAATATTTTAGCTGGCACTTGAACACTGGTCATTGTCATAGGCAGCAGGTTAACAACAGAGATTTATGAGGAGATCAGCCTTCTAAAGCCAACACAATTTGCTTTAAATGAACGTAGTTTTCTAAATGAAGCTGTCTATGAAATGTACTTTTCTAACATTGTTTCAAGATTACAATCAACAGCCCTACTAACACAAATTTTTCAACATTACACAACCTTTTCCATATTATAGAAAACCTCTTAACATTTGTAAATAGTCTTAAACAGAAATTCAACTTTGTAATAACATGATACAGAATCATTATAGATTTCACTTATATTTTATGGTAACTAGAATGTCATTGTTTGCTAATCTTATATTTACCACTTCTTTCAATAGCTTCATAAATAGCTACCAAGAAAAACTTGTGGCCTCTGATTTAAATTTTTATCAATGCTGCACCAAAGCAATTAGTATTGTAATAATTTATTTTCACAATCACCTCCTAGTATTCCACTTTATGCATTTGTTATAATTCATTTAATCATTAATAGACTTTGTTTCCGGTTTTCTCCTTTAATGGATGAAGATCCTTGTGCATAAATCTTTGAGTAAATTGCTGAATAAATCTTTAGGATGGATTCTTAGAATTACTGGATCAAGGCAAATTACTTTCCAAAAGTGTAACATTGATTTATATTCCCCAGAGGTATTTGAGAATGCCTGTCTTACCACCTATATTCCAGCCTTAAGCATTTTCATAATTTTTATGTTTCAAATTCAGTTGAGAAAGTAGTTTCTCATTAGGTGTTTAATATAATAATGAACATTTTATGTATGGTAATAGACATCATTCTTGGATATCTGACCAACCACTCCCTTCTCTAAGAACTGATTCTCTACCCACCAGGCAGACCCTCTTTTAGACATACAAGCTCACTTCCCTGGATATAGATCATTGGGCCAGAGTAGATCACATGAGTTAAGCTGGGCTGTCAGATTCTCTTCCTTGGAAACATAGAACTCAGAGAGACTAACCCAAGGTGGTCACTGAATAGAAAAGATGTAAACCTAAGAACTCTATGTTAATCATGCAAAGAAAGAAAAAAAAACAAAAACAAAAAACCCTGCTTTATAGAAAGAGGGAAAAGCAGAAAGCTGTCCTGCAAAAAAGGAAAAATGAAAGTAGACACTGAGAATCAAAGGTGAGATACTAGAAACCTCCAGAAAGGGAGTGCCCTGATTCACTCTAGCTTTTCAATTCCTGATTCTGGGCCCTGTGGGACCCCATTGTACTATCTTCTCTTGGATTATATAAAATAGCCCTCTATACCCTTATAACACATTATTGTCTTTTTCTTCAGTAGCTCAACTAGCTTGGCTATTATCTGACAAAGGAGTCTTGCTAAACTGAAATCGGTACCACCAGTGAAATTAATAGGCACTCAGAGAAAAACATGACACTGGTGAAGTGAAAGTCTAGTGGGGTTCAGTGAGAATCCCCATGCACATACCCATTTTAGGATATTAAGCTGAGTCTCTGTGTTGGATGATAGTACTCGAGTTATAACTTGTCTTGTTTATCATTATAATTAATATTATAATTATATTATATATTATAATTAATATTATATTATATTGATTATGTTATAATCAATATAATCCTCTGTGCATATATCCACAGAGGATTTAGAATATTTGGTTGCCATATATGAAAATACCAGAGTTTATTAATTTTTGCAGCAGACGAGAGATAGCCTAGTTCATATCTTATGCATTGAACCACAGTAAGGCAGGGCTGGTAAATTGAGAATGTTCTGTTTCTAATAACCCCATGCTTTGCTAAGCCTCTTCAGCTAAGTGGATACACCAGTTAAGAAAGAGTGAGATCCTTGCCATCGAAATGGAGAGAACAGGGAGCAGCCAGAGTTTGGGAAAGTCCCCAATCTCCACCCCATCCCACACTCTTGCCCCCACCCTCCAGGCAAAGGATTTCCAGCTGGGCCCCTCACTGACACAAAGATGATCATATCTCCCAGTATAAGGCATGTTACTCTAAGGATTGACACACAGCATGGGTTTGGGGAAATTTCTTAAAACATATTAGAGGAAAAGAATCTCCCTACAACCCCACTCCAGCCCATTCTGCCCACCCATGGCTTGAAGCTATGGCCATTATTTGCACCTGGACCTGGTGCAAATTATGATTATGAGCACCTGGACCAAAAATTATTGGTAACTGGGTATATTTCCTCCATTCAAGAGAGAAACATGGCTTCTCTAGCAGTGATTCAGGCTCTGAGCCCTGAGGACTATGTAAGGAGAAGAGGGAATGGTGGAACCAGGTGTGCTTTCCTTTGGGGATGTGTGAAGCTATGAGCTCCCATCTCTTTTTCTCCAATCTAACTACCACTGAGAGACTCCAAGGCCAGAACCTGACTATAAGAGCTGCTGCCCCCCCCAAAAAAAGCAGGAAACTGGCACAGCTGGTCTGCCCTTTAATTAATTAACCTGCCTTCTACCCACTACATTTGGATTTTGAGAGTAATTCTGGGATTTGGCTGAAAGGCTAACTTTTTGGAGGTCTTGTCTTTTGCCCATGCAGGATTAAGGGTTTTATTGCCAGTCTGTTCCAATATGCATTATATATTCCAGAAATTTCACACTGCTTCTTTCTGCTAGTAGAAACTCTTCTAGATTTCCAGGACTGCTGTGGGTTATTTTTATGTGTATAGTTCTTCTGACATTTCAGTGGGATTGAGGGAGAGAGTAAAATAAATGTGTGTGTTCATTCAAGAATCCTGAATCAGAACTTGCCTTTTCTTATCTAATCCTGGCTCTCGCTGTGCTCTCCTTTCCTCCCTGCTGCCATTCATTTTCTCTCCTATCAGCCCTTCCTTTGTTCCTATCTTCTTCAGTGGTTCACAGCAGGCTACTCCCTGCTTTTAAAACACGTGTGGCTCCTCATCACCTAAAACACAAAACTCTAGCAAGTCAGCTAAAGTCCTTTCTAACTGGCACCAACCTGTTTTCCAATTTGCTATTTATATACCTGTTTCTCCAAATTGGTTTTCTGTTCCTTAAAAAACAGGAATCATTTCTCACTCACTTTTCTATTCCCCACCATGCACCACCCACGGAAAGCATGTAGAAACATTGAATTCTTCCCCTCCACTTCTACCCATTTGATACTCAAACATTCGATATTCAAAGTTTGAATAAATAACTAAATGCTTGGATTTATTTGCACTTACTTTTATTTTGCTTCAGAAATTAAAACTTAATAATCATTAAATATTAGGCTATACTTTCACAACTCTAAATATTAACAGAGTATAATTTTAAGAGCATGATATAATGTTTAAAAATTGTTCTCTATCCTGTCACATAAAATTTTGCTACATATCCTATCACCAAAAATATTTTTAAGTATTCTAAAGATGTTGCTAAGTATGTTAACTTTTTATACCACGTGTATAAATAATAATCTGTGTATTAAAGTAATATTGATGCCTATATGGGGTTTCATTGATTAATTCTCTCAAGGTTTATCTCCAACTTTTCACTTGTTTAGATGTGTACTTAATTTAGATGATAGAGCAGTTATATTATATAACTTCAGTTTAACTCTACTATCACAGATTAGAATTTTGGTTTTGTTAACATGTTATATCATCATTACCACTGCAGCTATTGCTGTCATTTGCGTATAGTGGTAGAGGGTGGGAATATTAGGCCCTTGCCTAATATTTCATGAATGAAAAATGTACAAATACTATGCAGCTTTTTAATTAATATTAGTGGTGAGGACATTAAAAATTAATTTTTGCTGCTAGTATGTCACCTTTATCCCTTAATTTGATTTATTTCCTGTTTTGACAGGGGGAGAAAAGTAAAGATGCACCTTCATGGGATCCTGTTGGCCTGAAATTCCTGGAGAGGAATACTCCGAGAGACTCTCATTGCCACCTTTCCAACAGCCCTCGGGCAATAGAGCATGCCTATCAATATGGAGGAACAGCCAACAGCCGCCAAGAATTTGAACACTTAAGAGGAGATTTTGGTGAAAAGTAAGTTAACACATTGTACTTCTGGAAAATTAATGACATGACTGGGCTCCATCCTTGTTTGCCACATGCCATCCTTTTTCCTATGATCCTTCCTTTCTGTGCCACCTTAATTCTATTATTTTATCATCAAAATAAATACAAAATAGTACATGATTTATGCTTTCCAATAAATTATATTCTCTGTGACTTTTCCCCTAAATGTAAGGTGCATAAAACAGCATTCTCCCAGGAGTTTGATGTGTTTGCTCAAAAAGAAAAGCTGATCAAGGAAAGGAAGATGACCCATTACCTAACCTTGACCTCACCTGCCCTTCCCATACAAATTGCTTTCAGATTATAAATGGGAATGTATTCTAACTGCTAGAAGGTTAATAAGGAAAGACACTAAAAATACAATTATGATTGTATGTATTATATTGTCCTTCCACCTGTCTCAAACCCCATCACTTCTTCCCAGTATTTCACAAATCTCTAGGTTATTTACAATGGTTAAAGATTTATTTTTATAGTTTTAGCACCCAAATATTTTTACATAGGTTTTGGGGTATTTTTTGGTTTCTTAGAGACAGGGTCACACTCTGTCACCCACACTGGAACTCCTGTGCTCAAACAATCCTCCCACCTCAGCCTCCTGAGCAGCTAGTACTACAAGTGCACACCACTGCATTCAGCTAATTTTTTAATTTTTTATAGAGATGGAAGTCTTGCTATATTGTCCATGCTGGTCTCGAACTCCTGGCCTCAAGTGATCCTCTAACCTTAGCCTCCCAAAGTGCTGGGATTACAGGCATGAGCCACTGCACCTGGCCTAGGTTTACACAACTTTTTCAAACATTCATTAAGTCAGTGCATTCAATAAGAAACCTCTAATGCCTTCTAATTTACTACTTGCCTAATAGGCAGAATCAGTATTTTGTATTCTTCAGGAATAATCTAATCAAGGTTGAAGTTAACCTAATAAATGTATCTTTATCCATAGCCTGGAGCTATATTTCCAGAAAGTTTTGTTTAATTTCTGCACACTCAGGTGGCTACTTTTAACATGTTTTTAATATGTAGTATCCATCAATTAACTTTTACTGGAAGAAAAATTTAATTTGTATTTTAGATAGTACACAAATATTTCTATGCAAATGTGTGTATACAAATATTGTATGCATACTAATTATGCACTAGTATTTTACGCACATGGATAAGCTTCTTTAACATACAGATTTTTACAAAATTGCAATCATATTTTCAAAGCAAGACACTTTGAAATAAGATCTTTAACTGAAACAACACTTCCTTAGATGTGGACTATATTATATCCCTGTTGTATAAGGAAGTAGAGAATTTACATTTTTGAGCTAGCCATGCTTACCCAATATTCATTAAGAATATTAAGGGAATAATTAAAAGTTGATACTGTTTGGGATTAGACAGAATGGATACTCATTCATTCTTCCTTACACCGTATTACTTTGAGAAGTTAGAGATTATCGTTGGTCTCATTTTACATACAGTAAGCTTTTTCTTTTCGTTTACCAGATCTCAGTTTTCCATTCGTCTGAAAACTCGTTCCTCCCATGGGATGATTTTCTATGTCTCTGATCAAGAAGAGAATGACTTCATGACTCTATTTTTGGCTCATGGCCGATTGATTTTCATGTTTAATGTTGGCCACAAGAAACTGAAGATTAGAAGCCAGGAGAAATACAATGATGGATCATGGCATGATGTAAGTTGAAGGCAGAGAATAGCATTATCAGAGAATATCTACCATTGTCAAATGGACTGACACTAATTCTCCACCATTGATCTCTCCATAAATATCCATTATAAAATTCTGCTGCTGTGCACTCAGACATCAATTTCAGAAACTTTTATTAATTCCTTATAAAAATATCAAAACACACCATTTAAAAAGAGATGCAGGCTGAGTGTAATTATTTTAACCAAAGGATCAGTGGCCAACATAAACTAAAGTTTTGTTTCTATTGATTTTTCACTTAACTTTTTTTCACTGACTATAGGTTCTTAATTTTCAACAATTATTACTGAGTGTCTTTTACAGGTTAAGCTGTGGAAGACACAAAGCAAAGAGTAAATCAGGAAGACAGAGTAAATCAGGAAGACAGTATTGAAAGAAATCAGTGGGTAGTAATGGCAATGTAAGATGGATTTACAATTAATTACAAGCTTGAGAGAGGGAGATAACATGTAGGCTGGTCAACTGGAAAGAGCTGCCCAGAGAACTCAGCTAAATATAAGCTATATTCAGAAATTAAGCCTATAGCTTTAAATCATTCTATATAAAGGTCAGAAAACATATGGATCACTTCCTCTAATACCTGAAGTGGTAAATCAAAGGTGAGCAGGAAAAAATACACCTGTGTTTACAAAGCAAAGAGGTGTGGAGACAACTCACAATAAAGCATATGCTGTACAACAAAACAGAATCAAATAAGACATAAAGTTTCTATCATTCTACCAACTGGATTGCCAGAAGCATACTAAACAGAGGAAGAGACAAATTCTTGACCGTCGGAAAAGATACTTTTTAAAATAAACTTTCTGTGGATTTCCCACAGCACTGCAAAAGCAAAGTTGGGAGGAGAAACAACACAGCCTTTTCCCCAGTCTTGATATGTACCTGAGTTTTTCCCTTATCTTTCTCTCTATTCAGGTGATATTTATTCGGGAAAAGAGCAGTGGCCGGCTGATAATAGACGGTCTTCGAGTCCTAGAAGAAAGTCTTCCTCCTACCGGAGCTACCTGGAAAATCAAGGGTCCCATTTATTTGGGAGGTGTGGCTCCGGGAAGGGCTGTGAAAAATGTCCAGGTAAGCCAGGCACAACCAAGTAGAGCCATGGACCTTTAGAGCTGAAAGATCACTTAATCAAGGCTCTCATTTTACAGATTAGGAAACTAGCAAGAGTAAATTTGTAGTTTGGCTGGAGATATCAAAGTATTGTCCTATGGGCTGTCTGCCCGACACATTACAAAATCGGGAGTGATCTCTTGATTCTAAAGTAGATGTGAAATGAAAACAATTTTCAGAGATACAAATTATCATGAAAATTTATGTCTCGAGGGAATCTTATTTGTTCAGCAAGTACCCCTTACTCTTAATGTAAAGAGATAACAAAAAAAGAAAGCAAGTCATTCCATGTTATTGAGTGAAAAAAAGTTGTAGATCATTATGTAAACTACAATCCCATTTTTGTTTCTTACACATACACACACACACACACACACACTTACAATTTGTATATGTGCAAGGAAATGTGGTTACCCTGGGGACAAGTGAGAATATAGTAAGAAACATTATTTTTGTAACTTAATAATTAAAAATATTGCACCTTTCAAAAATATTTAGTAGTAAAAAGAATGAATCAAAGGACTAAGGTTTTTTAACATAAATATATTAATGGATTTGATTTTAGCACGAAGTATTAATAATACATTTCTAAGATCCATTAATATATGTAGACAGAGCAAAAAGTTTAGATTATGATTATATTTTAAATAAGCAGCCACAATTCCATGTCAACCTCTTTAAAAGATTTCTAAACACAGTGTGAAATCAGTTGCCTAAAGTGGACCAAGTTTCATGTTCTGTGATATGATAAATTCTCAACCACAGAGACAGCTAATGAAGCCAGAAATGCAAGCTTTCTGCTGTTTATTTAGCTATAATAGATTTAAGAACTTTGCTAGCCTTCATCAGCATTAAGTAATCTTGGGCACAGCTGTTATTCTTGAAGGAAAACAAACTAGGATCTAATACTCAATTTGAAAACCACAGCTGCACTTGATTTTATCAAATTGTTATGTAAAAATTTAGATAGCTTAATTACTACAGGTTGACATTATCAATTTTTAAAATTCCAGATTCAAAGAACTAGTTAAAAAGCAACTACCTGGAAAAGTATTGATCATTCATATAGCTAAAATAAATAAAATGAGGAATGACTTGGTTTCTCTCAGAACTCAAACCCCCTCATTTTGCTTCCCCATCTGTGTTGAGAAAATGGATTTTAAGATATGTCTTCTTCTCTCAGATTAATTCAGTCTACAGTCTAAGTGGCTGTCTCAGCAATCTCCAGCTCAATGGGGCCTCCATCACCTCTGCTTCTCAGACATTTAGCGTGACCCCTTGTTTTGAAGGTCCGATGGAAACAGGAACCTACTTTTCAACAGAAGGAGGATATGTGGTTCTAGGTAACATGGGTTATGTTAAAAAACATGAATTACGAAATGCTTCTTTCCTGTAGATGATAAAAGGAATATCAGGCCCAGAGTTAAAATTCAAGAATGCCAAACTCAGCCCTAGAAAATGATCTTTCCAGAAGGACCACCCTTCTCCCCTCCTACCACTCCGCACCCTCCCTGTTTGCCCTGACCAGAGCTTCTCCACAGCTGCCAAACTTCTGGATGCAGACCATCTCAGTTCCTCTAGAACTGCCTGTGCTGCTCCTCTAGGTCTTGCCCTGTTCCCTCTTAGCATGAACCACTGTCCCTCTAAAGGAAGTCCCACTTCCTCCCCCTGACCTGCAACACCAGCAAACAACACTATCCTTTATTTCTGGATTTATTTCTGGTTTTATTTCTGGATTTTTATTCTCCTTGACTATTACTCTCTCATTCATTCAACAGCTTTTATGGTGTACCTCCTGTATGGCAGTCCCTATGCCAAATGAATGGAATACAATAGTTCCAAAAATAAATAAAATCCTAGCAGGCTACACACAATCGTCATCCAATCCATTCTGACAGACATTCTATAGAGTAACTATTGAGTGTGAGCAAGGCACCAAAATAGGTGCAGGAATGAGGATAGGAAAAGGGTATAAAACCACACGTTCCCTGCCCTCAAGGCACTTTGGCACTCTGCACATCCCCTAAATAAAGAAATTACAAGGCACCCAAGTATAGTTTTTAAACTACCACCATATCCAATAGAATAACCAGAGGTAATATTTCCTCTCTTTGGCTCATGATTTTACTTTCCTTCTCTGCCCCACGCCCCTTTATTCCTACTAAGACACCTATACTCACATTTCTCAGCCCTTCATTGAATTTCAGTGTTAAGAACACTGCAGGTTTGGAAAGTTTGAAATGCATAACAAACTGCACAATTTATGTGCTACTCCTTGAACATTAACTAATACCAGGAAAAATTAAAAAGTGATTTATAAGGAGACACGTCAAGTGAACATTATTAAGACACCCAGGTTTGCAGTGAGTCTCTTGGAGTGAATACAGCTATTCTAAGTAGGAATTTTCTTGGATCACCTCTATAACAGCTCCTAAATACTTTGCTGCTCTCACTTTCTCTCTTCTCTGAAATGCTCTGCAGCACTGACACCAGTTAGTTTTTTGTTTAAGAATTATTGTAAAATATATGTCTAATCAAGTCATCTCCTTTCATCAATCTTTCTTAACTGGAAAAAAAATAGGGAAGCTGTAATGTGAAATTTAAATGTGGGCAATATTTGGATTCAAATTCATATGTTGGGAATTGATTTGATTAGAACAATCATGAAACTATGGCAGTGACTGCAACATAAAGTCTAACTTCCATGCTTCAGCTTTAGGGCCCATCCCCGTGTGGCTCCCCACTCACCTCCTCCTCCCCTTGCAGGAGCAATCCAGCCGCACTGGCCTTCACAGTGCTCCCTAGGCATTTCCGCCTCCGCACCTGTGTTCAAGCCACTTCCTCTACCGAGATTGCCCTGTCCTCCTCACTTGTGAAATATTGAATGGTGCTGCTATTGGGAATTAATTTATCCTTTCCTGAACTCCCATAACACATAGAGTATTTTTAGTGTGCTGTTCCCAGCCTCAAGCCCCACGACTGTCATATGTTAGTTATCTTAGTACCTCACAGAGCTAACGGTGAGTTTGACATGGAAAAGTCACTTTCTACTAATCTATTGAAAAATGCATCAAACTTTCAAAAACAGATACAAAAATGTATAATTATAAAATCATGCAATAGTTACAAAATCTGTTTTGCTATTCTTGAGAGTTTATAGGATTTCTCTCCACAGATGAGTCTTTCAATATTGGATTGAAGTTTGAAATTGCATTTGAAGTCCGTCCTAGAAGCAGTTCCGGAACCCTTGTCCATGGCCACAGTGTCAACGGGGAGTACCTAAATGTCCACATGAAAAATGGGCAGGTAGCGTTTTAAAAATTTCTTAACAATTTGTCTCATCTAACCTTGGATTCCAGATCTGAAGCAGATTTATTTCACAGAATTGTTTCATCAATCTTTCTTAACTGGAAAAAAAATAGGGAAGCTGTAATGTGAAATTTAAATGTGGGCAATATTTGGATTCAAATTCATATGTTGGGAATTGATTTGATTAGAACAATCATGAAACTATGGCAAAGTTACCCAAAAAAGATCACCAATAAAAACATAAGGAGTTTAAACAAAAGAATTATAAGAGGAAGCAGCAATCATAACCAATTATCAAAATCAACAATCACTAAAACACCTTTCTAAATATCTACATGTTTATCTGATATATGTACATCAGATATATAGATATATAATCTATACATATACACATTATTCTCAATTGCTAAAAATAACAATTTTTGTTATAAACACCACTTTCATCCTAAAATATTACTAAAGAATATTCATGAAGGTATTCAAATAAATATGTAGGAAAAAGCATACTCTAACTTAACATAATAGATATTTATGAGTTCTAGTATGTTCTATTAAACCAAAATATAATAAACCAGATAACAATAAAACTTATCCTTGCTTGGTGCTTACTATGTGTCAGGTACTATTCTAAATGCTTTCTATCTATGATGTAGGTAATACTATCACCCTTATTTTATAAATGAGAAAACTGAAGCAGAGAGTAAGATAAGTAAGAGGCTGGCGGTCTGCCTTCAAGGTCCATGCTTTTCACCAATGCTTTCACTTGCTTTGAATAGCACACTCCATCTTTAGAAATTAAAGGAATTCATTCTATTTATTATTGTCCTTCTCTTCCTATTTTCTCTTGTGTGATTATTTTGTTCTCTCTCTGTGGAGCAGCCCCAGTGTAAACTATAGCCTACCAAAGAGTGACCCCTTGTGTTCACATTGCAAAGCTAATCATGTGTGGGAATTTGTTAAAGTACTGCTTCACTGGTAAATTATTTAAGAAATTTAGTTTTATCACAAGAAGGAAAAACAAAACTAAATTATATAATGTGTCATGTCTTTTGCAGGTCATAGTGAAAGTCAACAATGGCATCAGAGACTTTTCTACCTTAGTTATACCCAAGCAGAGTCTCTGTGATGGCAGATGGCACAGAATTACAGGTGAGAAAAGCTGAGTGTCCTGGGTTTCCTTTACAAAGATGAGCCTGTGGGATGATGCCCTGGCAGAATTTAGACTATAACATACGATAGGTGATGGATGAAAGTCTAAAAGTAGCCAAGAGAAGAGTATCAAGTGTTACTGTACTAAAATACGTGTATTGAACTCACATATAATTTGAAAATATGATGCTGCCAAAATAACACTGGGGAGTTGTTTAAATAATACATAACTTATGCAGCAAACAAGTAGTACAAAAGTATCCAAAACATTCTTTCTTTCAAAGGAAAATGTTACAGTGATTGTTTGGTTAACTGTTGTTAGACAATACTGATGTTTTCAAAGATAATAGGAGAAAGTGTGGAGTTTTATTCTGGAATAAATAAAAGCCATTACTGTGATAAATTAGTCTCTTTTATGTGAAAATTCATCATTCCAGTGCCACTTGTGACCAATCTTTTCCCTGTATTTCAGTTATCAGAGATTCCAATGTGGTTCAGTTAGATGTAGACTCTGAAGTGAACCATGTGGTTGGACCCCTGAATCCAAAACCAGTTGATCACAGGGAGCCTGTGTTTGTTGGAGGTGTTCCAGGTAAATGTTATTTAAAAGGGAAAAGTTTCCAAATCCAAAAAAACAGTAAGTTTTCGTTATTATAGAATTAAAGAATTGAGCCATGTGTTTTCATAATCCACCTAATAATTCAAAAGATTTTATAGACAGTGTCCATTAATGGGAAAAAGTACAACAAAGAGACACATAAGACCTAGACCCCAGCATTCTAACCAGTAGATATGACTCTCCCACCCCTTGCCATATTTGCTCATTTTTTTCTCTCCCCTTTAAGTACAAACCACACACACATTGTGAAACATACACTCTATTTTATCAACAACACAAAGAAAACTCATTTGCTAACCCTGCTTTAGGATGTGAGAACCTTGGGAGATTAAGTTTGCTGATAATTACTCCCTTCCTTCATAGGAAAGAATGCAGTTCTCCCTGTCCACAATCAGTCTGAATTACAAAAACCAGCTGCAGACCATAAGTTCTGTTGTGTCTATGTAGTGACATTCCCTAAGAAAGGTTCCCAGCTGCAACTCTGTAAACATCATCAGTAAGCACGGCTATCATCTGCCAAGATTGGTGGATAATCCAGAACGGTCCAGAACGGTGATAGGACAGTTACAGACACCCCTGTCCCCCAATTGTTTTAAACCTCTGAAGAAAGGATCATGTCCTTATGTTGAATGCATTTGTTTTTATACATTTCACTTACTTAGAAAAACTGAATGCTATAGTTGGGGAGAGATTCTTATCTAATAAGAATTAGATAACCAAGCTTTTCCATCAGGAATTTGGTGGGGATTTTTTTTATTGATATAGCATAGTTGTACATATTTTGGGTGTACATGTAATATTTTGATACTTGTATAAAATGTGTAATGATGAAATCAGGGTAATTGGGATATTCATCACCTCCAACATTTATCTTCTCTTTGTGTTGGGGACATTACAATTCTTCTCTTCTAGTTAATTTGAAATATACAATAAATTACTGTACTATCAAATACTGGAACTTATTCCTTCAATCTAACTGTATTTTTGTGTCCATTAACCAATTTCTCTTCATCATCCCTGCCCCCTTTCCTTCCCAGCCTCTGATAATCACCATTCTCCTAAACACCAGCCCGCTGTACCAATGCAGCTTTTAATTCCATCAAGAATCATGCCAGCAAGCCCAGAACAAAAGCAGTTATAATTTAAGCTGAATGTAATTAATTATATCATTTTGAGCTATTCAAGAATAACTCTAGTAAAATCACATCAGAAACCAGAGCATTAAGAAGGATAACTAAAGAAATGAGGCATAAATAAAAACCCCTATATGCATTGAATTCTCTTGGAATCCTTACCAGTTCTCTTATATCACTCAGAACCCTAGTGACTCATTATTTCTATTGATAAAAAGCTAATGCATAAAATTCGCAGAACTATATACCAAAAAAGTCAACTTTAGTGTACAGTAATTTTAAAATCAAAATTAAAAGTTAAAGAAATTCTTAAGTTACTGTAGCCTACACGTGAGTTGAACTATTCATTGCTATACTGAAAATCCTGCATTATTCTCTATATAGTCAAGCCGTCAACCTGGGTAACATTCTCTTAAAATAATGCATTGATTTTATTACTCAAATCTTTAGGATTCAAGGGCACTTTACTGTCACTAGCTATAATTACTTGTGTGGTAAATTATGCAGACCATAATTGCTATATGAATTATGTCCTCCAGATAATTTTTCCCATGAACCAAAGGGGGACAAACTTGGGCAGAATCAAAACCTATGTTCTAAATGTAGTCTCCAAAATAAGCAGAAACATTAGATGTTTCTACCCCTTATAATCTTTCCTGATCACTCATTTTTTATTCTGATGATGAAGTACACTGAACAGGCTTGAGGAATATATATTGTCATACTAATCTTAAAACAATAAAGGAAATTGATCTCTCAGGCCCCTTCCAAATCTAAAATTTTATGATTATCATTCTAAATGTGAAATGCTATTTCCATGACTTATTTCCAGTACATAGCTTCTGCGTATTCTTACTCTACATTGCTTAGGAAACTTATTATAGCTGCTTGCCGATGTTTAATTTGCTGTCCTGTTTTATGTTCTTTCTTGAGTTACTGATTTCTAAGTATTTTCCATCCTTTATCTGCTACTGCTCACACAGCTATTTATACATAATAATAAGCTTTGACTAAATGGATTTTAATTTTATATTTCTAAGCTCTCTAAATTGTTTTAAATTATATAGCTTCTATCATCCCAACACATTTAATTGTGACTGTACAATTAATAAGCAGAAGGCTGTTTCTAGATCTCTAATTAAGATAAGGGGAGAAAGTTCCCCTGGCATACCACCGGGCACCTGTGTTCACATGAAGATTAAGCTAGTTATCATTACCCTATTTATAGTTCTTAAACCCTGAGCTCAGAAAAATTAAATTCTAGTTTATTTGAATTCATTATTTTCTCATTATCTTTTGTGAGCTTGGCAAAAATGTGGAGGTTTAATGGTGAAAGATAATGAATTAAACAAAAACATTAACCAAGTCCAAAAATAGTGTGGAAGCTAAAATTTCTTTCTCCCTTCTTAGCAAAACACACACTATAACTGAGGCCCAGGTGAAATCAACTTTAAAAATCATACGTAGATCATGGAAATTCACTGCTGAAGCTTTCCATTTAAGTGGTAAATTTCAGCCTTGGAAGACAGCTTCAATACCCAGAAATGTGGTCATGGAAAACATGACAAAACATTACAATTACCACATGTTCATATTACTTCAAAAGCAAATAATGTTCCTGAGAAATGAGTCAATTACAACTATATTCCATTTTTGACATGTAAATCATCTTGATGCGAACAATTATTATATATATTTTTACCCGGAAGTAATATTTGGGCTTGGAATGTCTCAATTGCAATCTTTGTTCTTACTTCTTTCTCTTTTCAGAGTCTCTACTGACACCACGCTTGGCCCCCAGCAAACCCTTCACAGGCTGCATCCGCCACTTTGTGATTGATGGGCGCCCAGTGAGCTTCAGTAAAGCAGCCCTGGTCAGCGGTGCAGTAAGCATCAACTCCTGTCCAGCAGCCTGACACAACAGAACACAGCTGCCCAAGTACAAAGTTCTTTAGAGCACTGAAATAAACACAAAGCCAGCCAGAAGGAATAGCAGCTCTTCCTTCTGATGGAAGCGTTCATCTAGTTGAACAGTCATCAAGGATTGGATACTTCTTATTTCTCATTTGGATTCTTACCTTGGATCCAAAATGGACAATAATCGAAGGAGTGGTAAACTTACTTGTATTGAGAGCGCACACTTCCTACTGGTGAAATTACTGTTCCTGTTTCTAATAAAATAGAAGGGATTCTAAATAAACACTGGCACACATTTTTAAAGTACGGTTAGATTCTCAGATTCATCTTTCTTTCAGGGAAGATAATGTTCAATATATACCAAAATATCTTTGTCCTGAGCTACCTTTATCTTGAAAAGATTTACTAATTTACATATAATACAAAATTAGGTGATAGATTTGCTTTTAGCACTTTTGTTTGGTATATCAGTGTAACAAGAATATTTTAGTTCTATAGCACAATTATTGAGGTTTAAGAAAGTAAATTTCTAACAGTTTACTAGCAAAATGGTAGTATAAACAACCGACTTTTTATCCTATCATATCTCCTTAAAAGAAAAATAATTGTACATGAAGGGAGGCTCCTGTAGGATATTACTGTTGCTATATTGTGGGTTTTACAGGAATCATCAAGAACATCACAGAAAAGAGTAGGACAAAAATCATAAAATTCAATTTGATAGCAAAAAAGTCTTTTTATTAAAAGTTTGTTCCCCACATATCTGCAACACAACTAGTCTTATTTCTAAAAGTTTATTATTTTTTCCAAGTAGCTATATTAATAGTATAGAATATTGAAATACCGAAACTGAAATAAAAGAATTATACATGAAAAGGTTATCAACTCAGAAGGTAGAATAAAAGAAAATAAGCCCTGGTATCAGCAGGGTTGAAGATACACAAAACAACTTTTGAGGGGAGGGGATATAAAATATTTTGAGGAATTACCAAAGGGAATAAAATAATCTCTTACCCTGAAAGGATATGCACACCTCCCTATATTCTCCTGTTGCCCTTCTGTGTGAGGTACACAGATAACGGTAATATTGACAATATCAATGAAAATAGCTAATTCAGTTCATAGAAGACTTACAAAGTACCAGCCACCATGATAAACCAAAGTTGATTATTATTCATCACATTAATCCTGTGAGGTAACATTTACAGCTCAGGTAACTTGCCTGCTATCATTCAGCCAGACCGAGAAATCAGAATTCCAAACAAGACCGCCTGCCTCCAGGGCAGCACGACTGTGCCCTAGCTTCCTTGCCTTTGAAGACTGTCTGCCCTCAGGCCAACCAGAGCCAGAGAGGTACCGTAAAGGAGTGATTTTCCATTGAGAAAACCAAGAGGGCATTTGCTGTGGCTCCTCTAAAAGGCCAGCAGGTAATCAGCTCAGCCAATGGTCAACATAAAAGAACACCCTGAATTAGCAAAAAAATAACACTTGACATTTCCTATTCTGTAGACCTAGGATGGTACATCGACTTGCCCTTTGTCCAGTAATAGCCACCTCAGTTCAAAGCCTAGAATTTATAGGGAGGTATCTCAGAAGACACTGCAACATATTTCTTCTCTGACGTCATTTCCTTGTATTTAATACAACAGCACAGGGGTCAAAAAGGTCTTTCCTGTTTTCCTAAGTTGGTCCTTACAGCCTATAGTTGGGACTATAAAATAGTAAATACACCACAGTTTAACTTTACCAAACTTTGAGGTGTGAAGTCAATCTCTTCTCCTTTAGGACTGGCTGAGAGAAGCCATTTCAGCATAACTGGCAGTGCAACACCACTATGCCCCCAACACCACACACACATATGCACATACACAAAGAGAGAGAGAGTCTACATAAAGAGTCCAGAAAGGCAACTAAACTAGCCACTGTCCAGAATGTAAGTTGCATGAATTTCTGTCTGTGTTCTGGTGTGTTATAAGAGCCTAGACCAGTGCCTGGCATGTAGGTATGTGCTCAATAAATTTGAATTGAGTGGATCTAAGGGAAGCTGAGTTTCCATAAAGGTTATCCCTTTACCTCACCTCCCAAGGCAATCACTTGTGAAGTTCCTGGAAGTCTGAGAAAAGGAAAAATTGATAGTTACTCCTCTGTTTGGGTTCCACTGAGCACCGGAGATCTCTAACTTGCGTGAGGGTGTTGGAAGAAGACTGGGGGAATGATGGCACAGCCTGTCAGAGACAACAAGCACTCCCTCACATCTTTGGTAACCTTTCAAATCCTGAAAAGTAGGGGAAAATGTTGGCTATTGTGAATAAGACCACTCAGTTTATAAACTTCACAGCACCAGAAGACACCATTCCCAGAGGAGACTGCTAGAGAACAGGCAGAGGATAGATGAGACCGAGAGATTAAAGCCTGGGACAAAAAGGCAAAAACATAAGACAAAGGTAGCATGACACTAGCAGCCAGAATAAAAACAACTGCATCTCTTAAGGAACTCCAAAAAAAGTGATGGTGGTTGTTCAGGGTTGAGTCCCTCACCAGCCCAGCCAGACGATGGTGAGTTTACCAGCAGTGAGTTAAATCATCAGTCTCAACAGACCATGTTTTCAAATGATCATGAGCTGATATAAACCTGGAGGAAGGTTATGAAAGCATGACGCCGCAGGGTTGCCCTGAGACCTATTAATTATATTCCCTTACAGAAAGCTTATACCTAGGCATGTAAGAAATGTGGGAAGGCACTGATTCAAGGTAGAGGCCTTAGAAGACTAAAGAATTCATACTACTGAACTGTTCATCCTTTTAATGTCTTTAGATCTGTGATAATGTTTCCACTATCATTCCTGGTATCAGTGTGTCTTCTGATTTTCCTGATAATTCTGCCTAGAGGTTTATCAATTTTATTGGTCTTTCTGAAGAACCAGCTTTTGGTTCCATTGATTTTCTCTATTATTTATCTGCCCTTAATTACACTGATTTCTGTTCTTATCTTTATTGTTTTTCTTTCTGCTTATTTTGGATTTAGTTTGCTTATCTTTTCTTAAGGTGGAAGCTTCTATCACTAATTTGAGACCTTTCTGTACCCCATGCCTTTTGGTATGTTGTGTTTTCATTTTCATTCTGTTCAAAATAATTTCTAATTTCTCTAGTCATTTCTTCTTTTATTCATGGGTTACTTAGTTGTATCATTTGATAGTCTGATATTTGGAGATTCTCTAGATATCTTCCTGCTATTAATTTCTAATTTAATTCTATTATTGTGGAACACACATTGTATACTCTCCATACTTTAAATACTTTTGCCATTATACATTATCCTTTTGTATAAATTATCATTGTTATTATTTTTCTTTAAACAGTTACCTATTAAATAAGTGTTTAAAAATTTTAGCTGACACCATGGCACTCTAGCCTCAGCAACATAGTGAGATTCTGTCTCGAAAAAAAATTTTTAAAGATCATATGTTTATCCACATATTTTCCATTTTTTGTGCTCTTCATTTCTTTCTACAGATCCAAATTTCCATCTATTATCATTTTCTTTCTGCCTGAAAAACTTCCTTGAGCATTTCTTATAGTAAAGATCTGCTGGTGATTAATTCTCTCAGCATTTGTTTGGCTGAAAAGTCTTTATTCCATCTTCATTTTTGAAAGATATTTTAAATATATTGCTCTATTACCTTCTTATCTGCATGTTTTCCGATAAAAAAAAAATGTGCTTTCATTCTTATTTTTGTTACTCTGAATGTGTCATTCACTGTCAAGTTTTAAGATATTTTCTTTAATTATGACATGTTATTGTTTTGTTTTCATGTTTCTTCTCCTGGGATTTGATTAAGGTACTGGGATCTGTGAGTTCACAGTTTTTGTCAAATTTGGAAACATTCTGACCATTATTTCTTCAAATATTTTTCTGTCCTCCTTCCTCCTCCTTTCAGGAAGCCACTTATTTGTTAGACTACATGATAATAAAGCACTAATTTTATACCTTTTTCATTCCTTTTTCCTTTGTATTTCACGTTAGATAATTTGTATAGCTATATCTTCAAGTCCATTAATCTTTTCTTCTGTAGTGTCTCATCTCTTAATCCTATTCAGTGTATTTTTTATTCACAATGTTGTATTTTTCATCTCTAGAAGTTCCATTTGGGTCAATTTTAGAACTTTCATTTCTGTATTTGCCATTATCATACTTTCACCTACTACTTGAACATGTATCTTTATTACAGCTTGTCTATTAACGCTATCATCTGTCATTCTGAGTGTGTTTCTATTGATTAAAGATTCTCCTAACTATGGATTGTATTTTCTTTCCTTTTTTATTCTTTCTTTCTTTTTTTTTTATGCCTGGTAATTTTTTTTAGATTCTGTCCTTTGTGAATTTTACATTTTTGGTGCTAGATTTTATTGTAGCATTTTAAATTTGAGAGTTTTCCCCTCCTTGCATGAAGTTACTTGGAATTAATTAGTTTGATCCTTTCAAGTCTTGCCCTTAAGCTTTGTGAGCACAAATCCAGAGCAACCCTCAGTCTAAAGCTATTCCCATCCCCTTTTGGAGAAAAACCAAAAACTCACTACATCTGGTAAATCGTGGGACTTGTTCCCAGCCCTTGTTTGACCCCTCCCAGTTTTTAGCTTGAATAGTGGGGGGAGGGGGGCCTAGCATCCTGGCCACTGCTCCTGGCCATCACCCCAGGAGCATCTTGTCTCGTTTGTGTGTGTGCTCGAGTGCACCCCGACCAAGGGCGGAAGCTGCGTCTTAAGGGCTGGTTTTATCAACTCTTTTTGTTCTGTGTGTCCTCCCTCGGCCCCATCCTTCGGCAGCTCTTGGGGTCCCCCCTGCTCTCCACGTCCTCTTCCTCCCTTCCTCACCCCCCCCTGCATTCTGGGGTGCAGGACTTCCAGCCAGAAGCCTCTGCCCTCAGACTGCCCTGTCCTCTCCCCGTGTCCCCTCAGTCCCCCCAGGCTGGCTCTGGCCTGACAGCTCAGGGTACCCCCATGCTGGTTCCCTGGCCTGGGCCACCACAGCAGGCCAGGGCACCCCTCCCCCCTTGCTGTGTGTGGGTAGTTGTGCTTTGGGAGACCGTGGAGGGTTCAGTAAATTTCTGGTGCTCTGGAAAAAAAAAAAAAACAACAACCCCACTCTGGTAATATCTTGCTGAGGACTCTACTCATGATCCATTTACTACACTAAAAAAAAAAAAATCTTTCTACTATTATTGAAACACAAATTCCTCCCAGCCTCCCAGACACAAAATTCCCAGTATAAGCTCTGAGGAATTTTTCATCACTCCTTTCTCCATTCTGTCATTCTTTCCCCAGCCTTGGACAATTTCCTGTCCAGATTTTGTTTTCTTCCTTTAAGGATTGTAACATGTTTATTTGACAGATAAAGTGGGGTTACTTAGAGATAAAATTGATTATCTCAAGGCTTATTTTTAAGTTTTGTTAAAATTGATATACATTAGCCTTAAGTCTAGTGCTAGCTTAGATCTCCTACGACGGTATGACCTCTCTGTGTTTCTACTCAATGCTCCACATGTTCAACAAAGTCTTTCCACTTTGGGTGGGTGGAATTCAAACATCTCCCACCTCTGTGTGAGCTCTGAGAGTTTTTCATCTTATTTCTCCCTGGTAGTTTTTTGTTGTTGTTTTTTTTCATTTAATGTAGCACATATGCACCTATGTCTATGTAATTATAAGCTAATAAATTTTTCATTTAAAAAGGCTTATATTTTCAAGAGCAGCAAAGTAGACAAAAAGCTTGGGTAAACTGTATCTGACCCTGAAGTCAGTCTTTTGGAGAAGACAGTTTCATTGGATGTATGGTGGTAGCCATTGAGAAGAAAGGAAAGCAGGTGGAGCTTCTGCTGACTATTGCAGAAGAAAAAGAAAACATATAGAACTGGGCTAGATGTCAAAAGTAATCCTTAAATCTAATCAAATAAAAAATCCATCTGCAGTTACTCAATATCAATGGTAGACAATTTAAAGATGATTAGCTGGGACTTGAGGTACAATACAATAATGGGACATCATTTTTCCCGGAGAAATAGGGGTTAGAACTATAGCCTTGACCTCGTTATCAATAAAATTAACCCATAATCTGAGTCCCCATATGGAAGTAGTTTAAATTATTTGCATATTAACCATGGACTAAGCCTTTCCTTGGTCCTGGGTATTCTTCCAAAATGTACAACCCCTAGGGCTCCTTTCTCACCCAATATAATTATTCCTAAGAAAAGCATTATCAAATGATATCAAGCCAGAAACTGGCCTGGAGTACTCAGGTAAAAGGATTCAACTAAGTAGCAGCCAAATATAAGCAAAGAAAACTAGCCTAAAACACATTAAGCATTTAGAGAATAAGCTCCACCTGATTTATAACCACGGTAGATTAAGCTTCATCTTGAGTTATTGATATTAATGATCTACTGTGAGAAAGATGATCTCTAAGGCACTTTCCAATTGTGAAATATTATTCTGTCTTATCTATCAGACATAAGTGATAGCTTATCACAACATGTGTTTTACTGACTACATTTCTGCCTTTCTTAATGTAAGTTAATATAGTACAGCCGTTATCATCATCCAAAGGTGCCACCACTTTTATTTGTTTACCAGATCATAAGATGATACTGGCCCATTACCCTTGACCTAGTCAAACCTCTACAAAAGACTTAATGATGCTATTTAGGATGCATTTCCTTGCTGCTTTGTGCAGGTGGCTTTCGCATTGCTGCATAGACAGTGATGGGAACATCAGTTATTGTCAGGCAATGACTTCCAGGGCATCTTCGGAGTTGCCTGAATAAAAGAGCAGATGACACATAGTTTAGATACTAAAAAGGAAATATTTTTTCAGAGCACCAAAGTTTGATATATATTCAATTGTTTTAAATCACTTTGAAATCTCTAAATGTTGCAAAATGAGTATAACACAGTGGCACTGATAAGGCAGACATTTTAGACTTATGTAGAAAAGAAATTGTGGCTGTTGCCATATATTTCATTACAGGAAATTCATAAATACAAAGATAATCCTCCAGATGTTCATTTTGAAAGGTATGCAATAATTGCTAAGTGGCATAAAAAGTGCCTAGTTATAAACATAAGTGATAATACTATGGCAATTCATATATATATGCACTGTGAAATCACTTCAGTTGGGTGATTTCAAAATTAGAATATTTATTTATGGAAGAACATAAAACTGAATATACTATTCCACATACCATTCAAATGCTGATAGAATCTCAGATTGGAAACGGCCCTTAAATGATACCTAGTCCAAAAATATATCTAATGTATGAATTTCCTTTCCAACATCCCCACCAAATAGTCACTCAGCCTTAAACATTTATAAAGACAAGAAGCTCACTACTTCCCAACGTAGTCTATTTTATTCTTGAGTAACTCTGATTTTTAAAATACTTACCTTGTTAAGTTTAAATCTGTGTTCCAAAAATTTCCAAGCCATGAGAAATTAACAATGTAGTAGTATTTAATGTTTTGCTATCATAAACCACAGAAAAGTAGAACAAATCCTATTTATTATAGCTTTCTTCAATTTTGCAAAAATGGTTTGTTTCATAGAATCTTCACACTCTATATCACTCTCTTTCTGCCAAAGGTCAAATCAAAGCCAAAGAGACACTAAATCTGAAGTCTAAGTCTTTTTCATATTTCTAACCTTATGACTAGCACAGTACCCTGCACATGGTGGCAATGAGAGTTTGTTTAATAAAATGTTTTCCAATCTTGAGACAATCAACAAAACAATCTAGCTAAAAATGTATCAGAGAGAGAGAGAGAGAAAATTGGTCCATCATCAAGATTTATAACAATACAAAATATAGACTCTATGCTAAGAAAACCCGAGCTCTGTTAATACTAATTTAATCACAGCAATGTTTTTGAATTCCTGAGGTTTTTTTCTTACTAATATTGAATATCAGTTAAAGCTTGTATTGATGATAGCCAATACACATTTCCTCAGTTGTGAGGGTAAAAAGAGTTTACCTGGCTGGTGACATCTCCTTCCCATTACAGGCAGCACCGGAGCTTAGCCCCGGTTCCAGCCCAATTGAAGAATCTCCTCCTTCAACTGGAAACCTCCTTGGCTGGGTCCCAAACCGAAAAGGCATAATTCACTGAAAACCTAGATTAAAAAGTTAAAATAATGGAGGCATCAGGAGCAATAACTCTTCATCTTCAAAGAGTTATTTGGATTTTTTTTTTTTAGAGACAGGATCTTATTGTGTTGCCCAGGCTGGCGTACAGTGGCTACTCATAGGCACAATCATAGGGCACCATAGCCTTGAACTCCTGGGCTCAAGCAATCCTCCTGCCTCAGTCTTCCAAACAGGACCTGAGACTATAGGCACACACACCATGGCCTAGCCTTGGAATTTTTAATGTTACTATTTTGTTACAGATATATAGAAGCATTCTGAAAATAACATTTTAAAATAAATATAAAAGTGTTAAAATACTATATTTACACCACTATTCCTTACATACAATTTAAGTCTTGCAATAAAATAGCCACCAGGTGATAAAAGTAAACTGTGCCCTATGGTTAACATAACTGAAGTCCATTTCTGCTGTGTGAAAACAAAATTCAGTTTGCCTTTAAATGGTTGTTGTAATCGATAAACACCTCTCCATCTATGCTCTTCTCTTCCTTTGAAGTACATTGTTTCACATCCACCAAAATATCTTTAGCTAAGCCTTCCGTTCCTGGTGATTATTTATTCCACTCTGTCTCTCTACATTTATAGCACAGTGGTTAAAAAGGGGTCTTGGGACAGTTGGACTGACCTGAGTTCAAATCCTCATTCTGGCCCTTCCCAAATATGTCATCTTAGTCAAGGTATTTAACTTCTCTATATTTCTCAAGGGTACATTAGGAATAATGATATTATCTACTTACAGGGTAATAAGATTAAGTAAGATAATACACGTAAAGTGCAGTTCAACACACAGTGCTCAATAAATGTTAACTACTATTATTCGGCTGGTGCTACTGAGCATTAGTAAATATATATATAAATGTATACATATACATGAGTTGTGAAATTCATTATGAAACGTATGATGTATACACACACACATATGCACACATAAACATAATAAATAAACTCTTTACTGCCTACTGTTGACTCTGCTTGGAACTCTCCCCTATTCCACTGCTCCTAGCCTGCACTTGCCAGGGCCAACTCATCTATTAATTACATTTACTTTCTCAGAGAAGCTTGCCATTAACCCCCATTATCTAAGTTTTCATAGCATCCTTTATTTCTGCTTCGTAACAGTTATCATTCTAATTCAAGGTTTCCCAACCATGGCACAATTCTTAGTTGGGGAGGAAGCAGACTGCCCTGTGTATTTATTGCAGGATGTTTTGCAGCATCCAAGTCCTCCATCCACTAAATGCCAGTAACGCCGCTCCCCCAAAGTTGTGACAGTCAAATACATCTCCAGACATTGCCATATATCCCCTAGGAGGAGAGAGGCAAAATTGCTCCCTGTTGAGAAATACTGCCCTAAATTTTTATAAATGTTTAATATCCCCTCCATTCTATGGTCTGTCTTTGTCACCAGTAAGTCCCTAATACCTAGAACAGTGCTTGGCACTCTATCTTGAAATAATTCACATGTGTTCAACTATTAGGCCAGAAAGGATAGGGAAGATTAAAAATGTTATAACTATCTCTTATACTAGTATAATATTCTATACCTAATAAGTAAATCTTTACTGATGGTAATAATAAAACTAAATTAAGGTTGAAGAATTTGAGTATTATATAATGATTTTTATAGATATGTCAATTATCAAGAAAAAAAAGTGTTTTTGCTCAATGATGATTTAGTAAAAACCATAGTAAATTATATGATTTAATATAACTATCTATATATGTAGGTATTAAGTTTTAGCTAAATTGATCAAAGACAAGTAGACTTACCAAAATAGGCCAAGTCTTATTCCTGTAGAGGTGAATAAGTCTGCTTCTACTGACTTTCCATAGAAGACTGGAATTGCCAAAGGAATGATGATCAAATGTTCCAGTGACACCCAGAAATTATGACATCAGAAGATTCTTTCACATAGTTTCTTACCTGCTAAAGAATCAAATGTCAGTTCATAACTCCAGCAACAAGCTGAAACTTAGCTAAAAATTAAGTGTCTCTAAGGGTTTTTTGAGTGTTTTATTCTTGTTGTCACTGCTTTATTCTCCAACAATACTAATATTTTAATCTATGAATGAAGGCCTGTAGTCTAGTCAATCTACACAAAATCTCACTTGAGATTCTTCTCATATTATATCCCATTTTCCTCATTCTCTTTATCTCCTAGACTTTCTCTTAACTAATAACCCAAATTAATCCAATCTATCTACATCTTCATCCCACTCGATGCCTTTAAACCCAAGCCACACCTTTACAAATTTCTCTATAGGTCTTCTTAGGTGAGACTCTTTACACTCTCAAATTCCTGGACTTTTTTTTTCTGTTTCCTCAAGAGAGTCTTAAAATTCCCAAATGGCAGGAATAATGACAATTGTGAAAGGAAGAATACATCTTGTACTGTCCTCATTATTCTGTTCCCTTAGCTGTTTCTCTGTTCATATCCTTTTTACATTTCCCTGAACTGCTCTCCCTTCCCCCAACTTGTTCTTGGTTTCTATATCAACAGCTTATTTCACTGAATGTCTGCCCTGTTCAGAAATGCTTAAGTTTAACCCTTAAGCCAGAACATTACTCCTCAGCTAAACAATATTTCAATTTTCATAGCTTATGACTAAACTATTAAATGCTAGTGAGCATTTTTTAACTTAATGAAAATCTTTTTACAACCTACATTTTATGCTAAGTTCCCACTATTGTGTTTTCCTATGAGTTATGTTATAGAAAGCTATCATTTTACATAAGAATTAAAGAAAATCTTAGAGGAAATCTTACTTCTACCTTCTTTTTCTTACTAGGCTGTTATCTGTGAATAAATCACAATTTTAGCTTAGAAACATTTTTTAACTGACTGTGTCATAATCAGACAAACTGAAATAATTGCTGGCCATTGTTAGCTAATGTATCATTAGAACCTAAACATTTGGTCCATAGGATGGCAAAATTTTTTAATAGTTTATATTTTTAAGAGGAGGCAGCAGTGGGAAAATTATGGGTTTTGGCATCAGAATTAGGTTTGAATTTTGACACCATGTTAGCTCTGAGACTTTCAGCAAATCACTAAAAGTTTGTCTATAAAATGGTATTACTTCTTACCTCATAAAGTTGTAAGAAATAAAAAATCTAATATGTATAAAGCCAATGACTGGGATATAAGAGCTCAATCAGCACCAGTTCTTTTACCCTTTTGTATAATTCTTGAAATCAAAATATTGAGACATTGATTTTGCTTCTTAGTCACTGATATATGTTTTAAACTATAAAATAAGATATATGCATGTGTGATATTCTTAAACTCCTCTAATTTACCATTATTTTTAACTAGTTCATTTGGCACAAGTTATACCTAAATTCTTTAGTATAGATGATATGATGAAACAAACCAAACAATAACCTTAATGATGAAACTTTACAGCACTAGAGTAATACATTAGAAGACAAAATGAACTTTACTCTCCAGCAGATTTTCACACAGCAACAGATAAAGTATAAATGATAAATTAAAAGACGGTAAAATCTCCAAATACTCCCTCTTAAATTATAAGAAGCCCAAGAATAATGACCTTTCAATCTCAGGATATCAATTCATGAGATGCAGAAAAGGAGTGATGTTTGAACTGGTCATATCCTAAGAAAAAAAGGACCTATTATTAGACTTCATTCATCCATTTAACAAATACTTGCTGAGAATCCACCATAAGCCAGACATGTGTTAAACGCTAAAGATAAAAGATTTAGGCAAAGACAAATACAGTTCCTGATCTAGTGGAGCTTACAGGCGAGGGTAGGATATGTTCTAAACTAGGATATCAAATCTAAATCTAAAAGATGAGTAGGCATTAATTAGATGGAAATAGGTGGGAGGCAAAGACATTGAGACAGTTGGGGAGGGGGCAAACAGAGGACACAGCAAGTGCAAAGGTCATGTGCCAGTAGAGAATACAGTAAAAGATCTGAAAGTCTAGCATAACCACAGCAAGGAAAACAGAAAAGAAATGTGGTCCGAGACATAAGTGCGGGCCAAGTCAGGCAGGAGCATAAACCCCAGTTAAAGATTTTAGACTTTATCTTATAAGCAAGGAAGCCCGCCAAAGAATTTTAATTTCTCAGGACACATATTTAGTTTTCATTGATTTTTCTCTATTAATTTTGTTTTCTCTTTATGTGATTTCCATTCCAGTATTTACTATTTCCTTTCTTCTGCTTACTTTAGGCTTAATTTGTTTTTCTTTCTCTGTTTTCTTAAGGTGGAAGTTTAGGTCATTGGTGTGAGAGCTTTTATCTTTTCTAAGATAAACACTTAATTCTATAAATTTCCATCAAAACACTAATTTCCAGAAATTTTGAAAGTTTGTGTTTTCATTTCCTTCAGTTAAAATTTTTCCTTTTGTTTTATTCCTTCACCTTTGAATCACTTACAATTATATAATTTATATTTCAAATATTTGGGAAGAGTCAATTTTTCTGTTACTGGTTTCTAACTAAATTCCATTTTTGTGAGAGAATATTCTTTTTATGATTTGAATACTTTTAAATTTATTTAGATGTGTTTTATAGCCATAATATAAACTATCTTGGTAAATGTTCTATGTGTACCTGAAAAGAATGTATATGCTACTGTAGTTGGCTTAAATTAAGTATTCTATATAGGTAATTAGTTGGTTGACAGAATTGCTCAAGTCTTCTATATTTTTACTAATGTTCTGTATACTTGTTTATCAATTATAGAAATAAGGATATTGAAATTTCCAACTATAATTGTGAATTTATCTTTATTTTTCTTTTCTATTTTGCCAGTTTTCGCTTCATGTATTTTGAAGCTATTAGGAGGTGTATAAATATTTAGTACTGTTGATATTCTCTTGATGAACTGAAACCTTTAGCATTATAAAACATCTTCTTTTTTTATCCCTGATAATATTTTTTGCTCTGAAATCTACTTTGTCTTAAATTTGTATAGCTTTCTCTCCATTAATGTTCATATGATGTATCTTTTTCCTATTATTTTCCTTTTAATATATTTGGTTTTTATATTCAAAGTGTGTTTCTTGCAAACCCAAAGTGGAAGTCTTGCTTATTTTACCCACTCTGATAATCTCTGTCTTTTAATTAGGGTGTTTTGATTATTTATATTGAAGGTGATAGATGTGCTTGGATTTAAATCTGCCATCTTGCTATTTGTATTCTATTTGTGACATCAGTTTTTTGTTTCCGTTTTCTTAGTATTCTATTCTTTTGGATCAATGGAGTATATTTTGAGTCTATTTTATCTCCATTATTGGCTTATAGCCATAAATACATATGCATATATATATATATATATATATATATAGCTGTTTTGTTGTGGGTTACTTTAGGTTTTACAGTGTACATCTTTAACTTTTCACAGTCTGCCTTCAAATAACATAACCACTTCATATATGCTAGAAGAACCTTACAAAAGTATGTCCCATTTCCCCTCTCTCACCCTGTATGACTTTATTGCTACATATTTTACTTCTACCTATATTATAAACCATACAACATGTTATTATTAGTTTTTCTTAAGAAAATACCTTTTAAGAGATTTTTAAAAACATGAGAAGTCTTTTATATTTACCTACATATTTATCATTTTCAGTGTTCTTTACTCCCTTGAGTAGGCCCAGATTTCCATCCAACACCATTTTCCTTTTGCCTGAAGATTTTCATTCAACAGTGATGGTCTGCTGGTGATTAATTCATTCAGCATTTGTATTAATATCTCTTTATTTCATCTGCATTTTTGAATAATATTTTCACTTGGTATAGAATCCTAAGTTGGCAGTTTTGTTTTGTTTTCTTTAAGAACTTTAAAGATTTTGCTCCACTATTTTCTGGCTTGCATTGTTTCCAACAAGAAGTCTGCTGTTTTTCCTATCTTTGTTCTTCTACATTGCAGTGTCATTTTCTCTGGCTGCTTTTAAGATGTGCTCTTTATCACTGATATTGAACAATTTGATTACAATGTGCTTAGTGTTGGCTTTTCTTCCTGTTTCTTGTGCCTAAACTTCATTAAGCTTCTTGAATCTGTAGTTTCATAATCTTTATCACATTTGGAAATTTTTCAGCCATTATTTCTTCAAGTATTTTTTGTTACTTCCTTCTGAAAGTCCAATTACATGTATATTGAGCTGTCTGAAGTTGTCCCACAGCTCACTGACCCTTTTTTTTTCCTTTGTCTTTTTTTTTTAATCTTTTTGTTCTCTATTTTATTTTGGATAGTTTCCACTGCTATATCTTTAAGTTCACTAATCTTTTATTTTGCAGTGTCTAATCTGATCTTCATTCCAACCATTTTTTCATCATAAACATTATATGTTTCATCTCTAGAAATACAACTAGAATCTCTTTTTTATATCTCTGTGTATCTTCTTAATCTGTTCATGCTTCCTTCTGCCTTCTTGAACATATGGTGTTTATTCATAATAGTTGTTTTAATGTACTTATTTACTAATTCTTTCATTTGTGCTATGTCTTAGTCTATTTTTAACTGATTTTTCAATTCGTTATGGGGCTTATCTTGGCATATCTATCAATTTTTAATTTCAGCACCAGACACTGTGAATTTTATTGCTGAATAATTTTAATTTTAGTCCCCTAAGTACTTTTGAGCTTTGGCATGGGGCACAGTTATTTGGAAACAGCTTGCTTCCTGGAAGTCTTAGTTTTATGTTTTCTTAGACTATTATCACAAGAGCTTTTTATCTAGGGCCAATCTATCTCTACTGCTGAGTCAATACAATTATGTGTGCTCATCTCGATATTCCATATATTACAAGGTTTTTCCACTCAAGATATTGGGAATGTGAATTAGTCCTAGCCCTTTCTGAACCTCAGGAATTTTTCTGCCTGCTTATTTCCAGTGGTTCTTGCCCTCAGCTTTAGTTTCCACATATGCATATACTAATAAGTAC